TTTATCACCGTGAACTTTAGAAATCGTTCTATGATTGCCGTAGCATCGGTTTTGGCAATCAAATACGTCTGATTACTTCTTTCAGCGATTTACAGCTGCTGACATTCGATTGGAAATATCTCGTGATGTCTGACAACATATCGTGTTATGATATGAAACCCATCAATTCAAAGGCGCTAAAAACGGAAGAATGTAAAAGGGCGTACACCCATTAATGTCTCATCTCTAGCTTTTTCAAATGTAATCTACGCTGTAATGTACATGTGTTATTTTCATTCAGTGAAATAAGAGTATTAAAGTTCAAAAAAACTACTTTTCAAGTGCCGTAGATGGGCGGACTGCGCGTGTCTTTCGCCTGAACACCATGAGGTAATCAACCCAAGGATAGCCATTTTCCTTAACACACCCCGGCCTATTATATCGCTCAATTCAAGCAGATTTTTGCGCCCGCGCTCAAGCAGTTCAGTCGACACTCACTATTAAAGATTCCCTCTTGGGGTTAGGGAGGGGGGACGTATGTCACAGCTATGAATTTCAAATTCTATCGTTTGGCGTTTTGAGGGGTAGGCCATGTTTGTCAGTATTTAACCAATCTTTATGTCGTTTGTAGCCATTTCAACTAGTCTTATGTCGCTGTTTTAAGGCTACGTCTCTAGTCGGAATTTTACCCCAACAGGGTCTCATTACAGCCTCGGACATTTTTATCAGAGGGGTGTCTGTAAAACCCGGAACAGGTTCCCCAACACTTGACAATTAAAGTTCGTGTTCCCTACCATACAAAGGTCTGTAAAATTCCGCGACTTTGTGGATTTTAAAATATGTTCACTCTCTTCGAACGTATCGTCTTTAAACTTCTATGTTAAGTTACTTTATTTTAAGGCCCTTTCGGCAGTGTCGTTGTATATTCGCTCACTAGCTGCTCTTTATCAAAAGTTGATAAAAGAAAATGTAGGAGGGTCTATTAGAAGGCGCCTTCACACGACGAAAGCGCTTTTATAAATTTCGTATCTCGAATAAAAAGATGACTATGATGTAGTTGATGACCATTCTTTGATACTTACGCTTAATCATCACGAACGCATGAGCAAATCATCATGAATCATGGGAAAATTTCCATACGCGGTTTCCCAGGTTTCGCACCGAGCACCGAAGCATCCAGCCGGAGGCAAGAAAAAACCTCTGGTGCCAAAGATATTGGTCCGCGAGTAAAATTTATAATCTTGAATATCTTTTCTGAATCAAATCTTCACGACGACCTGAAATTCCCCCCAAAGATGGGGGGGTGGGTGGGGGGGAAACTTTTATAAATTTCGTAGCTCGATCAAAAAGATGACTTTGACGTAGTTACTGACCATTCTTTGATTCTTACGCTTACTCATCATGAATCATGAACCGCCATTTTGGAACGAAAAAAAAAAGAAAAAGAAAAAAAAGAACGAAAAACTTGAAAAAGAAACAATCGCAGTTTTGCTGACTGTTTTAGAATGATATTTTTCGGGTCAAATAATTGAGCCATGTCCTTATTTGTCTCTTCCAATCCAACCTGACATCCACTCTAGCCTGTGTGGACCTGTGAGGAGAGAGGGCATTTGTACACAGGCTACATCCATCCACCCACTTTTCAAGTGGACGTCTTCCCTGGAGAGTATGCCTTAAGATGTATAAATTGAAGGCTGCCGATGATAGCTTGAACAGTCGATGAAATCGATGATCGGAAAATCTATCGATCAATCGTTAACACTCGATTAATTTCCGTTTATTGGCATCGATTGGTATCAGCCAACCGATGAAAAATCGATAATCACCCAAAAGACACCTGAAAAGTAGTAGCCGTACTGATCGATTGCCATCGATTGGTAGTCAAACTAAGCTTGTCTCTTCGCATCTTCAGGTATCTTGGCAGTGTACGCACAGCGTATGTTAATTCTGACTACACTATCACGAAACATTCAATCTGAAATAGTTTATTGAGGAATGGTCAGTCAGTCATCCGACAACAACAATGTGTCGTAACATATACTTATTACAACATAGAATATGCTAGCAAGTCTAACTTGAAAAGCTTGAAAAATTAAGTGTACCACGCCAGATACGAAAAACCACTAAAAAAACCACTCTTTAGATGTGGCCAAAAAATATGTGGAAACGTATTCCCCATCTAATGCAATGGCACGGAACCTCGGGGAAGAGGTACAAACAAACGCATAACTCCATAGAAAAAATTTAACTAAATTGACAACAGCAAACAGAAAGACTGACTGAGCTAGAATGATTAATATTCCCCGCTAAAACATTAAATACTCAAAACTCTCCCCTGAGAATACTAAAACCTCTCAATCGTGCCATCAGAATAGCAATTTCTGACTAATTCGTTCCTAGTCACTCAACCGTCAGAAATTACATTTTTTGAGGGTCAGAAGCAAACTTGCGATTATTACAATTTGGTCATTAATGCGATTCGGTTCGGTGATAAACAGTTGTGAAACAGTGTAAGAAACTGGAGAAGCATAATATATTAGCCAGCGCTAACAGCGGAAGCTTTCGATAATATTTATAGTTTGTTCTCGATTGTTCAAACAAAATAGAGTAAAATCGTGTGATGCTAGGCGGCGAAGGCAACGCCAGAGGGCGAAAAACAACAGAAGGTCTAAAGCAGAAAGAACCTCTGGTGCGAAGGGTGTTGGTCCGCGAGTAAAACTTATAATCTTGAAAATCTTTACTGAATCAAAAAGTTCATGACCTGAAATTCTCCTCAAGGATAGCTTTTATGTTTCGAGCCGTTATCATGATGCACAACTGAGGTTTTGGTTAATAACCTTCTAGACTCCTTCTGCATGCGTTCCTCTAGTGTTAAAAATTTCAGTTTCAACAATGAATCACTGAAAAATAATAAGTGTATAATGGATGTATTTAGAAGATGTCAGGTTTCCGGGACTCTCGCCCTTTTCGTTTTGGAGGCCAGGGGAAAAGGTTTCCCTTTTCCCTGTCCGCCGACTCTATCCCCGAAAAAAGAACGCCTGATTGCAGGTTATTTTATTTTTCTCTACTGATCCCGAATCCCTTCCTTCAAAAAGTATAATTAAGGCACGTTAAAATCCTAGTACGGACCATCACTGTACTCTGGAAATTGTCAACAGGTCACGTTATAACGTTGGGTACATGGGCTGTGGGGAGGAAATTGTTCACTCTCCCCACCCCAGATCCTAGAGTAGTTTTGTTCGCTCCCGGGCTTCAATAGATGCTGACTCGTCCCAGTCGTCTTTGCGTAACGCGCACAGCGGGAGCAGGGTATGATGGGAATGATTTATGATTGGATTTTATCTCGACTCGAAAAAATCAGGCCATCACATTTTTGACCGACAAAATACGTCCAGATTTCTAGCTAAATTTCTAAATGTAATAAATCTACCCGGTATATACGGCGTTAAATCAAAGAAAGACGATCTCGAAAAATTTTTCGACTCAAAGAACAACTTTTTGAGACAGGATTTCCCAGTGGTCTCTTTTCCACGCTTTTCCCTTCCCATCACACCCCGCGCGCCACTAGGCAGAAGTTGTGAGAAACGACTGAGGACGAGTCAGTGTCAGATGACCAGGGGAGGGGAGCTGGTAATCGGATGTTGTTCTCATGCCGTGTGACCGATTCACAAAGGGTATGATTTTGTGGTTTTTGGAACCATAGTCTAGAAATACCCCTGGTCCTTGACCTCTTAAGAACAGCAGTTTAGATCTAAAATATAGAGTTAAGAAAATTTCAGGGATTTGCAGAATGATTAGAATGGAGTCATCAGGGTATAACAGTGCTTATATCCCCCACCAATTTGCATTTGCAGGCTTTATTCATCTTGTTCTTTCTTAATATGCCACCCAATCCCACAATTTCACAAATTTGAATTTTTGTGACGTCACACATCTATTTTCTATGCTAACATTAATTTTTCCTTGACGTTCGTTGTCTTCCTCTTGTGTTTAACCGTCTTCCATTTCATAGTTTACTGCTTATATACCTGCAATTGTTTTCATTCATAAATGATGGGACGAGCACTGAATTCTGTTTGAACAACACTTGATGTGGTTAGTACTAGTACTAATCGTAAGGGGCTCTCACGTCTGATTGCACCGTTATAAAGATTCATTATCCATCCTGCGCTTCAACACCCGCTACGACCCCTCACGCACAGAGGTACCCTGCTTTGAACTACTTGACAAACAAACATCCTGAATTCGTTAGTTCCTTCTGTTATGGGAGTCTCAAACGGAAACTAAGATTGCTAGATGAATTTCACAGTTTTACTTTTAAAGTGACATCTGCATCAATATGCACTTTTAGATCTGAAGATTTTATTTATACATAAAAATCTATACACTTGTCTGTATTTTGAACCCTCTGAATATTATAATGTACATGAAGTTTAATTTAGCTAAGTTTGCCCACTTGTATTTAGCATAGGTTTTAGTATAAATGTAAATGTCTTATCTTACATATCTTGTTCCTTATCTCAAATACGTTTTTTTTGGACAAACTGCAAATTTTCACAAGACATTAGCATGTTAGTACCTACAATGAAGAAACGACCCCAAGCTTTATAACTTTGAAAACTATCGTTTTACAACAAAGGCTTTGATTGATTGATTTTCTTTATCGCGTGGGTTTGTTTGTTTTTTTTCTTTTCAAAATTACTGATCCTGAAGGTAAAGCGATGAACAAGTAAACGTAATAGTAAAAACAAAAAATATATTTTTTGAATGTTTCAGTCAGCAGGAGCGAGGTCTGGATCCAAGAAATTTAGGGGGCCTGGAACAGTCGAATGTTCCGGAAATCCTCGGAAGATCCAATCGCTTCCCGAGTGTAATAAAGAGGTACCGAAGGGTTTCCGAAGATTTCTCGTGAGAGTGCCCTGTGTGGTGATGTCCATTTCAGCCAGTTATTGGGTGCAACTTAATTTTACTACATTAAACACTTTTAAACCGATGACTTAACGTGTATTCTCCAGCTTGAATCAAGGTAGGGTCTCAATCGTTTCCTTGTGAGCTATCAACTCTTCGGCAACGCTTTTAAGGTTCATACATTGAACGTTACCGCTGCTTTTATCATCGTCATTCAGTAGATAATCTAGACGTTCACCAATGGTTCTTGACATCACTATATCGTTCTTGTATGGCCGCCTACTGAAAGATGGAATGGGCTCGTTGTTTTTAACTTTAGCATGCACGTACAGGCTTTGACTTACACGCTCCAGACTTTTCAGACTCCCACGTCTCACCTCCCTACACTGTGTCTCGAGTCGCTGGATAATTCCTTTAACAATCTTCAGATAGTTGTCTGGCTCGATCTCGTCATGCCTATTGTACACATCTAATTCCACCGATTTCAAGCGTCTTGCTTCATATATACACGTCGATATCAGAGTTTTTAAATGGTACTTTTGTCCATAGATAAGCATTGCCAGAACATCATTCTCAATTCTTTGTTTGACCATAGTAACCATTAACGCCTCACACTTCCGAGCGATGGAATCTATTTGATATTCATGAGCAAGTTCAAACAGATAATAACAATTCCTCTTTGTCACTTGTTTCTCCTCTAAAGAAGGATACAGCATGAGTAGCAGGTGTTTGATTTCGCTTTCTTTCTTCCCTGGAAGAGGGATTTCATCGTTATTCTTCTCCTTGAATTCTGAAGTGAACATTCTTTCAAACACGGGCGACCAGAACGCAAGAATGCTTCGATGAACGTGGAATTTCTGATCTTCAACAACGAGCACCACATCGCTTAACTTCCATGGTTCTAGGAAATCAGTTGGGAAAACTGAAGCAAAGGCTCGCGTCATGCTGTAGTGGGCTTAGGGAATAAATAAACGAGTAGCTTGCTTGTTTTTGCTTTTGCGGATACTGTCCTCGAAGAATAGCTTTCACTTTTCTTTTCTCACTCTACCGTACCCGAAGGGAAGTTATAAAAAGGACTGGATACGAGGAATTATAGACCGTGACAGACACGTTCACGTTCACGTTCAGACAGAATCCATGGGGATTACTAAACAGAGTAACGCAGTAACGAGTAACGAGTAACGGGATAAAAATTCAAGAGGTTAAAAAAATAAATTAATTAATCCTAATGAAAGAAAAAGACATAAAAATGGTTGTAATATCCTAATAATGATCTTTACCAGTCTCGAAAAATATGTGTCAACCCCCTCACCCCTCTCTCCAGCAATTAAAGTGGAAGGTATTTTCGCGCCGAAAGAGTCACCTGGCTAAGCTTGGCTACGGCTGTTATTTGCAATTGAATATGCCTATCCAGCAGATAGAGTAACAAAACGTTCCGTTTATCGTTCACCTTAAAAGGTTATTTCCTACAGCCCAGGATCAGGGGGACTTTTTTAAAGTGACGAGTTTCTGAACAATTGTCACAAATTATTGCATATTTACAACTGAACAAAACTGCATATACTGGTTTTAAGTCACTGTCCATGAGTAGTGCCCGGGTAGTAGCATTGCTACTACCAACATCAACATCTGCATCAATAATGACAGTCATCAATAATATTGATTTCCTTATGGTTAGTTTGATCCCGCTGTATACGTTGTGCTTATTGAGATCAGGAAGAAAAGAAACAGAAAGTCTGTTTCGTGACGCATTCTTTTTAGACAAGGTATGGGATTACCCTAAGTTTCAAGGTTTCAATGTGAACGATTGTGATAACTAACGGACTAATGATTAAATTTTGTAAGAATATCAAGGGAAGTACTTCTTATGCCAAATGCAGCTCCCTCTTTGTAGTCTCAGGATGGTATAAACCGTCTGCAAGTGCCCGCACTTCAGCTCCTAATTCCAGGTCCTAATATAAGAGATTGATCGTCGAAGCAAGTATAGAAGACACGATCATTCCTTTCCCGAAGGAATTATAAGTGGGAGAAGAGAGAAGTGGGAACGAGGGCTCTTCTACGATTTCAAAATACTATTTATTGTTGTTACCTTAGCTCACGCGTTTCATATAACACAGTGACACCGATATTTTTTTTAAAGTTTGCCGCAAGCTTGACCAGAAGAGGAAACCTCCGTGAGAGAATTCAGCGCTGCCAGGGGTGTAGCTACTTTTAAGCCACTAAGCCTGGGCCTAACAAATTAAAATTTGGGTCAAAGTGAGTTCATGAATTGCATGTTATCAGGCAGTGAAATTGCATGCAACTAATACAGGTACCAATGTCTGTGATGATCATGCAAAATGACACATATTTCACTAGGAAACTCTGTCGATGGCGAACGCCATCTTGGCTCTTCAAGTAGATATGTAGGGGTCCTCTTTGCTTACTTTTGATTACCTGCTAGAATCATTTGGGTTCAAAACTTGTAAATTTGGAGAATCTCAACTCTAAAATAACATCTAGTAAACCGGCCGTTTTCTCCTTGTTTGTTCTGTTTCTTCTTGTTTTGTTTCGTTTATATTTTTTTTTTCTGAGGATGCAGGACTTGGACTTAATGGAATTGGCTACCACTTTGAAACATTAAGTAGCAAAGTGGATCCTACAAAAAAAAGAGTTAATTTCATGCCCTGGCAGTAACTACGTTTTGGTTATTCTGCATTGATTGATGTTAAACGCAACTTCGAGCAAACCAATCCATTTGAATGTTTCATTACTTTACTTTACTTTAAATCGATCTAAAAACTAGTCTCGCTTTGCAATTCTATTTTGCTGCCAATATTCAAATTTCAGAGTCTTTACATCGGAAGGTTATTTTAAGACATGATTTATAATTCCTTTTAAACCGGTAGAAACGTTCACTATATTAACTTTTGAAAGGTAGCCATGATTAAGTCGAGTCCCGTATTTTCGAGAGAAGATAAAAGACATTGAAAGTTGACGTCGTTGTTTAAAGCACTTTTTGGAATACAAATATTTTTCGAGATTGGTAAAGGTCATTATTAGGATATTACAACCATTTTTATGTTTTTTCTTTTATTAGGATTTATTTATTTATTTATTTTAACCTCTTGAATTTTTATCACTTTACTCGTTTTCTCGTTACTCGTTACTGCGTTACTCTGTTTAGTAACGCCCCAGAATCCATCCGGAAATTGAGTAATTTTAAAATTCAGTGGACAAAAACCTTGGACCAGAATAATTTTAATCATATTGCATTTTTTTTTCACATTTTTCAAGGGCTATAGATGCAATTAGTTATCTGTAATAACACCAAAGGAAATATCTCATGGGAGCCCATGAAAAGAAATTTCAAATTTCACAAAATGACACCTTACACATGATATTTTCAGAATTTTATCTGTGTTTTCACATTTCGTGTGAAATATGACATTTATTTTCTGGGACTTCCAGGAGAAATTGTCTTTGGTGTTATTACAGACAACTAGTTATACTCATAGCACTTGAAAAGAGTATAAAAGAATGCAATATTGTTAAATTATTCTGGTACAATAATTGGTACAATATCGTTCACTGAAAATTAAAATTACTCAAATTCCTAATGGATTCAGCTGGATTCCGTCTTAACATGACCCGTGAAACAGATACCAATAACCAGAGCAAAATAGCTTCAAGTACAAGCAAACAAAAGAAGACAATAGAGTTATTTCATGATAGCGCGTGGTATTCTACTACTTAAATCACTCTAACCGGTTTAACCAACTTTTAAAATGTATTCTAATGTAATTATTATTAAGGAATTGATTATAGTGCGACGTTTGAAACCAAGTCATGCTATGAACTACCGTGCCAGAGTCGAATTTCATTCTATCAAGTGAGTTTCGCACGACAGTTTCACGATGACCGGAACGGGACTAAACTGTAAATAGCTCGAAAATGACAAAAAATTGATTGATTAATTCAATAACTGGTTGATTGAAAGTCTTATAAAGAAAAGTAACAGAATTTATTGGGTGATTCAAATTTTTTGCAACAAGAAATATTGTTTTGTTCTGAAAAAAAAAAAAGCTAGGAATTACGCCAAATCAACATCATCGGTGGACAAAAATTTATGTAATAACCCAAGATCCGGGTCTGGATAAGAGCAGGGCATGGGCTAGCAAAAATTATTCGACATGGCTGAAAATATTATTTTCGTCAAAGCTGAAAATAGTTTCGAAAAAGAGAATACAACAAGAAACAAAACATGGAAGCTAAGGATGTGTTCACGCCATGATGGATAGCTTTTATGGCTGACACGAAAATCTATCCGGTATCATGCGTGACAATCTGTGCGATATGTGACTACACTTTCGTGATCGGCGCAACGCTTCGCTCCGTTACAGAAATCGCGCCGAAATCACCGTTCTAATGTGTGAACAGAAGCTCTATCCGGTATGATTGTCGCGCCGGCGTAAAAGCTTTCCGGTATACTGTGAACAAAGTCCTATTGGAAAAGCACGTAAAAATGCACGTTGGATAGTAAATTTAACAGCCTTCAGAGGAAAGTGGAATTGTCTGATGTAAGTCCAAACTTGGATGGCTTTGAGTTGCCAGTCAATTTATCCGATCTAAGGAGAGACATCTCCGATGATTGTTTCTCTCTTTAGCCGATTCAGATTCGTTATCTCAATGTATTGTGAATCCACAATCTTTTTGCCATGCAAATGTGTAACAAGCGAAACAAAAGAATCTTTTGTTTCGAGAACAATATAGCTAAAAGAAGGGGCCTTTTCAATCAAGGGCCAGTAGCTACGCAAACTTTTTGGAAAAGGGAAAGTTTTTACACAAGAAAAAGGTTTCAACACACCCACAGGACTGCCTGAACACCAACATGGCCGCCATTTCATTGTTTTAGAACTGACCAATATGGCGGACGACGTCACGTGAAAGCGCTCCATAAATCGGTGCGTTTTCTTGAATTTGCTTTGTCTTGGGCTCTTGTAGGCTCTTGTGGGTTTAAGGGTTACAAGTTTTACAAAAATGATACAAAATGTATAGTAAAAGTATATATTTCGCATATGATCATTTACCGAATTTCCCAGCTTTATTTACAGAATGAATACACATATACAAAGAGGTGTAATAAACAGGGAAATTTAACTTAAAAAAGTGTAACCTACCCTTAGCAATATTATATTTGATCATCTTTCGCCACATTTAATTTCAAAGAAAACATTTGGTCGCGGTTAGCATGAATACTGTCCTAAAACTCAATCAGCACTTTTTGGTTTTTCTAGATTGGATTTTTTAATCGATACTTTAAGTAACTAATTAAACCTTCTCCCAATTTTTTTCACTTTTCCAGAGTTAAATTACAGAGGTCATTTGACACTGAGAGTACACAACCCTGTATTCGTAGGACTGGTAGGTTAAGAAATAAATATTCGGCTCCTTTTGGCTACAAACCATTGATAAGAGAAAACGTGTAATAGGTGGCCAACGACGGGAAACGATGAGAAGCGGTTGTAAACGCAGGCTAGTGAATAGAGCGTATTCACTTGCGTGGCCAGCATCTATGCTAATCAACAGGAACAAAAGAGTCTTTACAAAAGAAAAGAGTTCAATTCCCACGGGGTTGTCTTGGTATACCAACATGGCCGCCGTTTCATTGTTTTGGAACACCAATATGGCCGACGTGACGTCATGTGCACACACATGCTATTTGACGTATATCATTGACTTTGGGTACCTAGTCGGGTCCGCTGAATTGAGAAAGTGCGAACATGCCAAAAAAAAAAAAAACGGGAGGAAACTGGGGAAAGTAAAGGCGACGGAAGGGCGTCGTAACAGAAATGATTATTACAGGCTTTCTCTCCCCCTCCTATTTTCGCCTTGCCACTTTCGTGTGCATTTCACTTTCGCGTCTTCCCTATTATCTGAGAGCTTGGAATAGGCTACGCTAAATAAGGATTTTTCAAAATCGATTAACTAACGTGTCGCCAAAATTTCATGTAATACGGTCCAAGAGGCCTTTGCGGACGAGAGAGAGTCTACCCTTAGCTCTTTATCTTGCTATTTAAAACAGCGCTTCAGATCTGAAATAGGGGCATGGATTGGCTGCGCATTCAGTACAATCATACCCAAATTTTCTAGAAATAGCCTTCCTCTATCCCCACATGAGGAACGTTAGTCATCCGCAAAGAACACATGTTTAAAGCTTAAAGAGTAGTTTCGGTTAAGCAACGGACATATTGATGTTTATCAACCGTTGCTGTTTTTTCTGCTTTCCTTTACTTTCCACTGCATCCAAAGGATCAGAGTTCTGGAAATATCTATGCTCACGATAAATATTGATGTTCGTTGTTTTCGGTGTGTGTGAAGGTTAACACCAGGTAAACAAGTTACTTACATACAGTTCAAGCTTTCCAGAGATAAATATATTTAAAGTTGGCAGAGGGAGGTAATTCAATGTCAGTTTGAAGGTCCCTGAATGGGTTCCAAAGTGCAATCAAGGCATTGTAAGTGGGCCTTTAGAGCTATTAATGCACTCGCAACGTTGGTTAGACTCTCACAGTAAACGCCTTTTCTGATGTAAACGATCTAAACGTTCATCAGTGGTTTCTGGAATTGTAAACATGGATGATTTATCGGCTATCTCTAGAGCAAGTTCGCATAGATTTTTAACCACACTCTCCAGATGTTGCAGACCCTCTTCTTTCACTTCCCTACACAGTGGCTCGAGTGGCTCGAGTCGCTGAATAATTTGCTCAGTAATCTGCAGGTAATTGTCTGGCTCGATCTCTTCTTTATGCTGTATCAATTCGTTGAACGATGCTGAACGCTGTGCCTCATCTATAGACGCCAATATAAGAGTTTTAAGCTGGTACTTTTGCCCATAGATGAGCATCGCAAAAACATCCTCCATCTTTTCTCTGACCATAAAAACCATAAACGATTGGCATTTCTGAACAATGGACTCTATTAGATATTCGTGAGCAAGTTCAAGCAAGAAGTAGCAATTTGCCTTTGTTACTGGTTTCTCCTCTAAAGAAGGATACAGCATGAGTAGCAAGTGTTTAATTTCGCTTGCTTTTTTTCCTGGAAGAGGAATTTCATCGTTATTCTTCTCCTTGAGTCCTGAAGTGAACATCTTTTCAAACACGGGCGACCAAAATGCGAGAATGCTTCGATGAACATGGAATTTCTGATCTTCAACCAAAAGAATCACATCACTTAACTTCCATGGTTCTAGAAAATCAGTTGGGAAAGCTGAAGCGGAAGCTTCTGTCATGCTGCACTCGACCAGGAACGAAAAGAACGAATAGTCTTTTTCCCTTTTAAGGAATTTGCCTTCACTTTTCTCACTCTACACGAAAGAAAGTTTAAACAGGACTAGGTACGAGGAAATTATAGACCGTGACTGACACCTTCACAGTGTAAAACCGGTTTAGCCAACTTTCAAAATGTATTCTAATGTAATTATTATTAACGAATTGATTGAAACCAAATCATGCTACTAACTGCTTATCAAGTGAATTTCGCACGGCAGTTGCACGGTGATCGGAACGGGACTAAACTGTAAGTAAGTCGACAATAACAAATAATTGAATGATTAATTCAATGATTGATTGATTAGAAGTCTTATAAAGAACAGCAATACGGTAAAAATCCCGCGACTCAGAACCTGGTTTTTGAGAACTTGTTAGGCTAAAATTCGCCAGTTAGACCTCCTCTATACAAGACAGGCCCGTAGCAAGTATAAAATGACTGGGGGGGCTGAGCGAGTGGCTCACATTAACTCCCCCCCCTGCTTCGGTCCCTTCGGCGGCTCTTGCGAAGACATTGTGAGACTTTCAATATAAACGCGCAAAACCCTAAGTTTTACTCTAGTACAGTCGTATGTTTTACACTGGCGGACCTCTTACGAAACCAATAAAGTTCAAGAGGTCAAGTTCAGGGATTGTCATTGGTGCATTTCGATCCATTTTGCTTCTGACTATTTTGATCCTTAATAAGCAGATATTTTAAAGCTGTTGGTTGTTTTTGGCAGAGCAAAAATACGATTTCGTTCATTTACACAATTCCAAATTGCACAGAAGAACAACAGTACATAATCTTAGTATGATCGACAATACTTTGAAACTTTAACTTCCATTGACAGCTGTCCATTTTAGTAGAAAAATTCCACTTTTGTAGCAGAATTTGAGTCAAGTCTGAAAATTTCTTGGGGGGCTCGAGCCCCCCCTGCCCCTCCCCCTGCTACGGGCCTGCAAGAACCTGTTCAGCTTAAAATCTGTTCCAACTGCAATGTAATGGTATACAGGTTTTACTTGAGGAATGAGCTGAATACAACTAAATACTCTTAGCTAAAATTCAGTGTTTTTTCCTACGAAAATAAGAGCTATTTAAGACCCTAAATAGCCTAAATTTGTTCTAATTACCATTTATGTAAGAACCCGTTTAGGCTAACTTGGGAAAATGTAGGTTCCTAGTCGGGGTTTTAACTGTATAATTTACTGGGTGATTCAAATTTTTCAGTTGCAACAAAAAATATTGTTTCGAAACAGGAGTCAACTGAAAAAAGGAAGGAATTAAGCCATCAACGTCGTTGGTTGACAGAAAGTTATGTAATAACCCAAGGTCTGGGTGTGAATAGGATCATGGAATTAAGAGAGCGAAAATTCCTCAGCAGGGCTAAAAATATTATTGCAAAGCGGAAAATGAATTTTGAAAGAAGATGGCAAGTTAGAAACGCAGGGTGGATGTTCAAGTTGGCAGCCTTCAGAGGGAAGTGGAATTTCTGATGTCAATCCAAACTTGAAAAGCCCTGCGTTTTTACTGAAATGGTACAAAATGTAATGTTAAAGTATATATTTTGCACATGATCATTTAACTACTATCCCAGCTTTATTTACAGAATGAATGCATATATACAAAAAGGTGTAATTAAAGAGAAAACTTGATTTAAATAGTGTACTCTACCCCTAGCAATATTTTTGCATCCCACTACCTTTCACCAAATTTATTTTCAAAGAAAACAGTTGATCGCGGTTAGCATGAATAATGTCCTAAGACTTAATCAGTAGTTTTTTGGATTTTTTTTACAAACTAAATGGGATGTTTGAGATCGATTACTTAAGCAACTAATTTACCTATTCCCCCTTTACCCTGAGTGTAATAAATAACTCGTCGTCTTTGAGGTCAATTGACCCTGAGAGTGCACCACCCTTTTAGGGAACTGTTTGGTCAGAAAATAGTATTCGGCTCCTTTTGGCTACAAACCATTATTAGAGAGAACGTGAAACAGGTGGCCAGCGACGGAAAACAATAAAAAAAAGATTTTAAACGTAGGCTTACTGGCTAGTAAGAACACTGCTATGTCAAACCTCAGACAAACAGAACCTCTTGTTTTCTTTGCTTTAGGCCAGCACGAACAGTGTCACAATCGATGACCAATAAGGACAATTGCATGCAAGATTTTTACCGCGCTTAGCAACGTTTGTAAGCAGTTTATCGCGTTCAGAGAGCCGGTTGCATTTTGCCCCCTTTGAGAGCGTTTGCTGCTTGATTTATAGCAGTTCAAAGATGTCATTGTTTAGATGTAATTGCTTTGGTTTTGACGTCACGATAGTCATGAGAACACAAATTGCAAAATTGACGCACGTGCTTTACGCGTGCTGTGACAATCCTTTGGCGTGAGCTGGATGTGTCATTGTTATAAACTCACATTCGTGGTGTTCGTGATATCTTAGGAGCTAGAGATTTGAATTTGAGGAGAACCTCTTTAGGATAGAGCGTTTCCTTAAAGGGGCATGAGCAACAGGGGCGTCTGGTGTGTCTGAATCAGAAAGCATCACTTATATTCGACCAGCAGGCATTCCATCTAAACAAAATAACCCTCACTTATAAAACTAATATATAGATTTAGCCAGGGCTAAAAGCGAAGCTCTGGTTAATAATACGTGTAAACAAAAAAATTAAATCGTGTAATGCTAAACGGGGACGACAATGAAAATGGCTTCAAGACTAATAGATCTAATTAGCAAAAAAAAAATAAATTGCACGTGCGGCACACTTTTTCTTCTAATTAGCAAAAAACAAATTTGCACTCGCAGCACGCTTTTTTGTCTTTCCCTTGCCGTTGTTTTGCACGACTACAACGCTGTTTTATATGACTAACAAGTCAAACATCCTAGTTAAACATTATTTTTATGGAGGAATTGTCGTATGTGCTTACCCAATATTTTGTTTCCTGTGTTCATGTTCGCTTTTATTATTCACTGCCGCTCATTTTGACCTTGCTGGCCGCTATGCTAGCATTTCTCATTTTCTCACCGCCGCTTTGAATTTCCATGTTTTTCTTCCTACGAAATTCGTCTCCTTTGCTCTAGCTCTTTCCCTATTATCCACGTCAGTGTAAACATAAAAAATAACGCCGAAAAAGACACGACTTTGTCGTTGTTTTTTCTTTCTTAAAGTCCGGGCGGCCATGTGATTTCCTTCCAAATAAAACTTTGAGTTGCATTTGAGCTGCCATACCTGTTGATTAAGTTATTTTACATTGGTATGCCTGTGATGCGGACGGACGGTCGCTCGCTCGGTGTACGGTCACGTGATTACCAAATTTTCTCGAATGGGTAGATTACCACATTTAGCGCCGCGCGTGGAGCTCCGCTATTACTAGTAATAACTAAAGGGTATGGAGTAACAAGCTTTGCGAATGTTCCATGTGATAAAAGTTCAAAATGTGCGCGATCAGATTCGCCACTTTGAGGTTGCGCGGGAGACCGGGTCGAGATGGTTGTGAAAGTGAATTGTGGGACTGTTTTGGGCGACAAATTTGCCGCCATGCAGAAATGCGTCCCCCAAAACAGTCCCACAATGCACTTGACAACCATCTTGACCCAGTTTCCCGCGCAACTTAAAAGTGGCGAATAACTAGTGAAAGAGTGCAAGGAGCTCCAAACACGCGTCATTCTTAGCAAATGCCCAAATAATGTTGGATAACTATATTCCGCACATACGTAACGGCAACCTGGAGACAGATCAGGATTGCGAGCTCCTCTGGTCGCTCGCAATAACCTAAAATTTTGTTACACATGAGGTATCAAAAGCTGTTTATGGCTGGAACAAATGGCTTTGGCATTTCCTTGCGTCTAAGAAACATAGTTATGGCGGGGAAAGTAGCCATTACCTTCATGGAAGTACACACATTGCTCTAGACTTCCTAAAAGTCTTTTATTTTTTTCTGGTTGGTTTTGCGAACTCAAAATCCTTCAAAATCGCTCAAAAAACCGCTTTTGAGGCAAAAGGAAGACAATATATTACCACACGAAAGGTAATTGAACGTTTATATAATATTGATTTATAGACATACATAGCGATATATCACTATAGGTAAAGCGAACGATAAATCCAGTACATTTACTATAAAATAACAAGGTAAATCCAGTACATTTACTATAAAATAGCAATCGGTTACACACGCACACATTGTGCGGACGCCCTGTGGTGCAACCATTTGTCAGATGAGGAAACACACAACACCGACGCGACCATAGCTGACTAGCTCTGACTACTTTGCCTTCTTGCGAGAAAACCTGGCAAAAGTGTGGACTATAATCAGAGCACACCATTTACAAAAGCGCGATTTCAAAACAAAAACAAACGATCGCGTTGCATCAAGGTTGGCAATAGGCCTTTGACTTGTAAAAGTTATGTAAAGCTAATAAATGCTTGTACGTCATCAGATGCCTCCGAAAAGAAGGATGTAGCCAAGCAGAAGTAGACCATTTATTGTCTTCCTTAGTTCTACCTAATATTACTTATGCTTTACCTGTGTATGGGGCCTCTGAAGGAGAGCTAACTATAGCCCAGCAGTTTTTAGATCGATGTTTTAAACGCAGATACATATTCAAGAAATTAGAGATAGGTGAATTACTTAATATAATGATCAAAGTTCTCCTTATTGGAACGTGAGTCAGCCAACCCACTCGAATTCGTGAGGCGAAGTAATTTGTCTGTTTTATTTACCTAAACCACATAGCCAAGTAAGAGAGGTGGTTGAATATATTTTGTCATAGTTCATGAGGAACGTTGGGTACCATGGGTTTTTTCTCGCGTGCGGCGGGATGTTTTGCTGCCATAGTATTTGTAGGAAGGTTTCTAGTATCCCGAACCACCCCCTTAGAGCTAATTTCCCTGAGACTAAAGAGATTTTACAAGATACAACTTAAGGAACAAATCTCCCGCTATACCCGCCACTCACACGGACCGTTTTAAGAATACATTCTTAATAGAATTGTCTTTAAGTATAATGTAGCTTTGTAAATAGTGTACTTTCTGTATTCGATTTTTGTATTTGTTTCTATGTATATACTAATCTTATTTAGAGACATACTTTAGCCCATTATCATTGTTATATTTATTTAAATGTAACATAAGATAAGTAATTTTATCTTTTGAACAATAAAGACACGTTATTTATTTATTTATTCTCCGGCTTGAATCAAGGTAGGGTCTCTATCGTTTTCTTTTGTGCTATTAACTCTTCGGCAACACTTTTAAGGCTCAAACATGTACATTTAACGTTGTTTTTATCACTGTCACTCAGTACATAGTCTAAACGCTCATTAGTGGTTCTTTGACCTCCGTGCTCCTCCCTATTTTTAACTTTAACATGCGAGTACAGGCTCTTGCTTACACGCTCCAGATTTTTCAGACTCTCTTCTCTCACCTCGTAACACTGTGTCTCTAGTCGATGGATAATTCTGTCGGCAATCTGCATATAGTTGTCTGGCTCGATCTCTAGACTCCTTTTATGCGTCTTTAATTCCATCAATGTCAAGCGTCTTGCTTCATGTATACACGTCGATATCAGAGTTTTTAGCTCGTACTTTTGACCATAGATGAGCATAGCAAGAACATCATTCTCCATTCGTCTTTTCACCATAGAAGCCATCTGCGCCTCACACTTCCGAGCAATAGACTCTATTTGATATTCATGAGCAAGTTCAAACAAGAAGTAACAATTTGCCTTTGTTACTTGTTTCTCCTCCACAGAAGGATACATCATAAGTAGCAAGGTTTGGATTTCTCTTGCTTTCTTCCCTGGAAGAGGGATTTCATCTTTATTCTTCTCCTTGAATTCTGAAGTGAACATCTTTTCAAACACGGGCGACCAAAATGCGAGAATACCTCGATGAACATGAAATTTCTGTTCTTCAACAACAAGCACCAAATCGCTTAACTTCCACGGTTCTAGGAAATCAGTTGGGAAAGCTGAGGCGAAAGCTTGCGTCATGCTGTAGTGGACTTAGGGAATAAACTGACGAGTAGCTTGCTTGTTTTTACTTTTGAAGATATTCAGGGGGGTGCATGGATATTGTCTCAAAGAGCTTTTACTCTACTCCAAGGGAAGTTGCACGATGATCGGAACGAGCAGCTGAACGAGATTTGACTGTAAATAGCTCGAAAATGACAAAAAATTGATTGATTAATTCAATTATTGGTTGACTGACTGATTGATTGATTGATTTGAAGTCTTATAAAGAAAAGCAATGTAATTCACTGAGTGATTCAAATTTTTTGCAACAAAAAAATATTGTTTTGAAACAGGAGTTAACTGAAATAAAGCTAGGAATTACGCCTCATCAACAATTCCTTGACATGGCTGAAAATATTATTTTTTTCAAAGCGGAAAATGGTTTCGAAAAAGAGAATAAAACCGGAAACAAAACATGGAAGCTAAGGATGTGTTCACGCTATACCGGATAGGTTTCGTGTGCGATATGCATGTGGTCATGTCTCCACTTTAGAGAATCTGCGCTGCGCAGCTTCACTCGGTTACAGAAATCGCGCCGAAATCATCGTTCTTAACCTACAGTCTCAGTCAAAATTGTTGGGACACTGTGCTGTCTTCCTGCCTTCCCAATGTTGGAGTAATAGATTTGCTAACTTTACTGCCATAAACAACATTGAGAGAGAGCGGGAGACGAGCGAGAAGGGAAAAACAGCGTTCAGTGGAAGTTGTCGAAGACTGTAGCCTTAGAAACGCACGTAAAAATGCACGTTGGCCATGGATAGCAAATTTAACAGCCTTTAGAGGAAAGTGAGATCAGCTGATATTAGTCCAAACTTGTAAGGCTCGGAGTTGCCAGTCAATTTATCCGATCTAAGGAAAGACATCTCCGATGATTGTTTCTCTATTTAGCCGATTCAGATTCGTTATCTCAATGTTTTGTGAATCCTTAATCTTTTTGCCATGCAAATGTGTAACAAGCGGAACAAAAGAATATTTTGTTTCGAGAACAAATGCGCTTATAGTTGGCACATTAAGATCAATAGATGACGTCAGCGAGAATATAGCTAAAAAAAGCGGCCTTTTCAATCAAGGGACCAGCAGCTACACAAACTTTTTGGAAAAGGGAAAGTTTTTACATAAGAAAAAGGTTTTAAAACACCCACAGGACTGCTGGAACACCAACATGGCCGACATTACATTGTTTTAGAACTGACCAATATGGCGGACGACGTCACGTGAAAGCGCTCCATAAATCGGTGCATTTTCTTGAATTTGCTTTGTCTTGGGCTCTTGTAGGCTCTTGTGGGTTTAAGGGTTACAAGTTTTCAAAAAATGATACAAAATGTAAAGTAAAAGTATATATTTCGCATATGATCATTTACCGAATTTCCCAGCTTTATTTACATAGTGAATGCATATATACAAAGAGGCGTAATAAACAGGGAAATTTAACTTAAAAAGTGTAACCTACCCTTCGCAATATTATATTTGATCATCTTTCGCCACATTTCATTTCAAAGAAAACATTTGGTCGCGGTTCGCATGAATACTGTCCTAAAACTCAATCAGCACTTTTTGGTTTTTCTAGCTGGATTTTTTAAATCGATACTTTAAGCAACTAATTAAACCTTCTTCCAATTTTTTTTGCTTTTCCAGAGTCAAATTACAGAGGTCATTTGACACTGAGAGTATACAACCCTGTACTCGTAGGACTGGTAGGTCAGGAAATAAATATTCGGCTCCTTTTGGCTACAAACCATTGACAAGAGAAAACGTGTAATAGGTGACCAGCGGGAAACGATGAGAAGCGGTTGTAAACACAGGCTAGTGAATAGAGCTTATTCACTCACGTGGCCAGATCTATGCTAATCAATACGAACAAAAGAGTCTTTACAAAAGAAAAGAGTTCAATTCCCACGGGGTTGTCTTGGTATACCAACATGGCCGCCGTTTCATTGTTTTGGAACACCAATATGGCCGACGTGACGTCATGTGCACACACATGCTATTTGACGTATATCATTGACTTTGGGTACCTAGTCGGGTCCGCTGAATTGAGAAAGTGCGAACATGCCAAAAAACAAAACAAAACAAAACAAAACAAACAAAAAACGGGAGGAAACTGGCGAAAGTAAAGGCGACGGAAGGGCGTCGTAACAGAAATGATTATTACAGGCTTTCTCTCCCCCTCCTTTTTTCGCCTTGCCAACTTTTCGTGTGCATTTCACTTTCGCGTCTTCTCTATTATCTGAGAGCTTGGAATAGGCTACGCTAAATAAGGATTTTTCAAAATCGATTAACTAACGTGTCGCCAAAATTTCATGTAATAAGGTACCCTTAGCTCTTTATCTTGCTATTTAAAACAGCGCTTCAGATCTGAAATAGGGGCATGGATTGGCTACGCATTCAGTACAATCATACCCAAATTTTCTAGAAATAGCCTTCCTCTATCCCCACATGAGGAACGTTAGTTATCCGTAAAGAACACATGTTTAAAGCTTAAAGAGTAGTTTCGGTTAAGCAACGGACATATTGATGTTTATCAACCGTTGTTGTTTTTCTGCTTTCCTTTACTTTTCACTGCATCCAAAAGATCAGAGTTCTGGAAATATCTATGCTCACGATAAATATTGATGTTCGTTGTTTTCGGTGTGTGTGAAGGTTAACACCAGGTAAACAAGTTACTTACATACATTTCAAGCTTTCCACAAATAAATATATTTAAGGTTGGCAGACGGAGGTAATTCAATGTCAGTTTGAAGGTCCCTGAATGGGTTCCAAAATGTGTGTACAATCAAGGCAGGCATTCTAAGGTAACTTTTTGAGCTATTAATTCACTCGCAACTTTGGTTAGACTCTCACAGTAAACGCCTTTTCTGATGAATACGTTTAGTAAACGATCTAAACGTTCTTCAGCGGTTTCTGGAATTGCAAACATGGATGATTTATCGGCTATCTCTAGAACAAGCTCGCATAGATTTTTAACCACACGCTCCAGATGTTGCAGACTCTCTTCTTTCACTTCCTTACACAGTGGCTCGAGTGGCTCGAGTCGCTGAATAATTTGCTCAGTAATCTGCAGGTAATTGTTTGGCTCGATCTCTTCTTTATGCTGTATCAATTCGTTGAACGATGCTGAACGCTGTGCCTCATCTATAGACGCCGATATAAGAGTTTTAAGCTGGTACTTTTGCCCATAGATGAGCATCGCAAAAACATCCTCCATCTTTTCTCTGACCATAAAAACCATAAACGATTGGCATTTCTGAACAATGGACTCTATTAGATATTCGTGAGCAAGTTCAAGCAAGAAGTAGCAATTTGCCTTTGTCACTGGTTTCTCCTCTAAAGAAGGATACAGCATGAGTAGCAAGTGTTTAATTTCGCTTGCTTTTTTCCCTGGAAGAGGAATTTCATCGTTATTCTTCTCCTTGAGTCCTGAAGTGAACATCTTTTCAAACACGGGCGACCAAAATGCGAGAATGCTTCGATGAACATGGAATTTCTGATCTTCAACCAAAAGAATCACATCACTTAACTTCCATGGTTCTAGAAAATCAGTTGGGAAAGCTGAAGCGGAAGCTTCTGTCATGCTGCACTCGACCAGGAACCAAAAGAACGAATAGTCTTTTTCCCCTTTAAGGAATTTGCCTTCACTTTTCTCACTCTACACGAAAGAAAGTTGAAACAGGACTAGGTACGAGGAAATTATAGACCGTGACTGACACGTTCACAGTGTAAAACCGGTTTAGCCAACTTTTAAAATGTATTCTAATGTAATTATTATTAACGAATTGATTGAAACCAAGTCATGCTACTAACTGCTTATCTAGTGAATTTCGCACGGCAGTTGCACGGTGATCGGAACGGGACTAAACTGTAAGTAAGTCGACAATAACAAATAATTGATTGATTAATTCAATGATTGATTGATTGGAAGTCTTATAAAGAACAGCAATACAGTAAAAAACCCGCGACTCAGAACCTGGTTTTTGAGAACCTGTTAGGCTAAAATTTGACAGTTAGACCTCCTCTATACAAGAACCTGTTCAGCTTAAAATCTGTTCCAACTGCAATGTAATGGTATACAGGTTTTACCCGAGGAATGAGCTGAATACAACTAAATACTCTTAGCTAAAATTCAGTGCTTTTTCCTACGAAAATAAGAGCTATTTAAGACCCTAAATAGCCTAAATTTGTTCTAATTACCATTTATGTAAGAACCCGTTTAGGCTAACTTGGGAAAATGTAGGTTCGTAGTCGCGGGTTTTTACTGTATAATTTACTGGGTGATTCAAATTTTTCAGTTGCAACAAAAAATATTGTTTCGAAACAGGAATTAACTGACAAAAGCAAGGAATTAAGCCATCAACATCGTTGGTTGACGGAAAGTTATGTTATAACCTAAAGTCTCGGTGTGAATAGGATAATGGAATAAAGAGAGCAAAAATTCCTCAGCAGAGCTAAAAATATTATTGCAAAGCTGAAAAGAAAGAACATGGCAAGTTAGAAACGCAAGGTGGATGTTCAAGTTGGCAGCCTTCAGAGGGAAGTGGAATTTCTGATGTCAATCCAAACTTGGAAAGCCCTGCGTTTTTACTGAAATGGTACAAAATGTAATGTTAAAGTATATATTTTGCACATGATCATTTAACGACTATCCCAGCTTTATTTACAGAATGAATGCATATATACCAAAAGGTGTAATTAACGAGAAAACTTGATTTAAAAAGTGTACTCTACCCCTAGCAATATTTTTGCATCCCACTACCTTTCGCCAAATTTATTTTAAAAAGGAAACAGTTGATCGCGGTTAGCATGAATAATGTCCTAAGACTTAATCAGTAGTTTTTTGGATTTTTTTTACAAACTAAATTAGATGTTTGAGATCGATTACTTAAGCAACTAATTTACCTATTCCCCCTTTACCCTGAGTGTAATAAATAACTCGTCGTCTTTGAGGTCAATTGACACTGAGAGTGCACCACCCTTTAGGGAACCGTTTGGTTAGAAAATAGTATTCGGCTCCTTTTGGCTACAAACCATTATTAGAGAGAACGTGTAACAGGTGGCCAGCGACGGAAAACAATAAAAAAAGATATTTTAAACGTAGGCTTACTGGCTAGTAAGTACACTGCTATGTCAAACCTCAGACAAACAGAACCTCTTGTTTTCTTTGCTTTAGGCTAGCATGAACAGTGTCACAATCGATGACCAATAAGGACAATTGCATGCAAGATTTTTACCGTGCTTAGCAACGTTTGTAAGCAGTTTATCGCGTTCAGAGAGCCGGTTGCATTTTCCCCCCTTTGAGAGCGTTTGCTGCTTGATTTATAGCAGTTCAAAGATGTCATTGTTTAAATGTAATTGCTTTGGTTTTGACCGCACGACAGTCATAAGAACATAAATTGCAAAATTGACGCGCGTGCTTTGACAATCCTTTGGCGTGAGCTGGATGTGTCATTGTTATAAACTCACATTCGTGGTGCTCGTGATATCTTAGGAGCTATAGATTTGAATTTGAGGAGAACCTCTTTAGATATAAAGCGTTTCTTTAAGGGGGCATGAGCAACAGGGGCGTCTGGTGTGTCTGAATCAGAAAGCATCACTTCTATTCGACCAGCAGGCATTCCATCTAAACAAAATAACCCTCACTTATAAAACCAATATAGATTTAGCCAGGGCTAAAAGCGAAGCTCTGGTTAATAATACGTGTAAATAAAAAAATTAAATCGTGAAATGCTAAACGGGGACGACAATGAAAATGGCTTCAAGACTAATAGATCTAATTAGCAAAAAATTGCACGTGCGGCACACTTTTTCTTCTAATTAGCAAAAAACAAATTTGCACTTGCAGCACGCTTTTTTGTCTTTCCCTTGCCGTTGTTTTGCACGACTACAACGCTGTTTTATATGACTAAAAGGTCAAACGTCCTAGTTAAACATTATTTTTATGGAGGAATTGTCGTATGTACTTACCCAATATTTTGTTTCCTGTGTTCATGTTCGCTTTTATTTTTCACTGCCGCTCATTTTGACCTTGCTGGCCGCTAGCATTTCTCATTTTCTCACCGCCGCTTTGAATTTCCGTGTTTTTCTTCCTACGAAATTCGTCTCCTCTGTTTTCAATAACTCGCTATAGCTCTTTCTCTATTATCCACGTCAGTTTAAACATAAAAAATAACGATAACGCCGAAAAAGACGCGACTTTGTTGTTGTTTTTTCTTTCTTAAAGTTCGGGCGGCCATGTGATTTCCTTCCAAATAAAACCTTGTGTTGCATTTGCGTTGCCATACCTGTTGATTAAGTTATTTTACATTGGTATGCCTGTGATGCGGACGGACGGTCGCTCGCTCGGTGTACGGTCACGTGATTACCAAATTTTCTCGAATGGGTAGATTACCACATTTAGCGCCGCGCGTGGAGCTCCGCTATTACTAGTAATAACTAAAGGTTATGGAGTAACAAGCTTTGCGAATGTTTCATGTGATAAAAGTTCAAAATGTGCGCGATCAGACTCGCCACTTTGAGGTTGCGCGGGAGACCGGGTCCAGATGGTTGTGAAAGTGCATTGTGGGACTGTTTTGGGCGACAAATTTGCCGCTATGCAGAAATGCGTCCCCCAAAACAGTCCCACAATGCACTTGACAACCATCTTGACCCAGTTTCCCGCGCAACTTAAAAGTGGCGAATAACTAGTGAAAGAGTGCAAGGAGCTCCAAACACGCGTCATTCTTAGCAAAAGCCAAAATAATGTTGGATAACTATATTCCGCACATACGTAACGGCAACCTGGAGACAGATCAGGATTGCGAGCTCCTCTGGTCGCTCGCAATAACCTAAAATTTTGTTACACATGAGGTATCAAAAGCTGTTTATAGCTGGAACAAATGGCTTTGGCATTTCCTTGCGTCTAAGAAACATAGTTATGGCGGGGAAAGTAGCCATTACCTTCATGGAAGTACACACATTGCTCTAGACTTCCTAAAAGTCCTTTATTTTTTTCTGGTTGGTTTTGCGAACTCAAAATCCTTCAAAATCGCTCAAAAAACCGCTTTTGAGGCAAAAGGATGACAATATATTACCACAGGAAAGGTAATTGAACGTTTATTTGATATTGATTTATAGACATACTTAGCGATATATCACTATAGGTAAAGCGAACGGTAAATCCAATACATTTACTAAAAAATAACAAGGTAAATCCAGTACATTTACTATAAAATAGCAATCGGTTACACACACACATTGTACGGACGCCCTGTGGTGCAACCATTTGTCAGATGAGGAAACACACAACGCCAACGCGACCACAGCTGACTAGCTCTGACTACTTTGCCTTCTTGCGAGAAAACCTGGCAAAAGTGTGGACTATCAGAGCACAGTGTGGACTATCAGAGCACACCATTTACAAAAGCGCGATTTCAAAACAAAAACAAATGATCGCGTTGGTCGTCTGGGTTGTATATAATAAAAGGTAGGGTCTCTATCGCTTTCTTTTGAGCTATTAACCCTTCGGCAACAGTTGTAAGGTTCAAACATTTAACGTTGTTTTTTTCACCGTCATTCAGTACATAGTCTAAACGCTCATTAATGGTTCCTGGACCTCTGTGCCCCTCCCTATTTTTACTTCTAACATGCAAGTACAGGCTCTGGCTTATACGCTCCAGATTTTGGACACTCTCTATTCTCACCTCCTTACACTGTATCTCGAGTCGCTGGATAATTCTCTCGGCAATCTGTATATAGTTGTCTGGCTCGATCTCGAGACGTCGTTTATGCGTCTTTAATTCCAGCAATGTCAAGTGTCTTGCTTCATGTATACACGTCGATATCAGAGTTTTTAGCTCGTACTTTTGTCCATAGATGAGCATAGCCAGAACATCATTCTCCATTCGTTTTTTGACCATAGAAGCCATTTGCGCCTCACACTTCCGAGCAATAGACTCTATTTGATATTCATGAGCAAGTTCAAACAAGAAGTAACAATTTGCCTTTGTTACTTGTTTCTCCTCCACAGAAGGATACATCATAAGTAGCAAGGTTTGGATTTCTCTTGCTTTCTTCCCTGGAAGAGGGATTTCCTCTATATTCTTCTCTTTGAATTCTGAAGTGAACATCTTTTCAAACACGGGCGACCATAGTGCGAGAATACCTCGATGAACATGAAATTTCTGATCTTCAACAACAAGCACCAAATCGCTTAACTTCCACGGTTCTAGGAAATCAGTTGGGAAAGCTGAGGCGAAAGCTTGCGTCATGCTGTAGTGGACTTAGGGAATAAACTGACGAGTAGCTTGGTTGTTTTTACTTTTGAAGATATTCAGAGGGGTGCATGGATATTGTCTCAAAGAGCTTTTACTCTACTCTAAGGGAAGTTGCACGATGATCGGAACGAGCAGCTGAACGAGATTGGACTGTAAATAGCTCGAAAATGACAAAAAATTGATTGATTAATTCAATTATTGGTTGACTGACTGATTGATTGATTGATTTGAAGTCTTATAAAGAAAAGCAATGTAATTCACTGAGTGATTCAAATTTTTTGCAACAAAAAAATATTGTTTTGAAACAGGAGTTAACTGAAATAAAGCTAGGAATTACGCCTCATCAACATCGTCGGTGGACAAAAATTTATGTAATAACCGAAGATCTGGGTCTGGATAAGAGAAGGGCAATGAGCTAGCAAAAATTCAATTCCTTGACATGGCTGAAAATATTATTGTTTTCAAAGCTGAAAATGGTTTCGAAAAAGAGAATAAAACCGGAAACAAAACATGGAAGCTAAAGATGTGTTCACGCTATTACGGATAGGTTTCGTGTGCGATATGCATGTGGTCATGTCTCCACTTTAGAGATCTGCGCTGCGCAGCTTCACTCGGTTACAGAAATCGCGCCGAAATCATCGTTCTTATATGTGAACAGAAGCCCGGGTTTAGCGTGAACCTACAGTCTCAGTCAAAATTGTTGGGACACTGTACTGTCTTCCTGCCTTCCCAATGTTGGAGTAATAGATTTGCTAACTTTACTGCCATAAACAACATTGAGAGAGAGCGGGAGACGAGCGAGAAGGGAAAAACAGCGTTCAGTGGAAGTTGTCGAAGACTGTAGCCTTAGAAACGCACGTAAAAATGCACGTTGGCCATGGATAGTAAATTTAACAGCCTTTAGAGGAAAGTGAGATCGGCTGATATTAGTCCAAACTTGTAAGGCTTGGAGTTGCCAGTCAAGGAAAGACATCTCCGATGATTGTTTCTCTGTTTAGCCGATTCAGATTCGTTATCATAATGTATTGTGAATCACAATCTTTTTGTAATGCAAATGTGTAACAAGCAAAACAAAAGAATATTTTGTTTCGAGAACAAATGCGCCTTTAGTTGGCACATTAAGATCAATAGATGACGTCAGCCAGAGTATAGCTATAAGAAAGGGCCTTTTCAATCACGGGACCAGCAGCTACGAAAACCTTTTGGACAAGGGAAAGTTTTTACATAAGAAAAAGGTTTTAAAACGCCCGCAGGACTGCTGGAACACCAACACGGCCGCCATTTCGTTGTTATTGGAATTGACCAATACGGCGGACGACATCACGTGAAAACGCTCTATAAATCGGTGCGTTTTCTCGAATTTGCTTTGTCTTGGGCTCTTGTAGGCTCTTGTGAGTTAGGGGTTACAAGTTTTACAAAAATGATACAAAATGTAAAGTAAAAGTATATATTTCGCATATGATCATTTACCGAATTTCCCAGCTTTATTTACAGAATGAATGCATACTAAAGAGGTGTAATAAACAGCGAAATTTAACTTAAAAAGTGTAACCTACCCTTAGCAATATTATCTTTGATCATCTTTCGCCACATTTAATTTCAAAGAAAACATTTGGTCGCGGTTACCATGAATACTGCCCTAAAACTCGATCAGCACTTTTTGGTTTTTCTAGATTGGATTTTTTAAATCGATACTTTAAGCAACTAATTAAACCTTCTCCCAATTTTTTTTCACTTTTCCAGAGTTAAGTTATAGAGGTCATTTGACACTGAGAGTACACAACCCTGTACTAGTAGGACTGGTTGGTCAGGAAATATATATTCCGCTCGTTTTGGCTACAAACCGTTGATAAAAGAGAACGTGTAATAGGTGGCCAGCGACGGGAAACGATGAGAAGCGGTTGGAAACGCAGGCTAGTGAATAAACTGCTATGTCTAAATGCAGACAAAGAGAATCACTTGTTTTCTTTGCTTTAAGCTATGAGATGTGTCATAATCGCTAATCATTAAAGCCAGTGCATGCAAGATTTTTACCGCACTTAGTAACGTTTGCAAGCAGTTTATCTCGTTCAGGGCCGGTTACATTTCCCCGCCTTTGAGAGCGTTTGCAGCTTGATTTATAGCAGTTCAAAGGTGTCATTGTTTAGATGTAATTGCTTTGGTTTTGGCGTCACGACAGTAATAAGAACATGAAACCCAATATTCACGCACGTGCTTTACGCGTGCTTTGACAATCCTTGTGCGTGACCTGGTTGTGTCATTGTTATGAACTCACATTCGTGGAGCTCGTGATACCTTAGGAGCTAGAGATTTGAATTTGAGGAGAACCTCTTCAGAATAGAGCGCTTCTTTAAGGGGGCATGAGCAACAGGGGCGTCTGGCGTGTCTGAATAAGAAAGCATCACCTCTAGTCCACCAGCAGGCATTCCATCTAAACAAAATAAACAAAAAGAATATAATAACCCTAAACAAAGGCTAAGAGTGAGGTCGACTCAAACGCTATTGCTTTGCTAATGTTTCATGTAATAAAAGTTCAAAATGCGCGCGATCAGATTCGCCACGTTGAGGTTGCGCGAGAGACCGGGTCGAGATGGTTGTGAAAGTGCATTGTGGGACTGTTTTGGGGGACAAATTTGCCGCCATGTTGAAAATGCGACCCCCAAAACAGTCCCACAATGCACTTTCACAACCATCTCGAGCCGGTCTCCTGCGCAACCTAAAAGTGGCGAATAACGAGTGAAAGAGTGAACGGAGCTCCAAAACGCGCGTAATTCTTAGTAAAAGTCCAAAGTAATGTTGGATACGTATATTCCGCACATTCGTGACAGCAACCTGCAGCAGGAGATTAGGATTGCGAGCTCCTCTCGATCTGGTCGCCTGCAATAACCTAAAATATTGTTTCTTATGAGTTATCAAAAGCTGTTTATAGCTGGACCAAATAGGCTTGGCGCTTCCTTATGTCTTAGAAACATAATTACAGCGGAGAAAGTAGCCATTACCTTCATGGAAGTACACACATTGCTCTAGACTTTCTAAAAGCCCTTTATTTTTTTTCTGGTTGGTTACGCCATTTTAAAGAACTTTTCATACCTGTTTGGCGGGAAATTCACCGGTCGAAATTTCAAACTGGTGACGTGATGACAATTGACCAATAGGACTGTGAGTGACAGTTCACGCCGCTCCCGACACAGCGTATGTCAATCATTTTTTTCCCGCGTGAATTTATAATATGATTCAAATCCACTCAGGCGAAACAAGTCGACCTCCAGACTTCATCACTCGGTCGGTCACTGCGCGACCTCATGCATTGAAGCTCGCTTCCTCACTTTTAAGAACTTATGAGAAGTCGACTTGTAGCAAGTCAAACATTGTCCCATATATCTATATCTGTTAGGCCTAACACTGGTTCTTATATAATCGAAACAACTTGGACCTCATAAGTACATTTATTGCTATGTGGTGCACCATTTTACTCGCTCACATTAACCCTTAACACGTAAGGACAGTTGGTGGTGCAAAGTCTAACTTGGAGCGCATTTTACGAAGAGTAGCGGCCGCCAAACATTGTTTACAAGTTGCTTATTTTTAGTAGGTAAATTGATGACGACAAAACTCAAAATGGCTTAGAACAAGGTTTTGGTAAACACCTTCTAAACTCTTTTTTATAAAGACCTTCACTGTAGCCTGTAACACTTACCATGTTCCAGGTTAAGCCACTTTGTTTCGGAGTGCTTGCCTGTAAAGGAGAGCGCAAGCATTTGAACAAAACAGCTACATAACAGAATTCTTCAGCTGACATTTGTTACTGCGTGTAATCTGGTTAGAATCTCAACGTTCTTAATACTTGGCCTGAGTTTCTTTATAAACAGCAGAGGAATGCTAAAGGTCAGTGATTATTAGTAGAAAGTTGTTAAAAGAATCAAGTTTAATCACATGGTATCCATTCAAACTCTATAGAATTCTTTCTCTGAAATCGGTCTGACAATTTGCAGGACCTTGTAATGAGACTAAAGAGGAGAAGGAGGAGGAGGGTGGAGGAGAAAGGGGAGGAAAAGGAGCGAGGGGGACGAGGAGGAAGAGGAGAAAGAAGAGGAGGAAGAGAAAGAGGTGGAGGCGGAAGAGGAGGAGGCGGAAGAGATGTAGAAGGAGTAGGAGGAGAGGAAATAGGAGGAGGAGGAGAAGAAGGAGGCGGAAGAGGTGGGTAAAGAGGAGGAAGAGGAATACCTCCTGAATACCTCATAAACTTTGTTCGGAAAGCGTCAAAGATATGTAGCAAAAGGAGGCAATCTTTTTTTCCTTTTTTGGTTTATTATTCTTGGGCTATTGTAGCAATAAGGGCATGGACCTCCATCTCCACCCTTCTAAGTGTATTTCACTCTACCCTAACTCAGTCCTTGTTTGGGACTTTGACCATAAGGCCATGAGACTCAACATTTGCAAATCATAAAAAGTAAGAAGAAACTTTTAAAAATACCTTGCGTGCTACCGCCCGTGTTTGAACGAGACCTCTTGATAAATACGTCTGAAAAAGAAACACATTCAATTAACCGGCCTAGGCTAATTTAGCTTTTTTTGTAATGATGATTGCTTTGATATAGAGCTATTGCTTTTGGCTAAAACAACTGTACACTGTACTTCTACTTAGTGACGGAAGAAGTCATGCTTACCTCTGAAGAATTCTTGGATTGAAATTTTCGTTTTCCCGACGGTGTTTTTCTTGGCATCTCTTAGTTCAAACACCAAATTAGCCTCATTTGAAATGGCGGTGCCTCCAGCAGTCTAAATTGCCAGTTAAAATGATTAAAAAAAAAAAAAACGTCAGGATGTACGTACAAATAAATAACTACCTACAGATACAAGTGATATGGAAGACAAATAAAAACTAAAACCACCATCACTAACAACACGTGCGAGTAAGAAAGGGACGCATTGGAAAAAATTCACCCGCTAACGGAAGCAATAAAGGCGCAACCGTTGCCAAGAAAGTGAAATAGAACGACGGTTACGGCAAGCGGGAAAAATCAGATTCAAAGCAGCAACTAGGCCTGCTTTTCGCTTACAGTCTAACTTCTCCATCTCTTTTGTTGTGATTCCACGCTACGTATTCTTTGGTCTGCCTCCCAAGCACCTTTTTCCAAGCAGAAACAAATTTAGTGTGATTCTTCCCACCCGCAGATCCTTTACGTTAAGTTTAAAATCTCACCTGGAAGATGTAATTCCACTTAGCCAAGCCACTCTCTGGAGTCAGCTGAGGAGTTGTGCACATAGTAATATACTCGTGCTTCATGCTGCTCTTTCGACCGCGTCGCGGGCTGGGAAAGCAACATGGTAACTCTATTAAGAACAGTTAACGTTAAGGTTTCTAAAGCGTTCTATTATGTCTCTTCCAGACCTTCACACGTTTCGACAAGCCAACCTGGCCCTAGGAGCGCATGCGTGGTGGGCGAGCGCTTAATTTCGCGAAACAGCAGTTGGGGTTCAAGCCTTGTCGTCGTGTTGCTTTTTAGACAAGAAAAGAAGGTGCTTTATGCTGCCAAAGGAGGCTTACGTTCCGGCCTTGTGAGCCTCTTTAGCTCGTATCCGCCTTTGCCTACTTTAGCTACCCCTCTAGATTAAGCCCCTCACACCCTCTCCCCATACAACAACGTACAGAGGGCAACTTGGAGCGGAGTAAAACTGCATTAAACGTTGTTATTACCGAAACCAAAGAAACAAAGCCCTTTGTCTGCATTATAGAGGTACAGTCAACTCGACCTCAATACCGACACCAAGGGTACAGAGCTAACTGGCTGCAATACAGAGATGATCATATTAGGGAGATACAACCAACAACCTCCTTAATATGTACATCAACTTATAACGGACACCAAGGGGGAGAGGTGGAGGCAGAGACAACTGGCAGCTGTATTACAGAGATGTTGATAGTAAAGCCGATTTAGACGGCACGATTTTTGCTTACGACTATCGTGCGCTACTAGCATGCTTCATGACTTCACGACAGATCTGGAGGTGTAAGTTAGACCCACGATATTCGTTCGACACATTGTGGATATCGTAAGTGAAAATTGTGCGCGTGTGGATGGTCAAAAATCATGACGAATGCTAGTCGCGCACGATAGTCGTAAGCAAAAATCGTACTGTCTAAATCGGCCTTTAGAGAGACACAGCTAACCTCATTAATACGGACACCAACTGTTTGGTATTACAGAGATATCCGTAATATAGACGCGATACCATAATCATAGCCTCTGTCATATGGAAAAAAGTACTATTCCAATTCGTTGGATTTATATTAATCCATACTTACATCTCAACTCTCGCACGAATCTGAAATGTTCCAAACCCTGACGATACAAGAAAATAACTCCTGAGTAACTGATTGTGTGATCGTTCAAGTGAAAGCTGGTGAACATTAACACTGTTGATTATGCTGTCCAAGGTGGTTCTAATTACTTACTTTGTGAATGAAATCTTTCAGTGTGACGTTTCAACCATGAATCTTTTCAACCATATTTTCACATGGTACTATTTGTTTAACAGTATTTTATGACATCAAAACCTTTTTTTTCTTGAATTTTAATGTTTGGTACTCTCGAGAGTAAAGAGTTGAAGGAATCGGTAAGAAACACTTTAAAAGAGTTGTCAGTTAACCTGTAATGTCCGAGCCCTGAATGACTTCTCCTGATACACTATAAAATAATGGTGGTATCTGGCTTTGAATGTATTCTGAAAACGAATAAAACAATGCATTAAAAAACAATGACATTCACATTTCTCTTGAACTCGGTTTCAAAAAAGTTTGTTGCAGTTTCTCGGTTTAATTCTGTGAAAAATCGAGGGAGAACTAAAAAGGCCAAACGGTACTCGGTTAAGATTCCACAGCCCAAGCGGTTCAAAACCCGGAATAATTGCTACGGCTCAAAGCCACGATGTGTTACGATCATGTTCGTGAAAATCGACTGAACCCTTTTACTGCCAGAGTGAATGTTGGAGTCCCTTAAGGTAGTTCTAACTCTTGCGTCTGAGGACAGAATCCAGTGATGTGACCATTTAAATGAAACCTCTCTGCATATACTTTCAAACGGTGCTATTTGTTTTCAAAATTTTACAAAACGAAATTTGGAAATTTTCGTTGAATTTTGCCCTTAATCATCTAAGTTGAGTCGGCTTTTGAAAGTATACCTTCCATCTTGTCCAATGTAAGATCAAACACGTCTTTAACAGCTTCGGTGTGTTCACCAGCATCGCTGATTCCAGAATCGTTTCCGCTTTCTCCTGGCTGAGTTGCTCCTTCCGCTGCTTCGTCCTAAAACATATGTAAAGATCTGGTAAAATACTCACAATACATGTATTTGGCAGATATTGAGCCAATGTTGGGTGCAACAGTGACAACATTGTCACAATATTTGTTTTTGAATGCTGTGACAATGTTGTAACCATGACGGGTCAAATATTCCCAACTTTGTCCAACATTTGTCCAAGGATTCTTTGAGATGTTGATACCATGCCGCGTCAAACAGTCACTTCATTGCCACAACATTTTCAACACGGGGTTCTTTGGCTAATTTGTGTTTTGTGATTGGTCAGATTTAAGCAACAGAAAACGTTTTACGTGTTTGCACAGCCTGATACGAGAGGGGTTGGGAGAGTTCGAGACGTTTATGCAAACCCGAGACGAAGTCGAGGGTTTGCATAACTGTCGAGAATTCTCCCAACCCCTCTCGTGTTTATATCAGGCTATGCAAACACTGGAAAAAAGTTTTCTATTACTTTTATAAAATAACTTTCTCGAGAAAAACGCAAAACTCTTTGTTATGGCTCTGGTTAAAAGAGAAATTCTTACCAGTCGCAAAGTCGTGTACGCGAGTGCTTGCACGCGTAATCAGTTCTTGTTTTGCAAAAAGATGCTTTCCAAATACGGATTTTGTGAGCGGCACTTTACGGCACTTATTTTGCCATCAAGGGTGACAGCATTGCTCAAAACTTCTTTACCTGTTCACCAGGGATTGACACTTTGAACTGAACCTGGATTTCTCCCGACTCAGCTTCCTGAAGCTTGAGCCACTGAGGTTTTCCTTTCTGAAGACGAAGTACACATAGTTAACAAAATAAGAGATGCACAGGATGAAAACAATGCCCCTGCAACTTAGTAGTTGGATTTCGGTACGTTTTAGACCGCTGAAATTCAAACTATGAGAATTAGGGATATGAAGTGACGTGCGATATGGGGAGTAGCTGTAACAAAGTTTATACATAAGCCTCAGAATGGAAAATGATGTGTTAAAGCTTCATAATGGTAAATTTATACCTAGCTTTAAAGGTGCCGATGGGTTGAAAATACTCCCTGCTGCCCAGTGTAATCATTCAAGTCCGTAGGAATCGCACTGGTATTGGTATAAGTTAAAGAGCACCTCTTAATAAGGCTTAGGTTTATCACGTGCAGTTTGCTCTCCTCCACGCTTCAGATTACCTCGGGCACACAATTGTCTGCCCCATCTTAGTCTGTCAGCTAATTAAACAACCAGCAGTCGCTATTTTTGACCCAATTTAGATATTTTCCTCCAAAGGATAAAAGAGAGGGGCCTTTTCAAGGCTTCTCTACAAAGAAGCATGTATTTAACAATTATTCCTCGAGCCCGAATGGGCTCTGAGTCAATAGCAAATGAGGCCGAAGGCCGAACACGCTATTGACTCAGAGGTCATGAGGGCGAGAGGAATAATTGTTTTAGTAAAATCCAACCGGTTGGTCAAAAATATCGAGACAAAACAACTTTAGCTGGAAAAACACGATTCAGCCGCCATTGTTTTGGTTTTCAAAGCTGGCGCTTTTTGCTACTAGTGGGCTATAACATATAGCCTGGTAGTAGCTCAACCAATCAGAACGCAGCATTGATAATAGACCACTAGTTGGATTTCACTAATTCGACTTATTTGGGTTGGGAACTAGACTATCTATGGCCCATTTGGCATATAATAATACAAATAAATAGAGTAAAAAAAGCAAGTTCACCTTGGAAGCGTCCTTTACTTCATCCACTGACAAAGACACCGTTCCCATGAAGTCATTCTGAAACACATCTTTGTCAAATACATCCTAAAACATAATTAAACCAAATACTTTCTTAAATGTGTGTGCAAAACACGGTTAAGATAGAACACGAGAATGGACAATCAGACATCTTCGGCCTGTGGCGAATTTTACTGTCGTTACCCACTTTCATTCCCAGAGTCAACAGAGTCCAGTTCTCAGAATTCAGATAAAAGCCGCTCAGCAGAGCGTTCCTGAGGTTCTGTTAATTGTTTGTCACGGAATCCTGTGGTGTGACCATTCAGATGAAAGCTAGCAAGCAACACTGTCTTGCGTTACTGTTACGCTGTACAAATTGGTTCCAAAGTTTGATTCTGGAAACGAAATCCTATGGTGTGTCTATTCACATAAGAGCTCTTAAGCGGCACTTTCCTGTGGGATTGTTAATTATGCTGCACGAGGTGGTTGACACCATTCAAATGAAAGCTACTGAGCAGTACTTTGCTGTGGTACCGTTTAGCTATACAAGGTGGTTTTCACTTTGAAGTCTGTAAACAAAATTCTTTAGTGTGATTATTCAAGTGAAAGCTTCGATCGCGGCACCATGACATAGTACTGACACTACTTTTGGTTTTTTAGTACCTTAAAAAAATGATAATTGCGATTTTTATTGAACGGTTTCGCTTGTTACCGTTAGAATTATAGATGATAAGAATGAGAAATTACACTTACAAGGTTGATCTTGTCATCACCTTGAGGCATAGCAATGGATACAGACTCGTTCCACACGGGCGTCAGTGTTTCATAAGCCACGTTAGTCTTAAACTTCTTCGAGTTGTTTACTCGCACCACGCAAAACGGATCACTTAGACCTGTTGAGACCAGATTAAGAACGTTTGAGTCAATCTTCACCGAAGAGGACGACCTTAAAAGCAAAAACGAAGATTTTAAGCGAGATGAGAACCTCGCAGAAAATGGAACTTGAAGTAAGTTAAGGTCTATGAACCTTAATTTCGCATAGATGAAAGGAAACACGCAAAAAACATCTATATCTCGCGGGACGAGAAACTTCTCTTTGTCTACCCGGCAGAGGAAAGGATGTGTAACTCCTTCTCATTAATATGAAGCGCAATTTGGCCCCTGAATAAAACGCAAGCCAACTTGAATGTTATTTAGGGTCACAAAACCTTTCTGTGATCGTGAAAGGTTTGTTTCTTGTCGCATTTCTTGTTCCTAGTTCCGTGTCATTGATTCTTGGCCCCTAATGGTAGGTTAATGAGGGCGATAGCAAACTAAAAAATGTTGTTCACTCTCATTCCTGTTCTCTCCATTTTTATTGTTTTCATTCGTCTGCCTTCTCCACATTTACATTGTTTCCTTTCACTACCATTACATATATTGCAGCTCATATTTACGAGCGAATTCCGACCTCAAAATAGGGTTGATTCGGTGCGCTTTATACTACTTATGGAGGATCTGGTGATTTATACGTAGAACTCACCATTACTGTCCATGGCCGGCATTTCTTTGCCTTGAAGAATCGTGATCACTAAAACCCCAAGCTCTAGGAAGCAAAAATAAACGTCTCAACAATTTTGCATTGCAATAATGACTGTTCCTCATTAATACTTACAAAGTGTATGTGATTTACCTTTGATTAACCTCAACTCTTCCACCTGTCGTTTGATTTTCATGCTACTCTTCATTGTATGCTTCTTGCCATGTTCCTGAAATATAATACGACCATGAGTGCAACGATCTATGGTTACTTAAAAAATCACGGGGAAACTACATCTAATACAATGTGCAACCCTGGCCTTACACTAACAAACTATTGCAACACTTGGATAAAACTCTTTCTTTTAGTTCTGTGGACATGCATCTATAATTCAAACCATGGGCGATCAGCAATTAAACCAAAAACGTGACGTTGATACAAATTATTAATGGACCATTTCCGAGTTGCAACTAAGCCTCTTTTTCAAAACGAGGACGAGTGGAGAATCTTCAAAGTCAATGATTGTCATGCATATAAATGTGTGTATGAAAGGTTTAGCAGTTAGCCTTAATTTATAATGAGAGTTTTTGAAACTCGGAAATGGGTTATTATAACCAAAGAGTTTTTAAACGTGTTTCAGGAGCTTTGATGTGGACTAAACGTACGTTTATGTCGTCGATATCTTCACCATCCAGTACCCCACTAGGTTGCGCCTCTTTCTCTGGTGAATGAAACAGGTAAAAAGAGATGAACAAAATTTTTCATGATCATTTATACAAACTGCTGGATAGAGTAAAGACATACAAACTATGTCATAGAGAGGTCACTGTCTTGTTCAGCAGTTTAGCAAAAGTTGTTCACAAGTAAGAAAAGGACGAAACGGAGCATACGAAGGGTAGTTTCAGTGTCTTGGAAACTGTCATAATTAGAACGAATCCTCACAAAGTTGAGTGCCTATTGTTTAAAACAAATAGACTCCATGTTGCCGAGTGTCGTTCAGGTATAGGTCACAGAATACTTCTATATTTGGTAGAGCTATTAATGTTCAATGAGCCACCAAGGTTTCTTTGTAGTTACTTCACTCACGTCAAAATATGCTGTCGAAATCTCTATTTCATTTGTAATGCTTAATTTGCCTCACCCTGGAAGTGAGGCCTCTGATGACACTCTTTGATAATGGGGTAGATTTTTACAGACCCATCCGTTCTCACCTGACTTTGCCACGGACTCTATAGGCTGAAATACCGCTGATACTGTGAGCGCGCCTGCTTTCATTGTAGAGTCCTCTGACCTCTTCTTACCAAACACTTTGTACTGTAGGTCGATCTTACGTTTGATGATTGCCGGCTCGTCCTGCGTGAATATAAAACAAAACAATCTTAGATCAAGTCATGATAACAACTTTACTTCCAGTAAATTTTTGTTTATGCTTGTTCATTGTTGCTTGGATAATTCTAGACCTTCATTACGACAAAACAAGTATTCGGCTTCATTTGGATTTAGACTGAAGATAGATCAACATAACAATTTTATTGTTTTTGGATTCTTTGGTTTTGTTCTTTCACTGATTAGTTTAGCAAAAACATTGCACACCTTACGGTTAGTTTCGAATATCTTCAGGTGATTGCTGGGATGCCAAGCCGAGAAAAAATCACAAACACGAAACAGGCATTTCGGGTTGATTAATGATGTATGCTTCAACTTAAACAGGTGTTGTATATAGAAAAAGTAAAGACAGAGAAATCAGTTTTATAAATGGGTACCAAAGTCATCTCCAGATTACAGGAACCCATGAAGTCATCTGACTGTCCTTGCCAATTAACATCACGGTCATACACCAGGAATGACAGCGTGGTCTGAAACAACAATAGAAATATCCGCTACATGGAGTTAAAGCGTCAGGTAAAAACATGTCGCAAACATTGGAACTTTCCCTGGACCTATATGCTTCATCATTTAACCGCTGCCTGGTAATCTCAAGTGGAAGACCCCGGTCTGTCTCTTGCTATCACCAACCAGTGTCTATAACAAACTGTGAAATCATGATGGTAGTTGTGATTTGAGGCCATATCTCAGTTCAGTTGATCGCAGCGACGTTGGCCTTGTCTCGTGGACCATTCTTTCATTAGTCAATTTGAAGGGCACGTAAAAGAACCCACCCTACTGTTCAAAAAGGGTAGGGAACGTTTTCTCAATGGAATGGTCGGCGGCGGCATTGCACAGATCATTCATATCATGAGCTGGGTGGGCTACGGGTCAGCTCATAAATGGGCCAATCACAGAAACCAGGGGCACCGTTGTACGCTGGCGTCAGTCCGAGCTAACTGTTAACATGTTAACAGAAAATGGAAAGAGGACACGTCTGCTGTCCTCTCGTCTGCGATATTTGATTCATTCATCGGTCAAATATTAACGCCATATTCGTACAACGTTACACCCTGAGAGTCGTGCCCGACACAATGGTCGATACTGATACCACATTTATTCCCTGGTTTTACGCAACCCACTTTCAACAATGGCAAGGTGATAAAATAAGATAATAGTCTTTTTACGGTTATTTAGGGAGCTACGTACCGCTTGCATGATATTTCCATACCGAAAAATTACCTTTGTGAAATCTCTGACAGGAAATTCTACCACAGAATCCCACACTGGGTTTACCGACCCAGACACATGAGGGGTGGTTTTCACCTTAAAAAAGAAAAGTTAACAATTGTAACAATAAAAATAACTTCTTAAAAAAAAAATTGTGCAAACGATTTGCGTGGTTTAAAAGACTTCAGTTGTACTCATATTAACCTTAACTGTTACCCATTCCATATAAGCTTAAAGGGAACCTCCACTCTTACTACAGAATAAGATTAAATCGAATAAAATTATGTTCATAAACAAATTTGTTTGAAATTTGTCCTTAAAAAAAGTGTTTATATCAGGAAAAGTGAATTTTAAAATCGCTTATTTTCACTTTCAAATTTCGCGGGCGCCGCCATCTTGAATAATTGTGACGTGTTATGGTTGCTCTATTGTTCTGACACAAAGAGCTTTTGTTTAATAACAATAGGGCAACCGTAACACGTCACAATTATTCAAGATGGCGACGCCCGCAAAATTTGAAAACAAAAATAGGCGAATCTAAAAGTTATTTCTTTCGGATACAAACGCTTTCTTTAAGAATATTTTAGATTGACTTGACTGTAACAGTTATTTCCTGTGATTTAAAGTTATCTTTTTGTTGAAGTGGAGGTTCCCTTTAAAAGTAATGACTGTGGCTGCAATGACCGTGAGAGAAAGATCACGCACCTTGTCCGGGACTTGATATGTTAGGAACGGTTAAACTATCCGTGCCTTGAACAGGTTATTTAGCCGCATAGAATTGGACTTAGGTAGCCTGTGAGTAGAGCCATCTCTCCGCGGTCCTCGCCGCTACGGGCGTTTCGTGGGAAAGACTGTGTTTTAGTTGATTATTAGCATTTAAATTTGATCTTTGTGACCTTTTGTCCAATATCTGCCATTCATAGACTACAGCTAAAATTACTCTTACAACGTCGACCAATCAGCGCTAGTTTTCAAATTCCGGACAAATCTGCATCATCAGTGTCATTTATGTCTCCTATTTTATTTCGTAGGCCTTACCAGGCCAGCTAGAATACCCGACACTTTGGGGCCGAATACGAGACGTCTCTCCCACGAAACGTTCCTAAACTGAGAGGAGCGTAGGAAATAGGTCTTCGACACTGTACAGAAGGGGTCGTTGTGCAGATTACATGGCGTACCTTTTCCTTATTTGCTGTGACGATACAGTAGGGATCACTGAATCCGTCGTCATCCATGGCCAGCAGTTTCTCACCACTATGTACAACCACGAGAAGAAGACCCGATACTACTGCAAAACACGCCAAAGTTGAGGAATACCCATCAACGCCCAGTAAGGAAAAAGATTAACGTAACTATTTTTTACTTTAGTTCTTTAACTGCCTAGTAGTTTTGTTATTGAATTCTTGTCACTTGTTTAACCTTTCTAAGACGAGGAGAACTACGAGAAAGAGATTTCGAGAAAGAGATTTTCTCAAAGCTCAGTAGTGCGCGCACGCGCGAACCAGCGTCATTTTGGCGGTAAACGTGATAGCCGTCGCCATTCTACTAGGAGTTTTAGCGAGAATGTCGTAGTGGCGGAAACAAGTTATCAAGTGTTGGAAGTTTTATCATTTTGTGGCGATCGGGAGAGGGTTGAACCTCCATTAAGAAAAATAACCGTGTTAACTTTTCTGGAGAAAAAACGTAAAATAAAGCTTTCAGGGTTGTCTTTTTTGAGAATACGCGAAAAAAACTTAACGTCAAATCTCCTTTTGGAAGTCTTCCTCGTCTTCGAATCTAACGGTCTCTCTTGGCACAACCACAACAACAAGATACAGAGCACATGTCGTCCGCAAGCTTATTGTTCCCTTAGAAAAGAAAGAACAGTACATAATATTCGTAAATCCTCTAATTTCGTATTGTTATAAAAGAGCCGTCTGATCTTAATATCGAAGTCACGATGGAGGGTCCCCTTTGAGGTTCTTTAATCCTGTCATTTCGACCCAAATTTTCCGGCAATCCCGTAATCCCGGTGGTTATTTTTGAATCCCACCTCGCGTGTACACTTTCAATCCCGAATCTTACCCCACTTTAATTTAAGATCCCGGAACCCGAGGGGTGATAAGGGAAATCCTGAATCCCGTAAAACCTATTGGGAAAGCACCCTCATGATGGCATCGAAAGCTCGTACAATATACCAGGGTGGTTTGTTACATTTCTGCCGATGTCGTATTCAGTGTTTACTTTACCTTCACTATCCTCCTCGGGTTTCTCGTACTTTTCAAGAAATTCCTGCTCATCTGTTCGACTGCTGACTTCGTAGGATTTAAGTCGTGTGTATTCTAATGTCACTTCTAGCCTAGATCCTCGGATACCCTCCTTGCTGAGTGTAGTCTCGCTAACAGCGAACAGACAAACGATGAGTAAAAACATGTTAGACATATCCTTACATCAGCTTTCTTATCAAATGCTACCGATATATGATATTCTTCGTTCGGCTTTGCTTTTCAAACCAGCTCGCTCCATGCAAAGGAATCCAAGACAATCTCCACGCCGTGGGTTCCTGATTCCCGGTACAAGATTCCGGATTCTTTGTCAGCTGAACTTGCAGCCCGGATTCAAATCGTTAGTGAGATTCTGGATTCTTTGAGCTGCATTCCGGATTCCAGAACCTGGGATTCCGGATTTTATAAGCAAACATTTTCCAGATTCCGGAATCTGCATTCCCTTACATGGGGTGAAAAAGCGGCAGCAACAGCAACAAAAACAGCAACTACCTCTAATACAGAAAAAGAAATACTGTAGTAACTGTTGATCGTAACTTACACTTTTTTCTTCTTTTCCAGTCCAAGGCTACCCAAGAACATCTTGTACTTTGCAATGGAATATTTCGTCCCAAAAGTCCTTTTACCGCGTATTTCAACATTCAGCTGTTCGGTAAACAAAGTTAACAAACAGTTTAGATTCAGCAATTTTGAGCTTGTAAGTAGTTTAACAGCACCAACTGGAAACCACTCTGGCAGCAATTCCCCACTGTCAATACTCTTATAAACCATTACAATGACGGTCAAAAAAGGAATGAGGAGCCGCTGTCGAAAAGCTTCGCGCAAAACTTCGAGGATTTTGTCGTCATTTCTTTGGTTTATAAGAGTATAAGCAGTGGAAAATTGTATTTTTTTAACGTCCATATCCAGCGAAGTTTCTTAGAAAATCGCGCACAAGAGATAAAGGAAAAAGAATGCACCATCAATAAGCCACTTCCATGCTTACAGACATTTAGTTCTAAACATTCAACCCAAAGCAAAAAACAAAGCTGTATAACTTGTCGTTAACGACCATGGATATTCTTGTTTTGGAACCACGTGACAAGGCGGCCATGTTAGTGGTCCATACAATAATTTTTTTCGAAAAATTTACATGAAAATGGAGTTTATTTCCCAGAGGAGAGAAATGCTTTTGTTTTTGACCACTAACATGGCCGCCGTGACCTCACGTGCAAACCGGCAATAAGATATGTACCTTGTCGTTCGCCAAGTCGTAAATAAGCAGGGATATTGATTCTTCGAAAGTTGTTCCACCCTGAATCTTTTCTGTGTTTTTCTCATCTAGATTACCCACTTGGAGAGATGTCCATATTTGGTCATCTGAAAGAATCACGCAAAACCTTTGAGCCGTTTTTCTGGAACTGTGTTAAACAAAATCGTAAACATAAAATCGTGAACACTCAAATGAACGCCACTACGCGTACTTTTCTGTAGGGGGGAAGGTGGTTCTGCATCAATAGGGAGCTTAACCACTGACGACGACGACGACCACGAGGGCAGTGAAAACGTTGCTCAAACAATAATTTGCGTCCTTTCGAACCATATCGCGCCTGTTTGGACCCGCTCAATTTGTTAAATGAAGGTGATTTTTTTGGTGACTTTATCCAGGTTCATGAAGAGAATGGAAAATTAGTCGTCGTATGTTCACGTCCTCCATGAAACGTTGCATTAGTAGGTTTCATGTCGTAGTCGTGCAGTGGGCGTCAAAGAAATGTACTAAAAAGCGTGATGCACGTGTAGAGCTGTTGTTTCCCCCATAAAACCAATTGTGTTTTGACGTCGTTGTTGTCGTCGTCGCTCCCTGATATGGTCGGTTCAATTTCATTCCGTGATCCAAACCTACAACCACGGACAGAGGTCTCTTATTGACGAAGCCGAGATTTAAGAGATTAGGGGCGGCGGAGACAGCAACACAATTTTAAAAGGATAGCGCTTTCCACTTGTAAAACTCAAATAATATTCATGGCATGCTACTAGTGTTCCAAGGACTCTAGTCCAGCACTGTATAATTATACTGACCTGTATATTTCTCAGGCAGTCCACCCTTAAGAGTAACCGTAAGCAATCCATCGGCTAAAAACACGAAGAGAAGACATGTTGGAAATGTTGTCTTAGTAACGCCCAACTTTAGATAGAGCTTTGGCGTCGGCGCTTCTCATTCTAAACTTTGGAGATCTCTACTTATAGCAAGGGTGTGTTTGTAAGTGGATGGAAGATGCTCGGATCATATCTCAAAATATGGTTTGTAAAAGAAGACGCAAAGCTGACACTGACCATACGTTGATTTCTTTGCAGCACTAAGCATCTCATCAGGATCAACTCCGTGAAGCGGGACCTCGATTCTTCCGGGGTCAACCAGCGCTGTAACAATCAAAACAAGAACATTTAGTCGAAAAAAAAAAGAGCAAACAAACTTTACTTAGAAAACGTGAAATTTTACAGTTCCAAGAAGTGATAAACCAGTGATCGTCTTAGTTTCCCCAACCATTGGAGACATTTTCCAGATCAAACTGGAATTTGGACAAGTACGGCAGCACGAATTTTCATCTTACCGTAAGTTAAACTGTCCATAACAAGAGCGTTTATGAAATCTTTTAACATTGGAATGTCCATCACTTGAACAGCACGCATTAATCGAACGTCAAAATCGACGTCGGGTCTGCAAAGCAATAAAAAAATAAAACGACATAACTCTATAGGGCATAATTAGCAATAAAGACACAAGCCATGGCAAACGGTCCGCGCACAACGTTGGGAACACACTATCGATGCGTTGACAATATTTGGAAATTCCGCCACGAACGCCAGAGCACTGAACGGAGGTCGCACTGTCTAAGACGCAAATTGGGAATCAGAGATAGTAGTCATGAAGAAGTTACTATTAGGTCTCCATACAAATATCTTTCTCAACTCACGCCAAATGAGAGAAACTTTACTCTAATCAAGGCAGATCTTTTCTCCCTAACCTAACGTAAGTTAGTAAGACGGGTAATACCTTCCTCAATGGGTTGAGAAAGGCCTGAGGACCTGTGTTTTGGTCAGAGCTGCAATAAACAGCCGGTAGGACTAGTTCAAAGAGTTGGTAGAGCGTTTGACTGCAGAGCGCGAGGTCGCGAGTTTGATCCTTGGGGTCGGACCAACACTCAGGGTCTAAAAAAATGAAGGTACTGCATTTGCCCTGCAAGCGGCACGACCTTCGCGTGGCTCGTATGACCACGTAAAATTGGCGGTCCCGTCTCCGGTAGGAGACGTAAAATAGTGTCCCCAATCAGTATTTTTTTGCTAAGTACATTGACACTGAAATAAAGTACATTTTTCATTGGAAAATGTCCTATTAAAAATAACCCATGCCCGACTCAATCTTAACTGTGGTCTGACACGACGTCTGAACAAACTTAGCACCAAAGACTTTCATTTTGCAGATAAATAAAATCTTCCTTGAACGCATGTAAATTATCGAACCAACCATATAACATCGTTGCAGTGTATATAAGACAGTAATCAAAAGTCTACTGTCAAGTCCCGCACTTAGCATGCACAATTTTTGTTAGACGCGTAATGCTTCCTTGATAAAGTCCGAGTTTCTCGGACTAAAATGGTGACTAAGCTGGACATACGTCCTTTCAAGAAAGAAAATTATTTGCTAGTCTAGCTGTTAGTCAAGGGTGGTAAATGGCAGCTTGGCTTGGTCTGATATACCTCTCTCGGGCTTTTCAATTAACAGGTATCACCCAGATATTTCTTGTTCTTACTTTTCAAGGAACGTAACTGCCAGAGACTTCATGTGTGGAAACGGTACAAGATGATCCATCTCAAAGACAATCTGAACTCGGCCTGATAATGATAGATCTTCGATGCTGACATCAACATCAGCTCCAACCCTGAATAATAAGAGAATTTACATAATTTGATTAATAGCAAGAGATTTACTGATTAAAGCAATAACAGACGTCCCTTTTGCCAAGGGTGTCGGCGCGAATCTGTGGCTGAAATTATGAAGTGAGCTTAATGTGGAAATTCATATAGGCTATCGGAGCAGCCCATTTCTGCTAACTGAAGAGAATCGCAAAAGATTCTTTAATTTTCGCGACAATCTTGAGGAAAAGGCACTTTGGAAGCTTAGGAAAAGGTGACTTTGATACCGTAAATAAAATGTAACCCAAACCAAGTAAGCCCTCTACTCCAACAAGCCTCGTTTTTAGCGAAAGAAAGTTTTTAAAATACTCTCTCTTCCGTTCCCTGTCTCTCTTGGATTAGCGATCAACCTTGTATTGAGACTGCCGCTCTGATCAACGTGCGGTAAAATTTGCAATTATATCACCCTTACTCTTTAGATAGTAATTCCCCTCACCCAAAACAGAAATTAGAGCGTGATCATTCCGATATGATTCTTCCTCTTTCTTTGCTAACGGCATCTCCCCCTCAATACTCACACTTCTCCATTAAGCTTTTCTCTAAAATGTGTACTAGAAAAGAGGGCCCGAGAGAGCTCAACAGAGGATTTACGGTAATTGAGGATTGCCGTGACAATATGGAGTTCTAGCAATGACAACGATGACGTCCGCGGAAAACATCGCTATAAAAACGGTGCTTGGGGGAATTTCACGTCGTAGTCGTGCAATGACGGCGACGAAATCTACAAAAAAGTGTGCTGCTCGTGCAAAATTCAAATTTATGTCATTCATAATTTATTAAACCTTTTGCTCTTTTGGCGTTCTCGTTGCCGTCGCCGTCGTCGTTGGTTAAGCTTCCTAATACTAGAAAAGAAGGCGCGTGTACCCAGCGTTTCCCGCCAAATTGAATTACAGTGACGCATCAAACTACACCAGCCGTAACAAGAACTCACATTTTCCCGCCCAATCTGACTTTGATGGCAATTTTAGAGTCAGGCGCATGTAAACACAGGTCCATAACAAGAACTAACAGATGCCTCTGCCTGGTTGCCATGTCAAAGGGTGGATTGAAAGCGTTTCCTTCCGTGGCGGGAATGTCGGGCGAGTCATTTTCGTCGATATTCTCAAACACTTTCACATATTTCAGAAATGGCGTCTTCTTTCCAAAATTAAACTCGGTGAGTTCCATAGATTCTGAAAATAGAAGACAAAGAGGTCAAGAGGGTGTGAAAGTCCCTAAGTAGGCCACCCCCAGGACCCCCGAGTTCCTAAAACCCTCACTTTCAAAATGAGGCCAAGTGTATAACCTTTCTTGTGAAAATGAGTTTTATTTACATGAAAATGAAAAATCAGTTCCATATCAAAAGCTGTGCAATTAACCTCGTTTCGATACAGAGGCCCGGGGGAATTCGAAAATGGCCTTTGGGGGAAAAGTGGGTAAGGAGGGGTTGGGGGCAAAGGGAGTGGCGCACTGGTGAAAAGACTAGTATCCTACTAATGTGACTTGGGTTCCAATCCCCGAAGGGATGCCGATGGCTACCTCTCCTTTTTTGCCAATTGAGCTTGGAAGATAATCCGGAACTTGAAAGGAAAGCGACTTGTTGTAGGTGAAGAATATAGGAATTGCAAACCACCTTCAAAAGTCGCTTAGAACACCATTCACGTGCGTAACAATGGCTCATGCAACTCATAATCAATACTCAGAAATATGTACTTATCAATCTTACCTATAAATGACGGTTTGCTGTAATCTAACACAGGATTCAGACTCGCCCGAACTAGATTGCAGAGGGAAACTTCGCTGAAATTCCACCTTAAATATAACACAAAATAAATACTAAATTAGAAAAAATAACGAAAACAAAAATACATAAAGAAGGTCTGCACTCATATTTCCTTCTCACTGATACATTTCTTCTTTACATAACAGTAAAGGTTTTTCTGATATGTGATCTCTTTATACACTACATCTGGACTCAGAACAGTCTCCGCTCCCATTGCTTTACGCTCTTAGATTCTTTGCCATCTATTATGTCAGGGGAACCCAACAAGGATATAGTTCAAAACCACTTAACATAGCATTGTTAAACGTATTTTAGTATTCAAACGGTAGATATAGGCATATTTTTATCCCCTAAAAACTTTTCATCTGTTCGGATTTCCTAGCTAAAAGTCTAGTAATCCGAAAATTATAGGGATAAAAACTTACCTTCTCGAAAATTTCAGCCCGGAAAAGGCTGCCGAAAATTCTAGGTGGCCTTTTTTAGGCTCAAAATCCGTTAAAAATGGGTAATTATACCATTTTGTATATGTTCGAAAATCCTAGGAGAGGCAGGCAAGCAAGAAATTTTACAACAAATGCTCCGAAAATTCTAGATCTCAAATCGTCTTCCGAACAGATATTTTCCCGAAAATTGCCGTTGGGTGCCCCTGTTATGTTCACAGTTATGCTTCTTTTGACATTTCCAAGTCACTCTTTCGGTTCTTAAGAAAGTCTCGTTCATTTTATTCAGATCGGTTACAATAAAATCGAGTCACTCGCCTTCTTCGTTATCGTTTTGTGCCTGTGCACGAAAATTTATTTTTCGAAGAACAAGGTCTCTTTCTTATCGGAGCAAACGATTAGAGATCGCCACACGTAAGGCAATCAGGATTCTGGAGCGCGGAACATTTGGCTTGTGGAACCCGGAATTCCGGAGCACTCGACAGGGTAGTGTAGTGTTTTGATAAAGCTCTAACCTGGCGAAACGGGCTATTTTTATTTGTCTGAGTCAGGAGCGACTCCTGTCTAAGTAGAATCAACAAAAGACGTCATACGATCAAGATGTAAATTAAATGGCTGAAGCAGTGAAAATGGAGTGAAACAAAATATACGAAGAAACATTCTGTAAGGCAAAAATGTCTGGCAAGATTTTCGGTGATTAATAATGTAAAATTAAGTATTAATGAATTGCGTTGTTTATATCTTAGGTGTTGTGCTTAGAAGTACAATTTTGTACTTAGAATACACTTTTAGGAGCAAGAATGAACAAATTTCACGTACAATCAGTCAAAATTATGATTTTAGAGTGTCACGAATTTTCGCCATTGTTAACAGGGTTGGACGCGTTCGTGTAAAACAACCGATTTTTGATGAAAAACAATTTCAGCATCAAATGACCAGTTGTTTATCTTAAACTAAAACAATGTTGTAAAAACAAAGGGATTTAACAGAGTTTAAATGTGGTCCCTGCGCGATACACAGTTGTTGTATTTTTCGGTCTTCGCTACAACTCGTGTTTTTTCGGACTCAGTATAGTGCGATTAGAACAACGTAAACAACGAGTTTTTACCCGGCCAAGGTTATTAAAATTTGACAACCGAAATCCACCCAAAAAGCGTCTTTCAACTGAAATAGAAGTAACATGCCTTAAAACAGTACTGAAAGCGGTGCAAAATTAAAGGAGATTTCTAAACTAAACTTTGCTGTTAGTAAAAAGACACCCCAAAACATGCAGTAAAATAACAATCATAAGCACGCACACAAGAGACAGCAATAAGTTAACTAGTATAACATGGTTACCATCGATTTAACACAAAGTTTAGCCATTCTGCTGTTTCTTCGTCTCGCAAAGCTTTCCGACGATGAACTTTGATTTCGGCTTCGCGGACACGGTCATCAATGATACGACAATTTTTGCGGTACCACACCGTAAATATTAGCGGTATGATAAAACCAGACCAGACGAAGGAAAAACCATATGCTCCCAGAAACCATGTCAGCACAACAACAGCGCAAACAAAGAGAGACAAGCGAAGTTGCGTATCATCTCTCTCTTTCTTGGCTTGAGCTTCCAAAGCCTGTGGGCTATTTTCCGCCATGGCTTTTCTTACTCAGACCAGTTTAGCTCGTAAAGATGCGCAAAACGGTTGTTTTTCTACATAATGAGATGGCCTGCTTAAAAATTTTCACTCAAATTCGAGCCCAGCCTTTTCGATTAATTATTTAGAGGTACCTGCTACTATTGAAGCTCTCGTCGGCGAAAAAGGGAATCGAGTGTTAAATAACAGAATAACTGCCAGTCTACAGTTTAAGCTCACAATCGTCGTCAAAAGTGTTGGGAAGGCTAACACGTTTTCTTATTGCCTTCTGTTGGAGAGAATCGAAGTGGTGAAATGAGCGCACGTACCGTTAGCCTTAGGTTTGTTAATTTTTTATTTATTTATTTTTAATCTTTGTGATAAATTGTTATTATTGCTCTTTTCATTTTGTTCTGTTTTGTTTCTTTCTTTGTTTATTCTTTTCATTTTTTCTTCTTTCCTTAGGTGATATGTTGTTCGCTTTTGCAATACTGTGAAATTTATGGTCATGTAAATAAAGCTTGTTGTTGTTTGGTGTAAACAAAAGCCCACTTTGCTGGAGGAAGTTGTACTTTTGGTAGATCTACAGCCATCTCGGATAGGTGAAAGGTAACCACGCTAGAAATTTTAGTTTTACAAATTGACAAAGCCTTTGAATATTCCAGACAGGGCAATGTTCACTATACTATCTGATGTAGTATGATCAGTAACAGCACAGAACTGGAACAAGTCGTTCACACAAATCGAACATCGAGAGGGTTTGGTTCTCTAAATCCCAGTCCTCACTCCTCATTATTTACTTCCGTCTCAGTGGGTCCCAGTCCCCGTTCCTCCTTATTCACTGCCGCTACGATCCGGAACACTTGTTCACACTACACTAAAGTGGTGGACAGAACCCATCCGATATGTGACGCTCCATTCACGAGATCGGCGCGGCGAAGCTTCGTTCCGTTACAGAAATCGCGCCGAAATCAACGTTCTTATATGTGAACAGAAGCTTTATCCGGTATAGCGTGAACACAGCCTAAACCAGACCACAATCCTTTGCGTCCTGCATGGCAAGATGTAATATGTAATTAGCTGTTATAAATTATCAGACTCTAATCTCGTTTACAACCCTCTCTCGCGCGCAGTTTCTACGAATTGTTATAATCCGCTGCTATTTTAGCTCCATAGCTGAGGACTTGAAATGGCGAGCCAGCTGACGGATAGAGAGATGGATGAACTCCGTGACAATTTTGGCTTGTACGATACAGTTGGCGATGGCAAAGTCGAGTCGTCGAACGTCGGCCAAGTTCTGCGATCGTGCGGACTTAATCCAACGAAAGCTGAAGTCGAAAAGGTAATGAGAGATCTTGACCCGAACGGGAACAAACGCATTTCTTTCGAAGAGTTTGTTCCCGTAATGATGTCTTTTCGCTCTCGCAAGCATAAATACGGTCAGGAATCGTTCATCGACAGTTTGAAAGTTTTTGACAACGATGGATCAGGAACGATAAGCTCGGGAGAACTTCGACATGTGCTGACGAGTTTAGGAGAACGACTTCGTGACGAAGATGTGGATACCTTAATTCAGGGCTTTGAGGACAACACGGGGCAAATTAATTACGAGGATTTTGTAAAAAGTGTTATGAATGGTTGAGAACAGATATACATATGAACATAATTACAACGTGGCCGGTCGCACCCTTTACATCAGGCAGTTGTTTTGACTGTATTTTCCGCGTGTACTTTAAACTGTAGAGTTCACTTTCAGATAATCTTAGTAAACTATAAGCACCTTAGAAAGTAGAGAGTTAAAAATGTAAAACCTGACATTAACAGTGGACGACTCGACTGCCCTGTGCTGCTAAACTACAATCATATATTTTGTTTAACAAAGCTTATCATTAAGGCTCAAGTGATCGCTTTTATCAGACATGGAAAACTGCACGTGCAGTGGAGAAACACAAGTCTCTATTCAGTCTGTTTGTAAAAATGACCACAGCAAAAGTTGTTTTTAAAAGTGAAACAGAAACAATCATTTAAATGCGAAATGTCTTAGAGATTTAGCTGTTTCACTTGTCTGGTTTTTTCTCATTGTGCGTGAATTTTATACAGAATATTTAGTTTTAACGCTCCACCGCATCTTGCTTCCTTGTCAACCGTAACATAAGCCAAATTTTTGCGTTTTTTCTTATCTTAATAATTCAAAAATCAGCGAAAAACCGCTGTTGATTAATTCTCCTAACTGGATCATTGCAACCGCCAGATTGTTTCACGACTGAGTCTAAGCAACGTTTTCAGTTAAAATACAAACATAAAATGCAAATTATGTTCGGCAAGAGGTCTCGCTTCCCACGTCAACAGGAGTCCATAAGTATTGTTTGTCCAATCAATTCATTATGTTTGCGTGTGAATTTGCATAAACAATTTCTTGTTAGTCTGGAGGGCAGAATAAAATAATTTGACAATTTTGAGGACAATTTGTTGTAGATAAATTTATTTTCGAAGGCAGGAGGAGAAAATAAATACATAGACATGCAATGGGACGCTTTTTCGCAAACCGCTTTTCGGTAATTAATACAGTCACGTGAGGTGAAAGATAGGACGGATGTTATTATTATTTTTTCTGTAAGAGGAATATTCTTTATTGCGTCAATCTTCTGGGCTTGACTGTTAGCCATATCGATGTTAAGCTTGTCACTTTTGGAGGATTTGTTTTCCGATATTATAATTTTATCGAACAGGGTTGAATTGGAGGAAGAACTCGTGCCACAAAGGACCTGTTATGGTCATTACGGGGTCATGGCATCTCGCGGCCCTAGCCCGACGTTTCGTGTTAGATAAGGCACAAAAAAATGGAAGATTTAAGGCAAAGGCGATAGGATCTCTCTTTCTATTCCACGAAGATTTTGAGATAAATGACTCTCGCCGAAGAGATGAGATTGCATTGTGTGTGTGAATGAACAGAAAATGAAGGAAGTGAGCGCTGCCAGATCGTTCATTTTCTGTGAACTTTACTACGCACACAAATCGTAACACGCCGCATTGACACAAGACATGAAAAAGTATATGCCTGGTATATACTAAAGCATTAACCTACAGTAAACAACCTTCTATACAAAACAAACTGAGCGGTAACCAGCCAAGTCGTCTTACCCGAAGTTATGTCGCCCGAAATTGTAACAAAGTGTATATGTAATATTTCTCGTTCTTTAAGCGATAATGAGACGAAACAAGGGGGATAGAGATGTTAGGATGTTGTTGAGCATGATAACATTTCGGGCGACTTCACTAAAAATTTCGGGCGACATAACTTCGTAAACCAACTGAAAGCATGAGAGTGAACTCTTTTTCACTTCCTTTTTCTTTGCCTCTTTCTATATTTGTGATGTGTATGGGTGCGCCCGTTTTTTTCTCAAGATGGGTTAAATATCCACGATTTAAATTCACAATTCACGTGTGTACTTGCCCCGAGAGAGGCGACGATGATCACTATCGGGTGTCGACAAATGACCAAAATGCTGAAAAACAATGACGATAATTAATGTCAGGCCACCGCGCCAGATTTTTTTCAAAGAAAGTGAAGTTGAATTTTTTAAAAAAGAGAAAATGAACACTTTAAAATCGAAATTCCCTCCCCAACACCGCCGCCCACCCCCTCGCAAAAAAATTATTCAAATACCACTCTTACGCAGCTGTTGATGATCTATTGCTGTAATTATCGCTGTATTTTTTAAAAACCGTTAATTTGCATACATTGTTGCTATACAACATACGTTTTTGTTAGCGTTGAGATCAATGAAAAAGGCGCTGTGATGAGCATTGAGAGGATTTCAGTGACTTGTAAGGGGGAGACCGAGCAATTAAGTGGAATATGGAGCATTCAGGAGTGGCATTTAACAGGGAAGCAAAAACATACTGTCAAAAGCCTATCGGTGTCTGTGACTCCAGAATTGTTCCAAGAAGAAATTAAATAAAGATAACCCTTTGCGACTCTGTTCAAGACGCCACCAGTGGATTTCTCTTACACCACTACATGAGAAATTTCTGCAATTTGATTGGCTTGGAGCAGTGGTATTTTAGATAAATTTGAAATACCTACATGTGAAAATTACAAACCTTTTGTGGGTAGTAGTATAAACAAATAATAGCATGATTTGTACGTGATATTTGGCATAAATACCATTTGTGATATTTCAAAATTGTCTGACATTTCACTCGCCTAACGACTCGTGAAATTACGTATAACAATTTCGAAATATCACTCGTGGTATTTATGCCAAATATCACTACAAATCATGCTATTACCTATATAAATGACGTCTAACAAACGAGTGCAAAAATTCTATATTGATGACGTGTCACTGCCCAGATCTGGGTAGTACGTGGTTCTGATTGGATGAAGCAAGTTTTTAGCCAATCAGGTGCTCTATCCATCTGGCTAGTGCGCGTCATTAGTATGGAAGGCTAGATAAATTCTGGACACGACAACTACCGTAACTCAGAAAAGAACTGCAAAACAGTCGATATTTTTGCGTATTCAAGTACGTACGAGCGAGCGAGCGAGGCTTAAAACGGAGAGCGAGACTGAGGAGGGCGTGTGAGGCTCGAGCGCTTCGCGCGTGTGAGGCTGTTAAGCTACGCTAAACCAGGAGCCGATCCTGCCGCTAAACTGATTTTGAGAAAGAAAAAAAAGACTGTTTTGCAGTCTAAACTCAGAACAGCATTTGCTGCATTAAAAAGTGATAAGAAAAACACGCGGGGCCTGGGAGAGAGAGGGCGCTCTTGTTTTTCCCACTAGCGCCCCCTTATCCAGATTTCGTGCGTCTTATTTCCGCTTGGCTTGTTTTATTTTCGCGACGTCCCTACTCTCTGAGAGCCCGCCAGCCTGGCACAGGGTAGGGTAAGTGCGAAATTTGAATTCGGATATGAAAGCTTAAAAAGCAAATTCAGTCTATTTTTTTGTCTAGAATTTGATGACTAAGCCTAATAAAGAAATTTACCTGAAAAAATGCTTTTGAATAGCAGAATAGCGTCCACCGAACACTCTGTATTCTCTTGACGAAATGATAAGTAACGACAAAGACATCAAGTAGTTAACGGTGTTTATTAGACAAGGCTGCAAATTAAATCCACATTAGTAGTTTTCCTGAGCATATCACAAAGTAAAAAATAGGTTTCATCAACTGAGGAGATAAACTAAAGAGAATTGGTCACAGTGAAGGTGGCATTTCGCACTTAACAAGACCATGTTTTTTTTCAATGGGTTAGTAATGGAACAAACCACCTAAAAACAAAGTACTTCTTGAAAAATATTTAGCTATATTTGATGCACTTTGGTATTCTAGTGGCCAGCTGGATTTAATGTAAATGTGGAAAAAACACCTCTAACGAAAGAGACAGAAAATTCAGCGAATCGTTAAGTGTGTACTAATTAAACTAATTATTTGTGCCCATCAAGGAAAAGCCGTTGTGAAGCGTGATTTAAAATTATAACAATTATTTGTAAGTGCTATTACCCTTTACACAAAAAATAGCCGTAATTATATATGACGTTGATCAATTTTTGTATAAACTTTAAAAAGTCCGAAGCAAATGCCTTCATGGGTCGTACTCCTCTTAACAGTGCACTCACAACAAAGAATTAGCAAGAGATTACCTTAATCAATTATTGATGCTGCTCATTTGGAATAGCTTCTTTCTTATTGTCTTTGTTGGAAGGAAAATGTCCGGCTTATTTTATTGTTCAAGACATACCCCCAGAGGTTTCATCCAATAGACTTGCTCGTTTGTAGTAATAAGCATTTAAATTAAAATTGCGGTTCATAGGGAAGAAACTTCAGCACGGGAGCTACGAGTTATCGCCGCTCTAAACACCAAAACAGCTGCCCTCATCGCGATACAGCGATCACGAGGAGCAAATTCCGATGGTGCGCGAACTTAATTTAAGTTTCCGGTGATTTCTTCAAGTGCGGACGCCACGGATCGATGGCGGATAGAACGGTTCAGGGAGAATACGGCGTCACCGATGCGAAGAAAACGGAGGAATCAAAAGAGACGTTAGACGCGGAACAAGACGGCCGTGCACTGTATCGCGCGAATCAGCAACAGAGATTACTCATATCTCTGCTCGTATTCACTGTAATAGCGTGGGTTATTGGAAAGTACGATGCGAATATCGCGTGGATTTTAGGTCTTCTTGCGTGGATTGTTCTTTGGTGGAATAACAACGCCACCAAGGTTATAGATCTCGCTGCGAAGGAGGCCGAGATTGACAGGAGACGACAGAGGGCTCTGTCAAACGCCGAGACGGTTGAGTGGTTAAACTTTTTGATAAACAGATGGTAAGTGTCTGTCGGCCATAACTTAAAAGTGAGTGAAAATGCGAATATTTTTTGTTCAAATATTTAAGTACTACAAAGCGACTGGCATGAGCTATAAGACAAATAACTGTATTGCAAAAACAAAGACACTTCAACCTAGAAACTTTATTCAGAACTCGATTAGGATTACTGAAAGTTGACCCCCATTTTCCCCAAGCTTAGATAGAAACAGCTGTTAGATTCATTCTTTGCAGAATAGAAGCTCCCGTGAAATCGCTTATACTTGTTTGGCTGGCCGGCTGAACGAACGAGTCCCTCGCGATAGTCTTACATAACGTCTTGAACATACCATCAGAACGTCTAGTTTTTTTCGATACTGATTTGAAACTACGGGTCGTGTTTAAAAAAGAGATAAGATTAATCGCTGAAGTTACTTGGTATTCATTCTTTTCGGTTCTCCTCGAACTATAACAAAATTTAAAAAATAATAGAAAATTATTTCTACTGTAACACACATTTTCATTTATCTGAGAATCAGTAAACAAGAGGATTAAAAAATGCTGACTTGCAAGCTATGACTGCAAAACCCCAAGATGCATTTGTCTCATCTGCTTAAAAATATTTTTTAAGACTTAAATTTTGAGAAAGAATACATTCACGTGACCTTTTTTATGTAGCGTTTTATAAGCTCAAAGTTACTTCAAACAAAAACAATAGACACAAAAACCTTTGTTTTCCTTTTATCTCTCGAGTTCTATATCGGGCATAGAATTCAACCTCAGCGCACAATTTTCATCAACTTTAGGAAACAACCACGCCAAAACTTTTAAAGTTGCATGAAGCAGTAATGGAATTAAGTCAACTCTCAACCACATCATTAAAATGTCTGTTATGGAATTAATACAGTTTTACTTACGCATAGCATTAGAGGAAAGAACGCAAAATAAATCTTAAAACTCATCAAAACAAAAACTTTTTTCACTTTACGCTGATTTTCATCACTTTCGTGCCGAAGGTGGTAGTGAAACTTCATGAGGCCTTCGATGATAAAAGCTCAGTTTTAAAAATAGCATAAATTATTTACTAGATAATATGGCGCATACATGGGACGAAATTAATTTGATCCGATCTGCGAAACGAGACAATTACTGATTTGAAGATTTACAAATTCTTTTCCAATACCGAGGTGTTTTCCTTTATCCTGAAAAGAGCCAAAAATATATTTAGTTGGAAAATCACGACAAGAATCCAATTTAATACTTTCTCTCCGTCTTTCTCGTACTTATCACTAAACCAGACTAGTTGCCATTCAATATGCACAGTTCTTCTGAGATGTAACACCTCTGTTGGCCAGAACCTCTTTACAACCTCTAATTTGGTAGGTTCTTGTTGGCCCGAAGCTCTATTGTTTCAGAGTTGGGGTTCATTTTTAGTTTTGTTTGGGTTAGGGCTATCTATTGTTTTCTAAACCAATCCTGTGAGAGTTTGCACAACAGCTACCAGTTAGGTTTCTTGTAAACTTTGTAATTTCGATCCACTGAGCGGCAACTTTTGTTTTAACCGTTTTATACTGCAACAAAATATTAATACACTTACGCAAACAAAGAGGAAACTGCGATGGGTCGGTAGAAGAGAGTTAACGAGTAAAGTCTGACCTCAAGCGACCAGTACCCACAAATGCTAAGATTCAGTGCTCGCTTACGAGGGAATTTTACGAGGGTCGAAACACAAGGGGTCTCTTTCGGGTAAAGGTCTGACATATCTACTGATGAAAAAAAAAATAATTGCATACAAGTTTCGAGTCAAAATACGTGCCGTGCCATGTTGAAACTCTGAGTAGCGTGGTATGTACAGCGCACATAAGTGGCAAGTGCTCGCTGGCAGGGGGTTAAAAACAATGACAAATTTTAAAATCGTCATCCCACATGGTGGTAGAGGTCTTTTACGAGAGGTTCCAACTGTGGAAAAATTTTGGTGTTTCGATCAGTGGCCGGATTTGGGAAGTCGTAACTTATAGAGGGTTAAAGATTCTCATTGAGATGTGAGGGTGTGGAATAGGGGAAAAAAAGGGGGTGTCACCTCCATACCCCTTGCACTTCTATAGTGAGTGTGATCAGAATCTATTTTCTCCTTTAAATAACACAGCTGAATCATGAATCACACAAACAGGTCATAAGAATCAAGGATAAGATCACCAAGTAAAATCGGTTTGGATTGTTAAATGAATTATCCTCATAAATGCCACGTGACGTCACGGCGGCATGGCAGTGGTTAAGAACAAAGGCATTTCTCTTCTCTGGGAACTAAACTCCATTTTCATGAATACTCTACGAAAAAAGCTAATTGTATTGACCAGCAACATGGCCTCTTTCTCACGTAGTCGCATACCAAGAATATGGATGCTTATAATAGGCCAAGGCAATAAATTAAAGGGGATGGAGAATGTGCTAGTTCATCATCTACGGTGTATTAAAAAAGCTTAAACAAAATAAGTCTCCATTAGAATTCCAACTAACATGACTGTCATCTTGTAGGTTTGTTTTTAGCGACAGATCGCTGCACAGCTTAATCAAGAACAGTCTAGATCCCATACTGGAGTCACAGAAGCCGTCCTATGTGGGTAAGAGCTTAGCTTGATGGAACATGAAGGAGAGTATGCGATATTCATTCGAACTGCGGGTTACAAGTTTAAAGATAGAAAACTGTAGAGAAGACTAACTCAAGTAGATTGTAGCGTTCAAAGGCGATCTTCGTTTACTAACTGATGTCGAAATCGAATGATCAAGTTAATAAATGATCGATCGTTTAGCTCAAGACCGAACGGTTGATAGATTGATTGCGGATTGATTGTTTGATGGGGTGAGAGATAAACTTACTCACGACGGTTTATTAATAAACTGAATGATTTTTGATGTTCTCTTTAAGCCGAAAGCTTTGTTGGTAGCTTGTTCGACCGAAAAACAAATGGTTAACTGGTCGGTTGTTTAGTTAATTGCTCGACCTCCCAACTTATCGATTGACTTATGACAATTCACCGAGGCGGATGATTGATTGATTGACAAGTTGATTGACCGCTGTTGGCCTATGCTGTCAAGTTTTGATCGTTTGCATCACGCAGGTCATAGGCTGCGTGTATAAAAAGTGTTAGTATATACCTTTGTGAAAATTACTTCGTCCCATTTAAAGACATCCAAGACGGTCAAGACAGTCTTGGAATCTGGATTCCTCGCTGTGGATTTCGGATTCCATGTCAGTGGAACTTGTGTTCCGAAATCCAATATTTATCAGGATTCCGGATTCCTTGAGCAGAATCGTGGATTCCAAAGCCGAGAATTCCGGATTCCACGAGAAAAAATTACCGGGTTCTGGAATTCGGATCACCTTACATGGGGCGGATCATTATACTCCTACCCCTCCCCTAAGCCAACATTAATACTTACTTCTCACTTAGGGCAAAATGTTGGCTTAGGGGAGGGGTAGGTGGGCAGTTTCCCAGAAACGTATAATGACCCCATGGTGCGATTTAGTCATATTGATTGCTTGATTGATTTGTTGAAAATGTTGATATTTACGCTTTTATTTTCTTCTGTTCAGGGTCTATCGAGGTTCTGGACTTTACTCTTGGTAACAGAACACCATACCTCAAGCACGTGACAATCTACGATAATCCCGATGATCAGAGATATATTAGAGCGTCCGAGCTCAACTTTAACCACCCTCCTGACGATTTAATAACTAGAGGGAAATACCAAGTGGTTATTCACCTCGACGTGGGTCTGACATCACCCGAAGCTAGATTTATCATTCGAATGAGACTCGGGAACAAGGGGTATGGACTATCTTCTGTTTTAAGCTAAGGGCAAACGACGAAACAACTCCCGGCATTGTGGACGGTAGCTTAAAGTTTGACCGGTTGAAAACTTTGCGCAACAACTCCCAACAACACGCAACAACATGCAACAGGGTGTGCAACAATGTTGGGAGTTTTTGGCCAACAATGTTACGTCGGTTTGTACGGGGCTTTGGTATTAAGGTGCTGTAGTGTTTTTCACAAAAAAAAAAAAACAAAAACAAAAGGCGAAAGATGTTTTCCAGTCAGTGGTACAGGCGGCGCGGAAGGAAAAATCCGAGTTCTCCCAATCAAGAGTCAAACCTATGACCTTCTGGGCCCAGTTGCTCGAAGCATGGTTAGCGTTAACCAGCGTTTAATACCTTGACAACGTATTGGTTTTGATACTGCTTAACCAATGGTTAAAGCTAACCATACTTTGAGCAACTCAGCCCAGGTTATTATTCAACCAGATGCTCTACCAGTGAGCTATAGACCAAATGATGAATGATGAATTTTAAGTCTGGCGAATACATGAGAAAGATGTTTCTCATCTTTTTCATGTATTCTCCTTGACACAGGTTTTTGAACTAGGAAAGCAATGACAAACCTAACTGAATGCGGCGTAACTCTTCTTCACTTCTTTACAGGTTTCTTGGTACGTGTACCGACGTGGCAGTGGAGGACTTTCAAATCAGTGGAAAACTCCAACTCGTGTTGTTATTTAACCAAAATGTTTCTTTTCCTCATCTGGCCTCTGTGTCGATCTGTTTCACAGAAGAGTAAGAGAAATGTCCATTAAAGCAATTTATACTCTTGACCGAGCGGTTAGGACGCTGGACTTGTAATCCGGAGGCCCCAAATCCAAGTCCAGCCCTGAACGCTAGCTGGATTTGTTCCTTATAGTCTCGAGTTTAAATCCTTGGCCACGCTTGCAAAATAGCGAACTGGTTCGTCTCCTACCAGTTGGGATGCATGTCATGTTCTATTTGAGTTATTTGTTCCATTATCTCTGAAACGCCCCATAAGGGAGAGGATAATTTGGAGCATTTTATTATTTTTATTGTTATTTGTTATTGAGGGTAAAATTAGTTCCTCAGATGGCTCTTATTTGTCTATCTAAATTAAGGCCAAAATAATTTAACTTTCGAAGTCTCATGGATCAATGAGCTGAAATGAGTTACAGAATGGGCTAAAAAATTCTTTGGTGGGGATGTTTTGGCCCAAATCGTCCTAAATTAGCTCCTAAAGAGGTTGAATTAGATATTGAGTTTCCAGTCTCTCGTTCAACATCAGTTGGCAAAAAAAATTTCTTTATGAAATACTTGGTTATCTCCCCCGCGATTTTTCGGAAATCTGACTAAATGTTAACACAAGAAAGTAAACGAAAAAGTAGTATGACCTTTTCAATTGCAGTTTTCTTTTTTCGTTTTATGCCAGACCAGACGTATCATTCAACATTCGTCTCCTGAAGGCAGTGCAGTTGATGGAGTTCCCTCTTCTAAGACAGTGGATCACGCAGATAGTCAATGAATATCTTAAATTTGGTAACTGCAATTTTGCATTTGCTATTTCTCACGTTTTGTTCACTAGTAATGTTGTGTTACGACTGTTAGAGAGATTTAGAGTGACGCTTGGGGCACTAACGGCAAACGTCAGAGTTCAAGTTGATATCTCTGACAAAAACTGTCCAGGACAATTTTATGGAAAACTAACGCGACACTACTAATTTTTGGGGGAGAAGTAATGAACAGTAAACGACAAGTAAAGGGGAAACTTGGTCAGGTGGTACAAATTCGCGTTTTCTGTTTGCCGTAAACCTGACTCTAAATCTCTCTAATGACTTTGAAAAATTTCGACAAAGTTTGGATTTTACTGGGATACTGGCTGATGCACGCCTGGCAATTACCTTAATGCTTTAAACTGAAATTGTACCACGGAAGGATTGAACATGTACCTCAACTGGTAACATGAAAGTGAAACGTCCGTACCATTCCACTTCCTAACTACAAAGTATGTCGGTTTCAGTGGTCGCGGGCTTGTTCTGACGTATAAGTTTTTGACTTCCTTGTAATAAAGTTCCCTTCAAATATATGACAGAAAAAAAATGCCTTGTTCCTTAAATAACTGCCCCACGTAAGAGAATCCAAGACAGTCTTGGATTATGGATTCCACGCCGTGGATTCCAGATTCTAGGTACTGGATTCCAGCATTTGTCAGTGGAACTTGGATTCTGGATTGAGGTCGTTAGTAGGATTCCGGATTCCTTGAGCTGTATTCCTGATTCCAAAGCCCAGGATTCCGGATTCCACGAGCTAAAATTTCCCTGATACCGGAATCCGGATAGGCCCTTTGCAGCTAGCCATTCACGCGGTACAAAACCGCCATGCTGGAGAGAAACGTCGCACTGGGACAAGGCAATCAAAGGAAATTACCATTTAAAATTATGTATGTCTTTTGTTTGTCTTGGCCCATTGCGACTTTTGCTCTCCAGCGTGGCGGTTTTGTACCACGTGACTGCCTAGCTGCAAAGGGCCTATTAGGGTTCACTAAAAGGTTTAACGTCTTGTTCTCACCTGCAGCTCTAGTGGATCCTGGTCACGTAACAATTCCTTTCTGTGATGATCCTGACGTTGTAGGAAGAGGTGCAGCGTATGGTAGGTAACTTTGAACAGAAAAAAAAACTTTGAAGAGTTACCTTACTTAAAATATATACTGCTTATCAACCTCGTCTGTTCGGTCATTACAAGGTCAATACATCAAGGCCGAGGACCTGAGCCTGCGATCAATTAAAACCAACAACTGGTCAGCGGATAACTTTAAAAAACACGTCACCTCAATGAGTTGTACACTTGAGCCCGCGATACAGTCAGGTGACACAATATGCGTTATTGACCAAGTGTGACCTGAGGTCAAGATGTCTGGATATTAGCCAAGGTCTTTTCTTGCGTTTTATGGACCTACACGAAGAACGAGACCAATATCCGGCCATCTAGACCGAACAAGCTTGGTAAATTAAGGATTTACTATATTTGACATCATTCGGCCTTTATTTTTAAGCATGTGGAGTTCTTACGCTGACGATTAACGGAGGATCTCATGGAAAACTGACAGGTTAGAAAGCGTTTTTGTTTTCCTGTTTACCATGGTAACAGAGCGTTTTCACATGACGTCACAGCGGCCATATTGTTGCCCCAAACATTGAAACGCCGGCCATGTTGGTGTCCCAAACCAGTCCTGTGGGAGTTGAACTCTTTTCTTATGTAAACGCTTTCTTTTGTTCCAATAAATTTGCATAGATGCTGGCCACGTGAGTGAAAACACTCTATAGACAGTATCCGCCACACGTTTCTGATTATCGTGACTGGCGACCGGCAAGCAGAACCTCTACTTATTTATTGGGGATGAGAAAAGGAGTTCTACCTAAATCGCATCAAGCCTTTAAAGTCGCCGCAACCCGACCTTCTGGACTAGTCAATCTTGTTTTCACTCGTCAATCTAGCCTGCGAGCAAGCTCTTTCGGGCGCTCTGGCGGCGGGGCGGGAAAAGGAAGGAGAGCTTGCAACCACGTCCCTGGAAATTGAATTCCGCCCCCAATTCCCCTGTGGCTCCCCGTCGACTGAACTGTCAGATTGCCGCCAGTCAGCGCGAAGCAGAAACGAGCGCGAATGTAAACAAACATTGAAAAACATGTGCCAAGGATAATGACGTCATTACTAATGTCCTCTCCATCAATCAGCATTTGGCATCGACTTTTTTGATGCAGATATTCAAATTCCAGAGACGTAGTAGCAACCTCTCCTTCCTTTTCCCGCCCAACCGCCAGAGCGCCCCGGAGAGCTTGTTCGCAGGCTAGTCAATCTGGTTTTTCGATTGCGAGCATCCATTCATTGATTAAACTCATGGTTACAACTGAGCCCACTATACCAAACGCATGGCTATTAAGCCTGGGTTTGAAATTGTATCCTAGCAACATGCGGCGCATGCTCAAATAAGATCTTACGCCATTCATGCAGCTAGAGTAATTCTCGAGTAAGCAAAAATCGAGAAAGCAAAAGAAAGATTCTTCTGGTTAGGTGCGTGATTGGGTGCAGTATCAATCGACTTCACTTACTTGCATGATGTTGTTCACCAACTCGTTTGCGTTCTAGATGACCCTTACTGGTGCTCTGTGAAGATTGCCGGTCAAAAGCGATTTACCAGGGAGGTGATAGGAGATACCGCCTGGACTGAAAATATATCCTTACTGGTGTATCACCTGTATGCAGACAAGGTAAATACAGAAATGTTGGTTACATTTCACCAAACAGTGACTGAGCATTAGATCTTTAATGCAAACAGTGCAAACTTGAAAAAGCTTTCGGGACCTCAAATGGGTTCAAGGCTCCGGAAAAACGCTCCCCCACCGAGGGTATAGTTTTTTGGGAACTTCAGCAACGATCACGGAGACGTCAGTGAAAACGTCACGCTATTTTTTTTTTCAAACTTTGTGAACCGTATTCCAACAGGCTTATGACATGTCAAAAAAAGGTGACATTTGCATTAACTGACTTCCCGGGGACCGCACCAAAGTTTAAAACATCGCAAGTTTATTGCCTTTTTAACGTTCTCCTTCACCTCACTGTTGACACCGTCATTGATATAATAATCCTAATAAGCCTTTGATTGATTGACGAAGATTCCCATTGTTGTTTGCTTTGCCTAGCTGACAGTGACACAACCCGTGTTGCTCATGTTTTCCTTTTTTTCAGCTTGTAATTAAACTCAAAGGAAGAAGAAAACTTGGTACGAAGTACACCATCGCTGAACATGTCTTGCAGTTATCCACACTATGCCTGGAGAGCAATCCTCATCAGTAAGTGCTCTAGGGAAATGTGCTGACAAAGTTTAAATTGTTTCTTACTCGCAGAAATTGTCGAAGTTAAAATTCAGAGGGGGGGATGCCGAAAAAACAAAAGGGACCACGCAAAAGTACTGCTCAAGAGGTTTCATTGAAAGTGCTACACCTAGTATTTTGTGCACTAAAAATGGTGATTGCGGTAGACAGACTGCTTCTAAATTTTGTTTCGGGGATAGAAATCGAGAAAGGGCGCAGTTGTGCCTAAAATACTTTAACTTGAATTCTAACTATAATCCTACAAAACTTTCATTCTAACCCGTACCTGCACTTGCGAATAGACCTTATAGAGAGTTTGCTCATTCTAGACAACAGAAAATGAAGATGGCAAATGATGGGTGTAAATGATCATTGTTACTTTTTTGGATGCAGTAGCGACTATAAATGTCCCCACAGCAAGCAACAATGACTAAAAACTGGTCGAAACTCGAACTGAACATTTTGCATGACTAGTAAATAGTTGTCTCCTTTTAATAGAATAAACAAACTCGAGCGCGATTTCTCGTATTGGCCAATTTTTTCGCTTGTTTGCTCCCTGAAATACCACGTGACATTATTTTTGTCCCATCAATCCTAAAGCGCGGACAAAGTTGGCGGGTATCGTGAATAAGGTCTATTGAACCCAACGGAATGGCGGCCATTCTCTCTGTCACAAAAAAATTACGTCGTTTTCAAGCAGGCTAGGCTGACTCTTTTTCACGTTAAAACCATGTGACGTTCACACACGTTCACCACTGCCTCAAAAAGACAAGAGTGCAATCTCGAGAGCAACTTATTAATCAGTGATTTCTATGAGCTAGTATTACCCATCAGCTTTATTTTTATTTAACGTATAGTGTACATTCTAGAACGGATTTTGTTGTGATTCAGAGACCACGCACTGGAAAAGTCGTTCAGACCCGCTACTCTCACACTACAAATGGAATACACGCCACTCCCAGTGATTGACGTAAATCACTCGATCCCACACGAAGAGTTTAGCAGAAACTATGCAAGTAGACTACGAAATCTTTACCCGAATGAAGGTAAATTACATAGTAGCACTTGTACACGTCCTAAAATGGCGAGCTCCCCGACAAAATTAGCAATTTGAACAATCACCTTTAAGTCAGGCAAAAGCCTTAGCGCCTGTTTACATGGAGTGGGGGACCCAGGTCTGGTGGGGTTGGTTTCTTTTGTTTTCACGCTATGGGGGACACAAAACAAAAGAAACCTACCCCACTAGACCGGGGTCCCCCACTCCATGTAAACAGGGTCTTAGAAGACGTAAAAACGTGTTAAAAACATCCACGGGTGACCAACCCAGCGCAATTTTTTTACTCTTATAAATACCACACTTTGACGGCAACTTTGCCATACAGACGAACAGACACCCGACAAAATGGAATGCTTTTGTAAAATACATCTCTCAGAAAACTTCCGTTTGAGTAAGGTAACTGTTTGACTTCTATCTCTGAAAGTGAAGAAATGATCGTCGCAGTGAACGCAATTTTCATAAATTGCGTAAAGAAGCCTGAAAAAAAATTCAGGGCTTCAACAGGGTTTGAACTCGTGACCTCGCGATTACCGGTGCGATGCTCTACCAACTGAGCTATGAAGCCACTGACGTTGGGAGCAGGTCAATTGTGGGTTCATATGTTCCCGTGAAAGAAATGACTGTTAATGATATATGAAATAAGTCATATATGAACTGCGGAAATGAAATGAAAATGAAGAAATGATCGTCCGCAGTGAACGCAATTTATTTCATATATCATTAACACTTCTGTTTCTGTTGATGTCAGTTTCAGGTGTGTTATTGGTGTGCGCCCACAGCGGCCACAACTTGGTACCCATGGACAAACACGGTCTCAGTGACCCCTACTGCGTCATTTATGAAAATAGCAGACAGGTAAAAATAGGGAAACATTCGCCACTTTAGAAACGAGAAGGAACTGGGCCGAGTTAACTCACGCAAAGACTTCTGGAACTGTTACTAGGGACAGAAAAAAAAAATTGGCCAATAGCTGACCGGCGCGTCACCAGTAACGATCCCAGAAACAATTGCGGGAGACATTTTGGCTCCAGTTCCTTCTTACTTCTAATGTTGCAAATTAAAATCCAGGAGTCATTTCACAAGTAGTTTGAGTATGATCGTCCGGGTGAACATAGTCCTGAATAGGACTGTTTTTGTTGACAGTGACTGACGTTTCGACAACCTGTGCAGTAGTCATCTTTCATAGGCAAACGAAAGATATAAACGTACAAATCTTACTCCAAACAATGAAATATACTGAAGTGAAATGATATCACTTCCTGAATTACCTCTTCAAGTCTTTATACAACTAACGGCTACGAAGGAATCGAACTGAAAGGATATCTCACTTCTCAACAGTTATTTAAAAAAATACAATCCCGCACTCCATTTACTCAAGCGTGCTTTGCTGTCGAGGGACACTAATTTCTAATGAAAACTACGATAATATGTTCTCAATAGACAGTTTTCAAATACTCGCGGCTTCTGAGCGTAAACGCTTTAAAAAAGCGCCGTGGTCTTGTATCCACTAAAAACGAACTGCTGTAGCTCAACCGTATTTATGTATCTATTTTCAGGCCAAACGAGGAGAGACCGTTAAAGGAACTTTGAGTCCTGTTTGGGATACAATGGTGGAAATACTTGTAGCCGATTACACCCAGGTTTGTTGTTATTTGTGCCAGATGCCGATCACCCTCACCTGCTGGTCCCCTGTACTGTTTTGATGGTCATGCAACGCAATGCATTGTGTGGGATTAAGACGAGCGAGTCATATTTGGTGACGTCATCGCTCAAGATAGAGCCCAGGCCCCTAATTGTTTAAAAGGTGGATAACGTGATCAACTAGATAAGTCTCTAACTACTGGATAGCACAATTGGCTTCCCTAATACTTATTCAGTGGATAGTGCTTTACACGGTGGACAGCGCTATCCAAAGTTTGAAAAACTGAGGCCAGGGGTCCAGTTATTCGAAAGGTGGATAACAGCATCAACTGGATAAAAATAAATCTAGTGGATAACGCAACTGGTTTCCCTCATACTTATCCTCTGGATAGTGATTTATCCCTTGGATAGCGCTATCCAACGTTTGAAAAACCAGGGCCAGAGCCCCTAACTCGTTTGTACTGAGAAGATCTTAGAATTAGACAGTATTTTTCCACAGCAGTGATATCTTTTCAAGACATGGTGTGTAGTTACAGTCATATTCAGGCTTTTATCCTATTTTATTTTTCAGACAACGCTATCTTTTGTTGTTCTGGATAAAGATACAAATGCCATCAAGATGATCAAAGATGACCGAGATGATTTTATGGGATCGTGCAACCTGTCCTTGACTCAGGTAAAAGAAATCCCATAAAGCCCAACCCAACCCTCCCCTAACCTAACATTTTGCTCTAAGAAAGAAGTGATTGCTAACGTTAGGTAAGGGGAGGGGTAGGTAGGGAGTTTCCCACGATCTTACACAAGTAAAAGCGGCCAAAGTAAAGTTTGTTGCCCACAGTGCTCGGCGCGTACAGTGCGTCTTTCACGCGGGAAATTTCAAACCTACTCTGCTGATTGCTTGTATTATCATAGAAATCAACCATAAACATGAAGATGATTTAATTGGCCGTTGCGATCTCAGGCGCTATTTTGCTCTTTTCAGGATTCGCCGGTGCTTTTTAAGAAAAATCTAGACTTGATGTACAAAGTTAAGGGCTCTGGTATGATGAAGGCGGGAAAATTATGTGTGTCCGCTATCTTTAGACCTGTTCCGTCAGTCGTCAAGTCAGGTGAGTACAAATACCTCAGCTTAGCACCCAGGCCTTCTCATGCGCTTGCTCGTGACATTGGGCGGGAATTTGTCACTTTTGGCCACACACTGTCCCACCAAGTCTCAGAAAAACTGATAAGGAATGTTGTTCGAGTGTGAGCAGCCGTTCCTTTGGGGAGAAGTGTGGGAGATTAGAGCTCACTGAACGTTTTATGCCGTTGATTATACTTATTTCATCTCTTTTCTTTTAGAAACGAGAGAAAAGGGCCAAGGCCTACCGGAGGGACAGTCTCCAGGACCAGTAAGTTACCCTGATTACTTATAGGGTTATAGAATGGTACCTTGAAAAACGCGGGTCTCGGGAAATTTTGGCACGATCTCGAAACCTCGGAAGCGTTTTTGATGGGTCTTAACGTCTCGATTTCGGATGATTTTTGCGTCTCGGAGTCTGAATTTTCTTTTCGGCCGATCAGAGTGGCCGATGGGTCTCGGAGTCTCGAATGTGTCGTAATTTCCTTTCGTTCGGTCTTCAGGAGTCGAATTTTTCAGAGTTCACGGGTACAACTTATCAAACTAAGCCAGTAGATTAACACCTTAAAACAAGACAAAGCAGTATATTGGTGGGCTTCCGCTAGCTTCCATTGGCGTTTATGGTCAATTTATTAAGCTTTAATTTATTTGTACCATTTCCTCTAAATTTTCGGCGCTTAAGTCTCCAGCTAGGATTTTTTAGACGTAAAGTTTCGGGCTATGAGTTGGTAAGAACTTACCATTTTATATTTTAATACCCTTTTAGCAAAAGTTTAAAAACTGACGCCTGACAATCGACCCTGTAATTCTCGTCCCAGGCTGTTATCCCAAAAATTCAACACAACTGAAAAGCGAATTCCTCACAAGTTCGAGGAAAAGTTAACTCGTTGGTTTCGTGTATTTAAATATTTAGAGAGATGTCAAAACGGAGGCACAAACATTGGAAGCTTTGCTGAGAGCAGGTATTTATATAAATATTACTACTGAAAAAATGCAAGGAACAGAACTCACATCCGGGCGGTTTTAGCATTCGAAAACAAACAATTCGATGAGTGCCGTTCCAGGCGCGGGAAAAATGAAGCGTGCATGTTGCGCATGTCAAGTCAAGATAGTTCTATAGCAATTGGATTTTTCGAATGACGCTGGGAAAAGAAAATTGATTCGAAAAATCAGAGGTGAAATACAGTGTTTGACTGGTAAAGGGAAGATGAGTTGGGTTCGAATATTCGAGGGTTCGAGAAATTGGAATTCTGCTGTAGTTTACTTCTACGGATTAGCTAAAAGAACCGTTTGCCTTGATAGTGTAGCAGATCAAGCGAGGTGAAGTTTTTATAGACCAATTCAAAGAAATTGTTTGTACTTTTTTCACAGAAAGAGGAAGTATTGAGGTTAACATTTATCAGGGGCGCGGTTTGGTAGCAAAAGATGTAAACGGTAAGAAAGCAGGCTTGCAGGTAACAGGGCATTTGAGACTGGGAGCAAGCTCTCCATTTGAGGGGAATCGTAAAAAGTACACGCGCGAGTGTCAGGCGAAGGGAGACGCGTGGATCGCTTCGCTCGCCCAAGTAGAGAGCTTGCTCGCAGGTTACAGAGAATTTCGTGTTTCAGTTCATTTTACTTTGGATAATCTCTCGGAGAGAGAGAGCTCAGAACATTGCACACACACAAACAGAAAAAAAATTGGGGTGACTTGCGGTTAAATAAAGAAAGGAAATAAAATGTGCACGAGGAAAATCGACTCGCGCCCTTTGGATGAAATCTTTCAGCGTTGTTCTAGACTAAACTTAAAACGTAAATGGGAGGAAGTTGTGAGAAGTGCACAAGGAAGGTGAGGTGAGGTGGGGTCCCAGAACACTCAACAGTTCATTGAGGGGGAAGGGGTGAGAGGTGGTCCCAGAGCTGTCCATTGAGGGGGGAGGGGAGTGAGATTTGGTCCCAGAGCTGTTTATAAAGGGAAAGTCAGAAAAAGAAAAAGTCAAGAAGATTGTCCAATTCAATCTCCACCCGTTTTTCAGGTAAAAGTGACCCGTTTGTAACAGTGAAGCAGGGAAGTGAAGGAAGAGAGAAGTTTAGAACACGAACTATTGACAACACACTTGAGCCAGTATGGAACGAATCAACAGTGGTGGCCATGCCTGACACAAACGGACTGCTGCTTTTGGTAACGATTTACATACAGTGGAACCCCGTTAACACGGTCACCGATGGGTAAAAAAAAAATTGGCCGTATTAACGAGGTTTTTTTTTTTTTACAAGAAAATGTATGGCCGTTTTGCCAGGCGGCCAAAAAAACGTGGTCGTAATAACAAAGTGACGTATTACCGAGGTGGCCGTAAGGCGGGGTTTCACTGTAATTAAAAATTAAAAGCAAACTGCGATTGTTTGTACAGAGACAATGCAACCTTTCAAAAAAGACGAGAATCGGCTTTGGATACCGTGAAACCACAGAAGAATAGACAACCACAAAGCCGAAATAGCCTCTGCATTCGAGTAAAGGCAGAGTTATAAAATTGAGAACAAAAGTTATTAATCGAATACGATTTCCGGTGCTCAATTTGCCCTTCTTTCATTGGTCAATTCGTTTTTTCGATCTGCGCGCTGCACGTCAAAGTCGTTGTCTTTGGTAAAAGAACACATAGAAGACTTCCGCCCTTATCTATTTACAAAATGACTGTAAGTTTGGCTTGTTCCTGCAGGAAGTATGGGATAAAGATCCACTGTCGCAAGAAAGAATGGGTCAACTTGCTTTTACAACAGAGAAACTTAAAGACTTAGGAATGGTAAGAAAAACGATTACCTTGTCTCAGGTCGCTCTTAACTCTCGCCAGTACCATTGTTTGACCATTTAAGTCCTGATTCTAATTTCTACCTTTCAAAGAAGGAAGCCTGCAAAAAGAAGCAAAGAAAGTAATGAAATAATTGTATTTAATATGGCTAGTCTAAATCAGTGTTCACGAACTACTTAAATAGTCGATCTAAAGTTAAGCATCTTAAGAAACAAGGCTGACCGTTCGATTTATCGCCGCTAATAAACCATCAAGAAAATAGGCCATTTCCGAGTTCCAAAAACTCTCACTTTCAAAGCGAGACTAGGTGCGAAGCCATTGACATGAAAATGATTTTTAATTATGATGCAAATAAAACTCATTTTCACAACAAAGGTTTCGCACTTAGCCTCGTTTTGAAAGTGAGAGGTTTTGGAACTCGGAAATGGCCTATTACGACTTCCTCACAAGTTTCTGCTTACATAAACGGTTAAAGGTTTGTTTATAGTGGAAAGTGCACTTAGCTTGTCCAGCTAGTTTACAGGCACTCCACTCAAACAATTCTAAAATAAACTATCCAAATAAAACATAACAGGATTAAAAACCCCAACTGGCAGGAGGCAACCAGTTGTCTATTTACAAGCATGGTTGAGGATTTGAACTTAGGAAAACCAAGAACAAATCCAGCAAATGGCCAGAGCGGGACTCAAACCCGAGACCGACGGATTGCGTGTCCGACGAGCTGGCCACTCGGCCGCGCTTACATGGGAAGACAAACGGTAGGGAAAAGCGACATGTTAGTATCGACTAGGAAAACATTTTCGAGATCCTTTTCTTTTTTCGTTTCACAAACGTTTCTCTCTTTGTTTTCCTCTGCAGGCTCCGTATGAGAAGCACTGGTATCGACTTCGCGGAGTGAAAAGTGGAGAACTACAAGTGGCATTCAAGTACACTCCCCCAGAGGTCAAAAAAGCTGTAAAGAAATTAGTGTTTTTTTTTTTTTAACTATAAAATACAAATCAATCAGAAGCACACTTTGCCTTTATACGAATAAAAATCATAGGCATACATCTCAGTTTATAAATCCTTTAGTTTACATTTTATTTTCCAGCAAAAACCAAACATTCGCGGCCAGAAATTGTGCGAACACATAGCTCACGGGAGTTCAAACTAACTTTAAAATATGTGGACAGAATCCTGTGACTTTACTACTTAAATGAGACCTCTTTGGCAGACGTTTTACATAATACTATTTTCAACTACTACCCAGGATTTCCAAAAAAAATGGAATTTTTTGTGAATTTTTCACTTTGTCCATTAGTAGGAGTGAAAGGGTTAATATAAAAATTAAATTAACGTTACAGGCAGCAGATGAGTACACCAATAACACAGGGAATCCAGTCATCCGAAAGCCAAGAGGTTTGTATGTTATGGTATTTTACTACACAAACCAGTTTCCAATCGAGTATCACAATTCAACCAATCGCATCTCAAGTACGTGTAACCGGTGGACAGCGCGGGAAAATGGGCGTGAGCCTTGATCGTAGTTCTGATTGGTGGAGAAAATGGCATGATATTTTTTGGGGGCCAATCACATTGCGTTGCAATGCAGCTAAAGCAATCACGACTAGGCCTTTCCGAAAGATACTTGAACACTCTTAAATGTGGAGATTCAGCCTCGTTTTCGGGAAAATTGTGGCACAAAATGTCCGTGCTCTCAATATCTTGCATATTAAGGACGTTTGCATTAGAATGAAACGGTGCAATGTGGTGTATTAAGGTCGGTACACACTAGGCGACAAGTTGCTGCAACACGTCGCGGCGACAGATCACTCCGTGTGTACAGGTCGGGCGACTAGTTGCAGCAACAAGGTGAGGCGACACGTCGCAGCGACAAATCGCTTCGTGTGTACTGGAGAATTTTTGTGAAAATCTTTGTCTCCGCAACAGAATTTTGTCGCTGCAACAAGTCGCAAAAAATCAAATCAGACTGAATCTGTGCGACTTGTTGCGGCGACAAATTCTGTTGCAGCGACAAAGATTTTCACACAAATTCTCCAGTACACACGAAGCGATTTGTCGCTGCAACGTGTCGCCGCGACATGTTGCTGCAACTTGTCGCCTAGTGTGTACCGACCTTTACGGTTCCTCTGATTTTTTTTCTTTCACCTCAGAACTTCAACTTTATTTGCACTGTTCAGAAGCCTACTACTTTTAGTTAGCATTTGATTCGTGAAAATCACCCCAGGCGAGAAAGTCGAGACACACCGGGGAGAGAGAAAAATGAGCGTCTCGCCTTTCTCGCGTGGGGTGATTTTCACGCGCGCTCGCGTTTCGCTCGCTCTACTATCCCGGAGGAAAAATGAGGACTACTCGTAGTCTACCATACTGAGGTTGTAAATTTTACTTTCTACCGCAGCAAAAAGTTCAGTGGCATCTTCCGACTCGCTGAGTTCCAACGGTTCCCTACCTTTCTCCGTAACCCAGTCTACCTCGTCTCCCTCGACACCCGAAAAGCCGCAAAAGGAAGAAAAGAGCGGTGTAACGTGGGGAGGTCTCGTTCAGAGCATAAAGAGGAAAGAGGAGAGAAGAACGAAGATGAACGAAGATGGTACTGCCGTTTCTCCCAGTGCATCCCCACGGGTAGAAAAGAAAGACACTTATCAGCTTAAAGACTGGCCTAGCAAGAGTGGACGCCTAAAAAGCGCTGTTGTTGAGACGGTCCGTTCTCTTCGTAGGGACAAAGTATCGGCTGGCGCTTCCTGGAATGAAAGCAATCCCGATGCCGACAGAGTTGCAGAGATGAAAAGCGACACGGAAACACGAAAGCCCAAGAGTGCAAGGCTTCTCCGAAAAAAGTTCTCGTTTATGAAAGATCGTCGACCACGCAGCAGGAGTGAAAGCAATATACCGGAGATTTCCTCGTCACACGATGACATGAACCAAAATCACAACCCGAAAGAACTTATTCGGCGAAGCAGTGAGAATTTAACCGGCTCGACATCGCTAAATCGTCAAAGGAGCTCGGAAAATAATTCCTACTCCCTCCCCAACAGCCCCGCCACAGCGGTTGTCGCCAGGAGTTATTCCACGCGGCTCGTGCGAAGAAATAATTCACGAAGCACGGTTTCTTGCAGCTCAACCTCCCGTGGCTCAAGCCCCACGCACTCGGCTCAGGAAAAATGTCCCACCTGCGATTTTGACGTTTTAATCCTGACTGAATGCCCAAGCTCTACTGTTCCAGATGAGAATAACACTACTATTTCGACGCAGGAAAGATTAATAAATTAAAACCGATAGATACTGTTAAGTATATTAATCAAAGTCGACAGTCAGCACGGAAACAGCATGCAGTGTTCTTAGCGCACTTCCGGAACATTTGACCTTCTTGTGTTCATTTTCATCCCTTCGACTAGACAAGAATCACCCTAGATTTATTTTCATTTGAACCGAAATAAGAACAAGAAGTCCAAAGACTACTGCAAAGCTGATTTAAAACAACGTATATTGTTTTTTATAATTTAATCCTTTCTTAAGGACACAATTTTTTTAGGATTTTAATTCGATTAGCTGTTTTGTTGTTTCAAAGAGAGACGTCTACAGTAGCAGGCAGGGATGGGTAGAGAGTACCCATTGTCACGCGGACTCGTCACGCATTATTGCGTGACGACACCAAGAACAGCAATCTATTAAATTAGGTTTAATTTCATCAGATGAAAAGTCTACTCTTTCTCGGACAAAAAGTTAATGTTAATGATATTACTTTGAGGTCAACGATGCACTTGTTTTTGGACAACAATAACTAGACCACAATGAATGTTGTGAAGACATTTCTTTTGTCCTGTTATTGTATAAACCCACGAGATCTGACAAGAAACAAACCTTACGTTACGTGCCTTTTTCTTACTAATGTGGCCTAGCTGCTTGTTTTTTTGAACTTGAATATGACTTGAAGAGCTCTCAAGTGTTCTTAATTTGAAACAAAAGAGTAAAAACAATCTCCTTATCCCAAGATCCAGCTAACAGATATACAAAATACTGAGACTTGAACCGGCGAATTGCCCAGTCCTCGTCGTCGCTTAGATTCGAACTGTTTCAAGTACGTGACATTAAATAAAACAAGTCATCTCCTACCTTGAGGTTTCATTGTCAACTTCTTCCTCGGCTGTTTCATGCTAACCTTCGCGACCGCCATATTGTCATTCTAATCTTTAGCGCGCAGTACAAGACTTACAAAGCTCTATGGCGATAAACCGCAGAACCTCTTACCGCCGGCTTTTAGATGCGCGCGCGGGCCGCACGCGGACAGCCTGGAACAGTATTGAAAATTTTGCGATGTAAACAAATCAATCCTTTGATGAGAAGTATGAAAGCCGCTGTCTTGTTGCCTTCTTTATGCTCGCTCATTCAATCGCTTTTCGCTGCTTGCCCGCTTGTTTCGCTCGTCTGCCCTGAGAGCAATCAGCGCTGGTAACAATAATCTTTCCTGTTTCTTCAGGGTTTCCACCAGGGTCCGTTTTGGTTGGGTCACCGCTTAACAAAGTCGACTTGCGCGCAAGTCCAGGTTTCTATGAGAGCAAGGGTGGTACAGTGGTGAGAGCACTCGCCTCCCACCAAATTCTGGCGTCAACGCCATATGTTGGGTTCAGTTTGTTGTTGGTTCTCTCCTTTGCTCCGGGAGGTTTTTCTCCAGGTTCTCCGGTTTTCCCCTCTCCTTAAAAACCATTACTTCCAAATTGATCTGGAACACACGAACACGTTTAAACGAGTTCTTAACTTATAGAACTCCTAAGTGCTTCGTGGGTAAACAAATTAAAAAAAACTTCCTCTGAGGCCAGCTAAACAATAAATCAAACCTCCTTTCAGTCTGACCCATAAACAAGACAAGCCACACAAGCTAGTTTTCTAATATGTTGTTTTTATTTGAATTCTCTAACATAGCGTTTATTTTTCTCCTTACCTATCTAAATGTTATAAATAAATATGACCCTTGGTTACAAGTTATATAGCTGTTAATAAAGTATTCACATCTTTGTTATAGCCTTTTTTATCAAATAGTTCTTAGGATCAAATGGTTCACCAGGTTATATTAAATTAATGATTTAGTATATGATTTAAATATGAAAACTTTCAAGACGTTATTCTTAATTCACTTTCACTTTTTAATTTTTTTATTTAACAATGATTCCAATCTTCTCGTCGAGCAATGAAATCGCCAAGTTGAAATCTATCATTTTCTTACGCTGAAAAACAAATGGCCGCGATGACGTTAGGGTCTGTGGACGGAATCAACAAATTGGATAAAAAAAGTGGTTCTAATTTTTGAGTCTGTGCACGGAATCCTAAAGTGTGATCATTCAAATGAAAGCTATAAACTGAACAGTACTCTCCTCACAAATCCTAAAATGTGACCATTCGAATGACGGCTACTAAGCGGTACTTTCTTGTGGTGCATTTCATCGTACTGCAAAAGATTGCTCAATCAACGAATGCAACCAGGGAAAGCAATCGATTTTTGTACTGTTACAGCCACCGCTCGAGGGGACTTAAGCAAAAACTCTTTTGGTCGACGCAAGTCAACCGGAATTGGGCTTTTCGCATTCTTGGGCAAGGTTTCCCACGATTTTCGGGCAAATCGTCTATATTAGAGAAACGACACTTAGCAATACAAATATGGTAATGTCAAGATTCTTTAAAAGGGAAAAGGCCTTACTTCCGGTTGACGTGCGTCACTCAAAAACGTCTTAAGCTTCCTATCATCAATTTAGGTTTCCGGGAAACTGCCCACCTACCCCTCCCCTAAGCCACCATTTTGCCCAAAGTGAGGAGTAAGTGCTAATGTTAGCTTAGGGGAGGGGTAGGTGGGTAGTTTCCCCGATACCTAAATTGATCCGCCTAAGCTCCCTCTCTCTCCAAACTACCCTGCATTGACACTCTACAGTCAAAGCGTGTTCAAGTGAGTCATGAATAGAGTAGCATACAGACTGTGTAAGAATGTATTATGTTAAAATAAATAACACCGAGCAAATAATGGTAATTAAAACATTTTTGCTGTCAGCAGACAGAGCGTTAGCCTGCGTAGCCGGCACTAGGAAATAAATAGGCGCAAGAAAGAAGGCGCGCGATCGTTCTTTCTTGCGCACATTTTATTTCCTAGCCCCTGCTACGCAGGGTAACAGGGCATCATGGATGAAAGGGTACGAAGTACGAAGAAAGCGAACGGACGATATATTTATTACGTATGCATGTTCTTCCAATAACTTAAACCTTACTTTGCTTTTTAGTTTTTTCTTATGTCGTTTACTTTCTTTAAAATTCTAATCTGCGTCCAGTGTTACGTCACGAAGTACAAAGGGAGTGGTTTCTACTCTCCTCTTGCGCCTGCGTTTCAGTATGACCACCGCTGGCCATTCGTACTGTTTGCGTCCGGGAGGATGCCACTGACCAGCACTTTCCGCTGATTAACTTACACAGCACACCGCTGGAACCAGCTCCGCAGTCGCAGAAAAATCTGGAGGGAAAGAAAAGTTTGCGGATCAATTTAGGTTTCTAGGAAACTGCCCATCTACCCCTCCCCTAAGCCTACATTTTGACATAGGGAACGGGTAGGTGGGCAGTTTACCTAAATTTATTAAGACCTGTGATGTGAAAAGACAACTTTAACATGATTCACCACTTTAGAAACGAGAACGGACTGAAGCCGAGTTTTAATTTCGCATAGACTTCTGGCACTGTTACTAGTGACATGGAAAAAATGGGCCAGTAACAATCCCAGAAACAATCGCGGGACACATCTCGGTTCCAGTTACCTTTTCGTTTCTTAAGTGGCGAATGGGTAAGGGTATCGACAACACATTTGCGTTACTGTAACGTCTTACCTGTCACGCCTAACGAACTCTACATCGTGTCCGTCGTGACAGCCTTTCACGCAACTCACACAAATGGCATAACCTTCCGACGTACCACAAGTGGTGCATCTACAAATAAAGCAAAAACAGAGGCATCAACTTATAATTTCTCCTTACAGTATCAACAGATTGCCAACCAGTAGGTTATAGGAATAGAAACTCTGATCGGTGGTCTACACCCGCAGAATTTTTGCAAAAAAAAAAAACACAACCGAACACAGGAAAACCAATAGGGGGCATAAATGCCTAAAATGGTGATCGACGATAAAAATGGATTGCATCCGGTAATCAACGTCTTCGGCTCGTCTTTTTTTAAATGTACCTCAACACTCGTTCAGGGTGATTTATAGCCTCGGGAAGGCGTCAACCTTCTTTGTTATGTGGTCGTAATTTTGTCAATAAAAGACTTCTAGTCGGCTAATTCAACATAAGGCCTCTTTCGGTCGGTCTACAGGTAAGATGGACAGTGCTTTCCGCTCGATAAATCTCTAAACAGTGGATAACGCAATTATTGATTTCAGTAATACTTATCCTTACCCACTGGATAGCGCTATCCAACTTTTGAACAACCGGGCCCTAAGTTCTATGGGCCTTGGGTGGTTAGATCACCTAGATTTCACTGCTCATTCACCTAGCAACCTCACTGGTTCTCAAAAAATCGTTTGGCACGTGTCACGTGTCAACTTACTAACCTATAGAAGTCGTGCATTGGGTAGCACGTGTTACCAGAGACCTGGAACAGACAGCGGCAAGACTCGATGGCTTTCTCCACTTCCCGTCTATTGCTGTGTACCTTATTATCTGAGGGAGGGGAAGGTAAGAGAAAGTAAGTACGACACGGTGAAAGCTATAAACTGGACGGGTACCGGGGTCGGTGGGTCAGATTATACTTACTGTTTAGCTGCGGTTTAACGCCAGTAGCGAGACAAATCCCGTCAAATCGATTGTTGAAAACTTCGTTTCCTTCTAAAACACCACCTAGGATCAAGAAAATTTTAGCTTTGTTTTACGATGACATTAGCAAACGTACAATTATCGAATACCATAAACTGCTGCTTGTAACCTTACCTGCACTGTTTGTAATCTCAATTCCGGCAGCACCACCATCAAATATGCGATTACTTTTCAGCACTGGAAAACTGGCTGTACTGATGAGAACTCCTATGTAGAGGGGCAAAAGTACAGGAATCAGCGGACGATATCATTAGAAACAATAAGTCGGTTATTTAAACGAAGTCTAACTTAAGAGTGGCGGTTTAACAAATCTTTAATCCTCCAGATCTCTTCCTTAGTGGGTTATTTTAAGAAGATAAATGCTTTTCTGGTCCACTTTATATGCTTTCATGAAACGTTTCACAATAAATGGTGTCTGGATAAAATCGTAGGGCAAATTTAAAATGGCTTAGAACGCTGGTTTGTTAAACACTGGCTAAGATACGTATGTATCAATAGCCCAATGTGTTCGAAGAAATGTCTGGTATTTCCCAACCAAATACACAGATTCCGAAACACAAAATGAAATAAATAGCAAAATAGAGGCTCTCTCCTAGAGTAATCCAATTTGATTTCTGCTTCTTTTAGGACAAAAATTCTGCTCAAAACATTCCTTCCGACGAAGAATTTACCCAATCAGATGTTACATCATATCTGGTTTACATTAACATGGAAAAGGATGCGTACTTACCCGTAAGAGCATTTCGAAAGATGTCGTTATTCTCCAAAACACCTGAAGCAAATAAAGTGAGAAATGAGTTACATGTCACATGATTCCTTTTATGGTCATTTTTGTCACGTGACTCGCCCTTTCAACATCACGTGCTCGCGTTCAAAACGGGGAGCACGTTCTGTTTGGCAGTCTACTCATATGACTATTTTGTAAATCGCGTGGTAAACAAATACCAGTTTAAACCCTCTGCCCTCCTAGACCAATTTATGGCGAAATAATTCGTCATTCTAACTTTTCCATCCCTGGAAGAAATCCTACAGTATTACCATTCAAACGAAACCCCTTTGGCGCACCTTTTGCAAAGTACTTTTTATTTCTTAGGATTTCACGAAAAAAAAATTGGATTTTTTGCGAATTTTCACTTTTTCCAATTAGAATTGAAAGGGTTAATTTCGGTTTTTCAGCCCTTATTACTAGGAAGAACTTTGACTACGAGTTAAGTAGCGCTCTCGTGCTGACGTTTCGTGCTTAAACAGCTTGATCCTCAACAAGGCAGCCCGCTCAAAACTTAAGCATTGTTTTAACCATTTCATTCCCAGACCAAGTTATAGCGAGATTATTCGTCACTACAAGTTTTAAATCTGTGTAAACCATCCCATGGTGTTACCATCTAAATGAAACCTCTTTAGCAGAACTTTTGGAAAGTAATACTAATTTCTTAGGATTTTACTCGAAGAAATTTGCATTTTTCGCGAAATTTTCACACTCATCAGGTTCGCACTCACCTTTTCCACTGTTGAACACGCAGACACCGCCTTCACGGCCGTGATGGATCTTGTTCCTTCGGAGGACTGGGTCACTCTCTGTCTTGATCCAAACACCCGCCATTGCATTATCAAAAATCTCGTTCTCTTCAAGCAAACCAAGGCCTAGCAATAAGCAATAAACAGTAAAGAATTTAAGAATCTGTAAAGCAAGATTTAATACTAATGCAGAAATTGGCTAATTAGCAAGTAGTGAGCCGTCTTTCAAAATTTTCGGAGGCCGTTTTCCAAATAAATGACCAGGAAATTTTTAAAATTGTTCTTACAACGGAAGCCACTTTAAATATAACACTATCAACGTCATTATTTTGTAAAGCGACTGAATCACAAGAATACAGACTTCCGAACTTGCAAGTTTTCTTTACAAGTAATGATGCTTATTCCCTGTTCCCCTAAATAAATTATTTAGACAAAAAATGCCTAATTCACGGCATAACATATTTTTCTGTGCTTAGCTGAGCCTGCCACCAAAGTAAACACTTTGTTTTCAACTGTGAAATTCCCCGAGCGTCGTTTCTAAAAAAAAACCCTCTTAATGGAACAGCAAGTTTGTACCATAGAAAGAACTACGAACTTAAAATACAGCTAGTCAAACCACAAAGAGCAAACAAAGTAAACGTTTGAAATAGTTCGGTTTTTTGTCAGTTGTAAATTCGAGGTCGCTCATCCATATAGTGGTTCTTTTTCATAAGAAACCAATGTATTACCTCCGTTATAGACCAACACTCCGCCATTCTGTCCTCCCCAGATTTTGTTCCTTCTTATGCAGGGATTGCTGCCAGACCTGAAACAAGGAAAAAGAATAGCTTTAACTTTCTTTGTTAAAATCCACGGTTGTTCTAAAGGGAGGCACTCCTGCCATATTTTGAACTTTTTTTTTCACGTATGTGACGTATAACCAACTTTGGCCAATCACTACACAGACAGCGCACGCAGACTAAACAATGGACCAATCAAAACGAACGCTAAAACACCCAGCTGGCATAAAGCGCGGGAAACTCAAGTGAATAACTAACCAATCAAAATCAACGTTGTTACTTTAGCCAATCACATCACACAAACAGTCCAATAAACCAATCAGAACGTAAAGCATATGTATGTAGCTGGCGCCAAGCTTGGGAAAGCACGAGTGGGCGCGTCACCATTGGTTTGAACCACTGTTACCTTATTTGTATGCCAGAGTACTTGTGATTGAAGATTTCGTTTTCCTCGAGAACTCCGCAGCCGCCATCATAGAAATACACTCCAACCTGAAAACGACAAAAAGACGCTTAATACTTTGAGTGTTGAAAAGTTAGACTAACGTTTTCAGTTTCTGACATGGTGTTTTCCGAGATCGCCAAAAATAATACAGTCGAATCTACTGCAAAAAGCGGACAACCTTGGAATCACAGAAAAACCGCTTGACGGACAATGACTCAGTCAGTTAATGTCCGCTCAGGGAAGTTGCCCGGTTGTGGAGGTTCGAAGGGACTCTTCTGTTTTCCTTCCAATAATTTAAATGAAATTTGGTTCTGAGAAACGATAATCGCACATCATTTTTATAAACTTTTGACCAGAATTCCCGAGCTATGGCATCTTAAAGATGTAAAACGTTAATCGATTATTACAATGTATTGTTCTATAGCTGGAAATTTTTCCCAACAGCGCGCGCTCTCATTGGTTACTTCGAGGTCACATGACATCAAAAAATGAAACTGTTTCCCGCCAAAATCTCTGAGCGGGCAACATTGCAAAATCTGTGACGTCAGAAGGTGACAGTGCACTGCTGACCGACGACCGCCGTTTATACAGCGAGGCTTAATAAATTTCCAGCTATAAAACAAATCACTTTAAGACTGGTCCCTCGGGAAACAGTTCATTTTGTTTCCTTCGAATCTCAATGTCTCCCTCGGCTCCGTCTCGGGAAACATAAATATGGAGATAAAAACAAAACAAAATTAACTGTTCCCCTAGGGACCAGTCATTAAGTATTTCATGTAAGACTCCACCATAATGATCTCAGCCAACAAAACCGCGCTCGTTTAACAGTATACCATTTAAGCAAAGATATAGAAAAAAAGTGTTGTTTTTAAACTGCCTTAACTGTTTACCTAATGCTTTTATGACCATTTTACCATTAATAGTTTTGTTTCTTAAAGAAATTTTAATATTTAGCTTTGTTCGAAGAATAACACATGTTAACTTTTTTAGAATCAAGTTGCATTAAAGGAAAATTAGACGTTATTTTACAGTTTAAAAAGACATTTTTTAATGTAAGGCTTTCGTGGAAGATGTTTATACAGAGAGTATTACCATTTGTGCAAGTTATTTTTCAATCTTACAACAAAAATATTAACGTTAAGTTTAGCATTAACTCGTTAAATCGCTTTAGACCAGATTTAAGTTTGTGCGTTAACCTCAAGTGCAGTTGTTCGTCCCCAGTCCTACTGCGTCTTTTTTTCTGAAAAATAAAACGGTCGTTGTGTTATCCTAAAACTAGGATTTTGCTTGTGCCATTTTAAACTTTTTGTATAAGTCATAAGCACCAGTTGTAAGGGAAAAGGTTCGGTTTTATTGCGCTTATGTTTAATTTTGAATGTTCTTTGTAGTTGAAGCTGAAAAATGTTGGTTAGAGGAAACATTTTGTAAAAATACAGTACTGTCATACCCCTCAAACAAAAAAAAAGCGAGGAGGGACTAGATCGAATGTGTTATTAACCACGTAACGAGGCAAGAAGGATACTAACAAACATATAATAATTTAGCATCTTCATATCCGTTGAAAAGCAGAATGTGGACAGTCAAGGAACTCTCAAAATAAATAGACTACCAGTAGTCCCCATTTTTCCTCAGGGATAGTAGAGCGAGCGAAACGCGAGCGCGAGTGAAAATCACCCCACGCGAGAAAGGTGAGACGCGGCGGCGAGAGAGAAATGAGCGTCTCGCCTTTCTCGCGTGGGGTGATTTTCACGCGCGCTCGCGTTTCGCTTGCTCTACTATCCCTGAGGAAAAATGGGGACTGCATAGTCTACAAAATAAACGGCAGCTACTTTCTTTTCGACATTGATTCTTGCCAGATTTCATAACTACGCTGTGAATGATGCACAACTGGGAGCGCATTTAGTCCATCACTTCGTATTCAGTTTACAAACAAACAAAAATATATTGTCTGTCGTTCGTGTGCTAGGTGCTCTTTCAATGTAGTCAATTTAGTAAGGGTGTAGATGAACTGGGTTACGTGCTTGACTATAAAAAGAAACTTGTAAAAGAGTGTGCCAGTTAATTTGGGAATTTACTAAAAAGGTAAATACAGTTGAAGTTTTATGTTTTAATTGTTTAGTTTCTTTAATTTTAGTGAATTTTGAGCCCATGATCACTCAAACTACTTTGCGAGTCTTGAAATATTGAAATATATTATGAAAATAAAACTACATGTCACGTGAACCTTCGAACGCGAAATCACGATAACTGTTGAAACTCAGAGAGATGAAGTGGATGATTCGCTTTGATAATAAATTGCTTGAAAAGCCTTTTGGAGACTTTCAGTCTACGCGCAAATCAGGGTGGCGTGCAAAGCAGTTTGGGTAAACATGGCCCTTAAGTCAAAAATATTATTATGGAATGCAATCTAACAAGATAGGAAATCAGATTACTTGCTTACGGAGTAAAAAACTCTCCGTGTGCGTTATTTCAACGACAGTTAGCAGCGTATGAATACTTAAATTTATTTAAATAGGATAAAGATACTCTACAGTCAACGACGGAACAGTTTGCGGCCAACCCAAAGTTTTAACTTAGCCACAATTAACAAAGGTCATTAAATTTTCTTAATCTGCGGTTCAGTTATCCTACGCTTAAATAACCATACCTACCTGTTTTCCACTGTGTATTCTGTTATGTCTTAGTGTTGGAGTACTTCCTGCGCAACAACAACAAAAACGCATTATTCCATAACTTTGTTCGTGTTCTCAAACGCAAGAATTCTCGGATCATTATACGTCTCTGAGAAACTGCCCACCTACCCCTCCCCTAAGCCAATATTGACACTTACTCAGTCTCACTTAGGGCAAAATGTTGGCTTAGGGGAGGGGTAGGTGGGCAGTTTCCCAGAAATGTATAATGATTCGAATTGAATTCGTTAGCTTCAAAATGATAATCTTAGGTATTTTAACTCAATGTCCGATCATCATGTCAGACCATGGGTAGGATTTCGTCAGACAAAAAAAATTCCGTCGGACACCGTCCAATGACCTACTGGTTTTTTTAGACCTGAATTGTCCTATCATTATTTCAAAAATGTCCGTATATTTTTGTTCACATTAGTTCTACCCCTGGATTTCCGAGGACACCAAACGATTTACCGTACAACCACGTTAGGTCGCCTAAAAGCTCATGCGATTATTTAGAAACGTAGACATCATTGCAGTAACTTATCCTCTACAGAGCTATCCAACTTCTTCTTTGATACTACTGTAGAACCTCGTGAACTCGAACACGGATAACTCGAATTCCCCGCTAACTCGCTAATCGCAAGCAAGCGACAAAAAACTCAGTACGATTAAACGAGTAGTTCTTGACAGGAATAGAGCCCATACACAATAACCGAGTGGATCCTCTAGCCTCTAAGTTATGGGGACATTCTCTCATGTCGCTTTTTTTCCGCAGCAGGATTAGCTCAGTCGGCAGAGGGCTTGACAGCAGAGCGGGAGGTCGCAGGTTCAATTCCCAGGATGGAACCAATACTCAGGGTCTTAAAATAACTGAGAAATGAAGGTACTCCCTTCGCACTGCAAGCGGCTTAACCTTCGCGTGGCTCGGATGACCATGTAAAATGGCGGTCCCTTCTCCAGTAGGAAACGTAAAAAATATTGTCCCCGATTAGCAATTCCGTGCTAAACACATTGACACTCAAATAAAGTGCACTTTTTTTATACCTGTAGTGATCCACACACCCGCAAGAGTATTATTGTTAATTTCGTTGTCCTCTATAAGCCCCATGCCATCTTCGTGCTGAGAAAAGTAAGGAAAAACGCAAGAATTAACACAAAATCGTTTATAGAACTGAGTGTTGTTGCAAACTGCAGGCAATATTCATGTATCAAAGGGAGGGAAGACATCGGAGTAGGGAGGGGTTGGGAAGGGACGGGATGTTATCCCTACTAAGCAAACCAAACAAGTAAAGCAAATAAACTGTACTTACCACGTAGATTCCACCGTGCAGTCCGCTGTGTATTCTATTGCAACGAACGATGGGGTTACTTTTCGTTCTGATCTGAATCCCAGCAAGTGCATTGTCTGAAATAAAGTGAAACTTTTCAATGGCTTTCACCGTCATAAAATCAAAACCAAAGCGAATTTATTCTGACCAATCAAAGCAAAGGTAAACAATCACCTAAGCCAATCAAAACTCAAGAAAATTTAAAAATATCACGCGGGCACAAAGCGCGGGAAAACGCCTGCAGATAGGCCACAAATGGTTTTGGTTTCCTTCTGGTCGGGAAAGTGGCGCAAATGTTCGCAGCCAATAATACTATAACAAAACGAAGCGAGGAAAAACTAAAGCCGTGACGACATTACTTTTCACAGAGTTTTCACACTTAACTAAAAATCGCTCCTTCCGTGGTGACTGGGTTGATACAAGGTTTTTTTTTTTCAGGCAAGCGAGCTCTCAGAAAAGTAGCTAGAAATTGTGATAAACCGGCTGGGCAAAATGCTGAATAAAGTCACGAACTTAAAAAGGAAGTGTAATTTTCACACTTGACAGCAAAAACACCATGCAATTTTGACTTTTTCGCACGCGTTTCCCTCGGTTCGAGGAGGCCACATGTAGTTTTGCTTCGAGATAAGATTGAGCGCTATAACTTTGGGGGAAATGAGATTTGTACTCCGCCCAAAACTACAGAGAAGCACCTAACACGGTTTTCAAGCGAACAGAGTACCCTTCTAATCTTACGTCTATGGAAATACTTATATGCACTGTAACTATGTGGAAATAAATGACGAGTCTAACTTATTTTTACTAACCGTGAATATTGTTTCCTTCAATCAGTCCTCTTCCTTCGCCAAATACATAAACACCTGATAAACATAAAAGAAAATAATTACTCGTTTATAGTGAATCGCTGGCAGTATTTGCGAGAAAACCACTCTTTGTTTTCTATAACTGGTTGAGAAAAGGGCGCGATATTTTCATACCCAATAACAAAGCAACGGTAATCTAAACAAAAAAATATATTTCTTAGACTAATTTAAGCAGCGATCTACAGAGAAGACACAATTTCTCACCTCCTTGATGTCCGTCATAAATCTCGTTGTTTCTAAAACAAGAAAAGACGAGAGTGAACCTTTCGTTTTATGTTTTAAATGATCGGACAGACAACAAACCAACAACACCGAGGGTTTCTTACTTGATAGTTGGATTGCTTTGTGACGTGATCCAGACACCAGCGTACGTGTTGGAATAAATTTTGTTTTCAAGAAATTCTCCACGAGCCTGCAAAAGACAAAATAATTCTAAACCAAAGATCACTGGGCTTCAAAAACGGCAGGTTTATTTTCTTTTTTTTACAAAAACCTGCTTGTATGGCACAATAAAAGCCGAAAGCGCAAATTCTCGCATTCGCAACGTGGGGACTTCGTCTAATCGTGCCCCCTCGTTTAACACTAGCTTCAGTTTAAGACTGCGCGCATTCAAGATCAGCAAATGAAAATTATCGTTGTTTTGCAGACTTAATAAGACGAAGAGTGGCACCGAACCTGTCAGATATGTGACGATCCACTTTTAAGATCGACGCGGCGCAGCCTCATTCCGTTACAGAAATCGGGCTGAAATCACCGTTTTTATGGGTGACCAAAAGCCACGTCTGATATAGTTTTCGTGCCGGCGCGAAAGCTATCCGTTGTAGCGGGAAAATATCCTCAGAAAACTGTTATAGAGCAAAGCATTGCAAAAATAACAACAACAGCGAGGGTGCTCAATACGACTCATTAATCTGGTCATCCCGACCCAAATTTTCGCTCAATCCCTTGATCCCGATGGTCATTTTCCGTATCCCGCATCCCGTGAACGCGATCAATCCCGAATCTCACCTCCATTTTGTTTAAAAATCCCGAATCCCGAACTCCAAAAAATGGAAATCCCGGATCCCGAAAAAACCTGAGGACCCTCAACAGCCACTACACGCTCGGCTGAAGACCATGTACTTACGTCATCATGGCAGTAGATCCCGCCAGTCATACCATGGTGGATCCGGCAACCAACCACTGTGGGATTTGCTCCTGATCGAATCTCAAAACCAGCGATACGATTATTGTGTACATCATTACCTTCGTAATAACCCTATGAGAAAAACGCAGATACTTTGTCGGATTTCAGACCGGGTAACATTACGGAGCTTAAACGACCGCAAAGGCAAAGGCAGCAAAAACGGCACCTGAAAATTGAATTCGGGCGGTTCCAAACTTTAGCACTCTTATTCTATTTCATTCAATTTGTCAAGTGTTGAGGAATTTTTCTGGAGTTGAATTCTAAAGGACTATAACTAAGTTGGGGAAAAAAAGAGACAATTTCTGACTCATGTTCACGCCCGCCATAAAACGTGAGCATTACTATGAAATTTCACGTTGTAGTCGAGCAACATTGCCAAAAGCATGATGCACGTGCAAATTTGTTGTTTTGTTTTTCGCCGTTCTTGTTGCTGTCGCCGTTGCTTAAGCTCTCTATTAAATTCACTTTCTGGACAAGAAAATTTGTCTTTGCGAAACAGCTCGCAAATCCACCACATCGCTAATGCTGTGATTGCTGCATTTGCTGACCTTTTCAGCTCAGCCATTATCGTCTTCACTTGACACTGTGTCCGTAATGAAGCTACCGTTGGAAAATTACCGTGGTAAATTGAAGTTTTGAATTTCAGTAATGACATCCTGCCACAATAGATTAAACGAAACTGATTCCTGGATAATGAGCAGAACACACAAACAACTTTAAAAGCAATGTCCAAATTCACTTACCAGTCCATAATCGAAGATAAAGAAGCCGACATCTCGTCCATGATGCACTTTATTTCTTCGCATGACAGGGCTAGCATGATTACGCACCCAGACCCCAGCAAGCTTCATGTTTGTTATTTCACAGTCTTCATACGTTCCCTGTAAGTAAATCACACATTTAGTTGACCTGCAGATCTGTTGGCAGCTACTGTCTTTTAATTAACAAGGGAGTTAGCGACGGCAAGAAGAACGGAAAAAAAGCAATAGATTTACATTAGCAAAACAACAACTTTGCACGTGCATCACGCGTTTTTGTATTATTTCATAACGGAATTTAAGATTCAACGACGCGACGGCAAAGGGAACGTCGCTTAAAAAGTGAATTTGCTTTCTTTCGGTCTTTATCGCAATTATTCCTACCCACTTACTTTATCAAAATCGGGTAAAGAAATGTACAAACGAGCGTGATGCACGTGCAAAGTTCTTGTTTTGGTTATAAAACTATTGTTTTTATGACGTTTTCGTCGCCGTCCCCGTCGTTGGACCTGAAACAGGGGCACCCAACGACAATTTTCGGAAAAATATCTGTTCGGAAGACGATTTGAGATCTAGAATTTTCGGAACATTTGTTGTAAAATTACTTGCTTGCCTGCCTCTCCTAGGATTTTCGAACATCTAAAAAATGGTAAAATTGCTCATTTTCAACGGATTTTTACACTAAAAAGGTCACCTAGAATTTTCGGGAGCCTTTTTTCTGGCTGAAATTTCCAAAAAGGTAAGTTTTGATCCCTATAATTTTCGGATCGCTAGACTTTCAGCTAGGAAATCCGAACAGATGAAAAATTTATAGGGGATAAAAGTATGCCCATATTCACCGTTTAAATACTAAAACACGCTTAACAATGCTATGTTTAAGTGGTTTTCAACTATATTCTCGTTGGGTGCCCCTGCTGAAAGTCCCTATAGTCAATGCAAGACTACGACGTGACGTAAAATTGCCTGACTTCACGTTTTATGGAGGACGTTAACACAAGACAACGACTTTTCTTTTCTTTTCCTGAACTTCGATACAGTCTTTTAGAATTAAACTCCAGAGAAAATTGCCAACATTTGATAAATTGAACGAGATGGAATAAACGCGATTAAGTTCGAGGCAGCGCGAATTCACTTTTTAGGTGACGTTTTCGTAGCCGTCACCGCCGTTGTTACCTAAGCTGCCTAACATTACGGTACATGTATTTCCTACCTGGGCTCCATCCGTGACAAAGATGCCTACGTTTTCAGAATCAGATATAACACACTGAGACAGGGTGGGTCTTGCACCTCTACCGTGAACATAGACTGTCGCCCCGGCTACAAGAAATAAAACAAAACATAGCCAGTGATCGTTAAATTTCACTTTTAAATTAGTGGGTTTCTAAGTTTTTGAGTCTGTGGCAAATCGCGTGACCATTCAAATGAAAGCTACTGAACTGTATTTTCCTGTGGTACTGTTTATTATGCTGTACAAGGTGGTTCTAACTTTTGAGTCTGTGGATGAAATCCTTAAGTGTGACCATTCAAATGAAAGCTACTGAGCTGTACTTTTCTGTGGTACTGTTTATTATGCTGTACAAGGTGGTTCTAACTTTTGAGTCTGTGGATGAAATCCTTAAGTGTGACCATTCAAATGAAAGCTACTGAGCTGTACTTTTCTGTGGTACTGTTTATTATGCTGTACAAGGTGGTTCTAACTTTTGAGTTTATGGATGAAATCCTATGATGTGACCATTCAAATGAAACTAGTGAGCAGTACTTTCCGGTGGTACTGTTTATTAGGCTGTTCAAGGTGGTTCTAACTTTGGACCCTGTGAATCACTTTGCAAATCAAATCATAAATAAAAGCTAATGAGCAGCATATTCCTGTGGTCCAGTTTGTTCTGTGTAAGATGTTTCTGACTTTAATTTTGAGTCTGTGTATCATCAAATCCTGAAGTGTTATAATGTAGTAACCTTAATATGGCATTTCCTGTGCTGTCGCATATTACCTAAAGCAATAAGCTTGAAATACACTTAACATAAATTCTTAAGCCATTCAATAATTCTTACCATCAGCAAGACTTGTAAGTTTGCAGTTGTAGACTGTTGGGGAGCATTCATCTACAACCTCCACACAACCTAATCTGATTGGCTGTGATTCACTGGAAGGACAGTTCTGATAAAAGTAAACATGTAAACGAAGTAGATCGGTTAGTAACAGAACAATGTGACACGTTCTTTGTTGGTTCCCTCCCTTGCTCCGAGAAGTTTTTCTCTGAGTACTCCAGTTTTCCCCTCTCCTTAAAAGCTAACACTTCCAAATTCAAATTCGATCTGGAATGCATGGACAGATCACAATAAATTCTCAAGAACTCCCAAGTGCTCCGTGAGTAAACAAATTACAACAAATTAAAATCAATTACAAAATTACGTATTCAAGGCCTCAGTCATAATATTATAGAATTATAAAAGCAATTGTTAATAGAAACTTTGCTTAAAGTTAATGATACAAACCTTTAAAGTGAGATGTCCTAAGAAGGCACATGACGATCCTGAAGTGAAACTGACAACTGTTGAAGAACTGCTCTGAATGACCACTTCATCACTTCCAACTGTTATGGAAAAGAAAATACATGAATAAAATACTTCTAACTCTGTACTATTAAGCCTGAGAAAACAGCCAACCAGTGCTGTAGCCAGACCAAACGGCCAACCGAGGCAGGCGGGAGTTGCTAGGGGGGTTCGGGGGCATGCCCCTCTCCCCCCGAGAAATTTTGAACTTTAGTCTCTCGGAAATGCGATTTGCAGCGTTTTCTGGGCCTTTCGGTAACTTTTTTTCGAGTTAATTTAAGTGGAATTTAAAAAGCAATAATCAGAAACAAGCTACATAATCTGGGTGACCGTTAACCTCGCCAATGGTTTTGACCAGTATTTGTTCAAAAAAAATTTGAGTTAACGTACGTAGCCCCTTGAGATTGATGATATGGTAATTTTTTCATAGTATATTGACTGAATTGCTGAATTCTTTGTAATATCATGATGCGTTAAAAGTATCCGATGATTGCTTATGTAAAATAAAAATGATCGGCGAAATTCGTCAAAATTTTACCGAGGCGAGTGCCTCGGTTGGCCTCATACTAGCTACGGCGCTGCCAACATCTTGCAACGTCAACACTGGTTTCGCTGCAAAAAGAAGTCAGAGGAAGGAGTCCAGAAATTCTGGCGGAGAAGAGTATTCTGTCCGTCATCTGATGATGAGTCACTACCCAGACCTGGGCAGAGCCTCTGATTGGATGAAGCAAATTTCCCTTGCTGCACAACTAATCAGAAGCACTACCCTGATCTGGGTAGTAACACACCATCAGTATGGAAATTTTGCGCTCATTCACCAGCTGTCATTTCGCAGGGAAACCAGTGGTGACATCGCAAACTTTCAGCTGTTTTTTTAGGCTAAGCACTACATAAACTTTATTAAAGAATCTGAACCTTAAATGACTCCCAAAAGAGAATAATAATACTCAAAAAACTACTCCACATACTTGCTCCAATAATGGCAACAGGCTTGTTGATTGATAGATGCTCATCATACACACCCCGATGTACGATAATGACTCCATCATAAGGGACTGCTTCCAGAGCTTCATTAATAGTTTCATGATACTGAAGGTAGAAAGAGTTCAAAATTACAGCCTGACCTCCTCAAAGGGGTACTATCAAGACTGAGCATGGGTGTAGGCTTGCAAGAGGTGTCTTGAAAACACCTTTAAGGAGTTATGTCAAAACTTTTTGGCATTACTTTAAAACTTTGAAAACTCATTGTAATCAAAGAAAACCCTGAAGTAATGATTTAGTTGTATTTTTTAATTACTCTGCAACCATAACTCAACTATACATGCAAGTGTTTGTCTTCTGGCCCCGGTTGTTCAAACATTGGATAAGCTATCCAGCAGGGGCCGGTTGCTTGAAGCCTGGTTAGCGCTAACCGTTGGTTAAGAGGTATCAAAATGTATAGGTTTCCATGGTATTTAACGCTGGTTAGCACTAACCATGCTTCGAGCAACCAGAGCCAGATAAATCACTATCCAGTGGATAAGTATTAGGGAAAACAATTGCATTACCCTGTGGATAATGTGACCCACCTTTCAAATTACAACACTGGGCCTTGGTGGCTAGTATGAGAGCAGATTCCAGCTTGATAAAAAATGGGCCAACTTTTTCAAATCTAAAAACCCTCTAGGGTAAATATGGAGTGACTTCTAATCAGCTCCTTTCAATTTCACAATCTTAAGCTCCTATAGCTTGGAACTAGCTCACTTCTTTTAGCTTCAAGGTCTATCCACCTGTTCTAATGCACATGATTGAACACGACATACACATACTGTACCTTGATTTGCCTTCCCGTAAATCGTGTAGGATTTAGCTTCTTCTGTTTTGCTAAGGCCGGGTGAACATGATGAGCACGATACAAAGAGCTAAGGCATTTTTTCCAACATAAGTCATCTTTGGGTTCTTGTTCGATGTAAACACCTTCAAATGTCTTTACTAATGGCTTCTTCATGCCAAATACTTGACTGTAAAGGGATCGCCTACAGACAAAACAAGCGATGTTAAGAGAAAAACAACATTTAAAAGCAGACAGGGTCATAAGCCATTGATTCTACAGTCACCCAGCTGTCTGGCCTTATCAGCTTTGTCAAACTCAAAAAAGTCAACCTGCCATTGTAAAAACATTAGTAAGTTGATTATGTTAAGGCTAGCCCTACGTCAGAGTCAGTCATTCAGGGCTATACTCCAGCATAGCCCAGTGCTAGTGAGATTCTATCTGGTTAAATCACTACTCACTAGAAACAGCTGCCAAATTCCGCATCTACAACAAAGGTTTGTTGATTAAACAAGGGCCACAACTGTGACAGATGGTTCTAAGAAGAAGTGAATTTACTGTATGGACTTTAATAAGTCAGCACTAAAATAACTTAATTTATCCTGGAATGATATTATTCGAATGAGGGACGACTGAGCCGTACACACAAAAAAATAAGTTTACTGGTAATAGGTGCTACAATGTTTTCACTACAAACCATAAGCATCCATCCTGGCTTAAAGTGTTAAGTCGTGAACAAGTCTGTGCCAATCTGCACAAATCCTTCTCTTTTAGATAGGAGCATATCAACAGCAACACTTCATCTGGGATTGCTTCAATATAGCATTCTAAATTCTCTGTTAAATATCGTGATAAAACAGAGATCTGTTAGTCAGTAAGCTTTAGTGTATTTTAACAATGATTAATTGAGAAAAGCCTTTAAGAATATTATCACATTTTTTACTGATAGTCATACAATGTTAGCTGACAAAAAAACATGAAGGGCCTGGCCAGAAGGAGAGAACTTTTCATGTAACCATCGCCTCCCCAACAAAAAAAAAAAAAAAAAAAAAAAATGGAAGGAGATAACTGAATTGCAGTCAGCCGCAAAGTAAAAATAAAGCTTTGGTGTTAGTAAATTTAAATGTCCTCAAGCTTAATGACATGAATAAATATATTGATTCATACCGAAAAAAAATGACAATGCTGACCCTTATACCGACCTGACCCCACCCACCTCCAAACCTGGGATCTGAGCATTTTAATTCAAACAGAACCTCTCCATCTTTCGCTAACTTTCAACCTCTCATTGGCTATAATTTGATATTAGAAGCCAAAGGCAACATGACTCAATGTTCAGTTCAATCCATTTTAAAATGAACAGGAAAAATAAAAACTGTGTCACAGCTCACAAGGAAATTATATATTTTTTTCAAGTCAAGCATGTTTTCTGCCTATCACATGTTGATCATACTTGAAGCTAAGATCAAACACATAAATAAAATTTTGGCAGACATTCAACTTTCATGACAATTTTGATATTTTAACAGTACTAGATTCTCACGATAACAAAACCTAATTTATTGGACGTCGTCTACGATATATTTGCCCTACCATTTAAAGTAGAATGTATGAAAATTACAATACATGACATGGAAGAGAACTTAAAAAAACTGTAAAGAAAATTTTGCATCCGATCTTTTAATTTAAGAAGTAAAATATCCCCACACTTTAAGATCGATAACCTACCGTATCTATGCAGATTAAAATCCTGCTTTCACCGGCACCACAAATGTAGATTTTAAAGCTGATAGTTTTTTAAATGTCTCGACATTTTGCAAACATTTTATATTATCAATTTCATACCTTGTTGGCTCTGAGATGTCACGGACTGTTCTGTTCAGATTTAAATAATTTTAACACTTTACGCAATAATTTTAATTGATAGAACCACGTTTCTCAACCAACGCTGAACGTATTTGAATGTAAAATTCTCTATTCAACTCTTTCGTGACAGACAATAATTGAAGTTAAAAGAGGCACGTGGAGGCATATTCAACAAAGAGATTTCTAATAAAAGAGTTGAACAAAGAAATTCAGCTTACAATATGATACGGTTGATATCGGAAATTTATTGAGAAATTTAGTTTTTAGCAGGATAAAAACATGTGTTTTCCATACCTTCCTGTCGAATCTGTTCCCGAATCCTTACGTTGAATTGGTTGGAAGATCTAGTTCGCTTACCCACGTAGCTCTGTGATCTCAGACATGTTTTAGCTTGATTTCTTGTCAGATGCGATGGGCTTGACTGAAAATGTAAAGGCCAAGGATGAAAATTTAGAACAAAATGCCGCAGATTTCAGCTTTGATCACAAGATATTTTTTTAAAAAAATACCATCCACAGTTTCGACGCCATTCTGCCCTGTAACAACAAAGCCACTAAAAATTGCGTGAAAGACGCAGAAGCCCGACGCTCGATTTAGAAAGCGATCGATCGATCAACTCACATCAAATGACTTATAGGATCTCCATTCGATCTTGGTTTTTTCTGCTTCACAATCGTTTTCCTGAAACAAATGTTCTTGAGCGTTACATTTCCTTCGCGGTTTGCCTCTCCCTGTTAAAGCAAAACAAAAGAACAGGAGCTTGTAAGCCATTCAAATCTGCCGTTACAAACCGCTTCCTCAAAAAGCAAACATGGCCGTTTCAATTCGGATCACGTTCCAAAAAAAGTAGATTCCTTACTCGCACTGCTGCTCTGTGTATTTGAAGAGCTCGCCTTGGTTTTTCGGTAGTATTCGGTGCACAGCCTCGGCCTTTTCGAAGACGACATCGCAAGCTTTTCACAAGACCATTCAGCTCACAGCTGTTTGCTTTGTCGGGTGAACGGGATTGTTTTCATGCAGAGGAAATGACGAACTCTCTTTCATCTTCGTGAGCCAATCAGATCGCAGAAAACACAAAGGTGTTCGTTTCGCCCAATCGTGTTGCTGCGTCCAAAGTCAATGGAACGAAATTCAAATGCACATTTTTCTACGAGAAATTGTGAACGAAAATCACCTGTCACGTCTCTGTCATCCAGAAAATGTAGTTGTTCTGAGGAAATTCTTTTGGGCCTTATACTAAACTCTGGATAGTGACCATAACATATAATACCGGAAATAAGCTACCTTTTAATTTCCCATGTCGTACAATCAAATCGTTTTCACACTAGCGCTTTTACTACGATTCGAAAAAGAACATTTGATCGATATTACAACAGGTGAATTGAACAATGACACTCTTGTTATAAAAACTGAACCGAGGAAAAGACATTCGACGAGTGCGCAGTGTTTCAAGCTAATCATTCACAACGTGAAACACATCAAACAGTAAATTCAAAAAAAGGATTAGAGAACGGGAACTCGAGATATTCTCATCCATAAAAATTCTTAAGAATATTTCCTGTTTAGGAGGAATTATGGTTGGAAGCTTCATTTTTAGCGTCACTACAACACGTACTGTATACATCTCGCCTAGACTTCACTCGATCCATGAAATGCCTCGACATAATAAAAGTCCATGGCTCGAATTTGGCCCATTACATGAGGACTTTTAGAATGTTTTCTTCTTTAAGGAAAAAGATCAGATGTGGGGAAGAAGTTTAGGAAATGATCGAAAACAAAAAAAATATGATCTCAAGGCTAAAAAATTATGATTTGAGGCCAATAATTAATTTTGTTATACATTGTAGTCACCATCTGTCTTCTCATTGGCTAAAAGCCTACAGTTAATTCTGGGAAACAGCGCAACCTGCAGATTATTCACTAATCTGTACCTTCAGATTAGTGAATAATCTGTAGGTTGAGCGCGCAATGCATGATTTTCAAGAGCGATGTCAAGTGCACGGACAGCAATGTCAAGTTCGCGGACAGCGAAGTAAGAATGGCTTCTCGATTCGCTTCATCGACCCACCAAGAAATTGAGAAATTACTTGAAGATAAAGTATAAAAAAACAATTATTAGATTCGGTTTTTGTGATATCCGCAATAATCAAGGTCTCGGTTAGTGTTATCAGCCTCAGCCTTCAGCCGAACCTCGACCTTGATTATTCCGGATATCACAAAAACCTCATCCAATAACCTCGACCTGAGCCAAACCCATGTGAAGTTTGGTGCGCCATAAATGAGCCAAAAGGGTGACCGGGTCGTCACGGCTAGAGCCTAGCCGGGTCACCTTTTTAGCCAAGCCAAAGGCCTAGGCCTAGCTAGGGCATTAGGCGCGTCACCCTTCTAGCCAAGCTAAGTAAACGGTTCCCGAAGGAGGAGTTGAAAGAGATGTCGCGCGTTTAACTACCCTCGTTCAAACCTGTTAACAACCAAGAAAGGCCAAGAGGTGGTAAAACGCACAACATCGCTATTCAGCTTGTTTTGCAGCAATGTTGCAAGACAAGTTGCATGTTTTTTGTTGCCCGTTTTACCTTACCTTTAAAGACCGCACTCGAGTTTAAAAAATACTTAAACAGTTAAAGGTATCGTCGGCAAGAGTTCATGTTTTCAAAACACGGGTATTTACACGCCGGACGTCGTAGTCGTGCAACGACGGCAAAGAAATGCACGTGCAACGCACTTTTTCGTACAATTCTTTGTGGTCGTTGCGCGACCACATTTCGTGAAGAACGTGAACGCAAGGCAACGATTTTCTTTTTATTGTTCTGAACTTGGATACAGTCCTTTAGAACGCAACTCCAGAAAAAACCTCGAGAAAATGAGAAAGTTGTCAAATCTACCGACGAGTTGGCGCTGTTTCAACTTCATCACTATACCTCGTTCAATTTAACCTGCAGAACAGGTGCTATTTTTTCACGTATTTCGGCGCTTCGTGCTTGCCTTGCACTTGTCTGAAAAACGCAAACGAAGAACGTCCGTTGGGCAGGCTAAATTGAACGAGGAATAGCGATGAAGTTGAAACAGCGCAAATTCTTTGGTACGTTTGACAACTTTCTCATTTTCTCTAGGTTTGTCTGAATTTTGATTCTCCACAAAATAAGGAAAAATAAGTAGGTATACTTGGGTTGAATTCAGCTGTATTCTGACTAACTGGATGACAAGGAACATTTTTTACAGAAATCAGTGCCTTATCTTTCTGTTTTCTTTAGACATTTGTCAATATCATTAAGTAGCTTGTCAAGTTTGAGATGAAGATCCTCATTTTGCAATTCCATAAAGGAATGGTCACTTTTCACCTTCACGAGGCATTCTTTTATCTTGATGAGATCATATCTGCAATAGTCCTTTAGAGTTCTTTGTTCCTGTCCTTCGAAACCTTTCACTGAATTTTTCCAGTCTTGAAAAACGGAGCTCACTAAGTTTGTGGTTTTCAAAGAAGTCTCATCTTTGCGGTCTTTTCCTTCGCGGTTCCAATCGAAACCTGCCTCTGACATGGTAAATATCCTTCTCGTTGCGACAGCGTCAAGAAATTCGATGAACTCTCGGTAATCTATTCCACAGCTTGCCCTTAAAATGACCTGACACAAAAAAGATGTTGTGAGTCCAAAAGACTTTCCAGCTCGGACGACACGGGTATGGCTTCTATTTACACTTAACAACGATGATTTCGGCGCGATTTCCAGGTGGATTTCTCTAACGGAGCGGAGCAGCGCTGCGCCGATCAGGAAAGTGGACCGTCACATATCGTAGCGGAAGTGAAGTACCCGGTAGTTGGAAAAAGGACTGGAATTTAGGAGTGACGAGTGGGATTTAGCTCACCAAACTCTCACGGCCAACTGCACCGGCACGATGTTCAATGTGTGTGAACGACTTGTTCTAGTTGTGCGCCGTTACTGTTCATACTACATCGGATTGCTTTTGGTGCCGACACGAGAAGCCATCCGGTACACTCAGTTTGAATGGAGTAAGAAAAATTTAATTTCCTGAAAAGACGCATACAACCACCACTCCAAGGCGAGACGCTGAATCGGCACAAAAATGAACAGCTGCTTGCGAATTCAATTAGCAGGGAAACAATTCAACACGTGCTATAAAGAAACTCTTTGGCGTGGACGTGCATTTAGGCAACGGCAATTGCACGTGCGTTAAAAAGTTTAATAGACCTTTTTGGCTTGTAGGTTTTTGTTCTCCCAATTCAGACCACGTGTTATTATCAAGGGAATTTGCCTCTTGTCTTTGTATTAGCTGCGTACGCATACGCACGTGGATATGGCGACATACGCACGTGGATAGCGCGATATTTGAAAGAAACAATTCTCTGGGTTAACATCAAATGGTTTGAAATTGGAAAAAAACATACAAGCTAAGGGCCTGTTTACATGGAGGTGGGGTATCCTAGATAGGTGAGGTAACATGCGGCGGGTCACCTCACCTATCATGTAAACGTGATCAAATTAGAATGAGAGATTATGTGGACAGGCGGGTTACCTCACCTACCTGGGGTCCCCCACCTCAATGTAAACAGGCCCTAAAAAGGTCTATTAGCGGAGCTTCACGCGCGCGAGGTAGCCCAATACATACGAAAAGGTGGTAATCTATCCATCTGAGAAATTCTGGTAATCACGTGACCGTACGTCCGACCGACCGCCCGTCCGTCCGCTCCAGAGACGTACCAATGTAAAATAACTCAATCAACAGGTATGGCAACCCAAATGCAACTCGTGGTTATTTTGGCGGGAAATCGCGTAGCCAACCGCGTTTTGTGAAGCAGAGACAACTCAAGAGTCAATAAAGAAGAAAACGGAAAGCAGAAATTGTGTCTGCACCCGTGTTGTCTAAAGTATTAAGCTTAGGTTAATCTCTGAGTCATGTCCACAAATTTGGAATATAGAGAAAGAGAAAGACAGAGAAAAAGAGGAAGTAGGCGACAGGCCACCGAAACTCAACTAAAAAAAGAGCGACAGAGGGCTAGAGCGAGAGATAAAAAAACATAGGAGACATTTTTTATGAGTACAACATGAAAATTTCGTACAGGCGGTGAGAAAATGAGAAATGCTAGCGACCACCAAGGTGAAAATAAGCGGCGGTGAAAAAAGAGTGAACAAGAACACGTTCGACATTTCCTCCATAAAACGTGTAACTACGAAGTTTCTGGAAGTTTCATGTTGTAGTCGTGCAAAACAACGGCAAAGAAATATACAAAAAAAGTGTGCTGCACGTGCAAAGTTTCTTTTTTGCTAATTAGACCTAATTGTTGTTTTTTCACCGTCCTCGTTTCCTTCGCTGCTTAGCGTTACACGATTTTATATTTTGTTTAAGCAAACTATAAATATTATCGAGAGCTTGGCTTTAAGCCCTGGCTAAATCTTTATATTAGATATTAAAGTAACAATTTAGCTAACGCGACATGGAAAAGTTATTAGTAAACAACCTTTTGAATGCATGCATTGAAAAGTTCTACAAAGAAAACAGACATCAGATATTTCATGATGTTGGCAAACCATTCTCGATCAGTCGTTGTGTTGTGTGCGGTGTAGTATTGTATATTGTCCTTACACTCTTTTGCTTCGCCTTTTAGTTTCGATCACACCCTGTGTAAGTGAGTCGACTGACACTAAAAATGCTGTTGAAAACATGTAGTTAAAAATACACATTCAATACTCTTTCAGCAACGCTTACCGTGCGTCCTACCAACCATATATAAACTCCTTGCGTAAGTAGTATTACTGTTGGCTTAAAAGGAGGGATAGGTAGGCAGTTCCCAAGAACGTATAATGATCCACTGGGATCATACGTTTCTCGCCCACGCTGAATCATGTCGCCCGAATTTTATCAGGTGAAGTGCACAGAGAAACAAAGTTGATTTGTGTTAAATATATAGAATGTGTGTTTTTCAAGTCTCGTTATTCAAACCATCATGAGACGAAACAAGAGGAATGAATTTGTAGCATACCTCGTTCTTTAAGCAATGATGAGAAGAAACAAGCGCTATAAATGTGTAAAATATCTCACTCTTTAACCTTTGATGAACAACGAATCAAGCACGATAAAATGAATGAGTACTATATCTCGTTCTTTAATCTTCCATGAGAAGAAACAAGCGCGATTAATGTGTAATAAGGATGCAAGGATGTTGTTGTGCATGATAAAATTACCAGCCACATAACTCAGCATAAAAATTTCGGGCGACGTAACTTAGAAATGTCCAAATTTGTTATCCTATTTAACATTACGAAAGGTACTTTACAATACCTGGCACTGCTGATGCCAATGTTCCATGTCTTTGCAGTCCTCAATACTCTGTTTTACCTACAGAAACGTTTCAAACGATAAAAAATGTGAGAAACTGTCAAGCACAACAACAACAATAGTCAAGGAAAACAACAACTAACCGCAGGGTAAGTTTCACTGACTTCTATTTGGTATTTCCTACAAATTTTAGGATTGAAAATTTATGCGATACAAACACCGTTAACGTAATTTTACAGGAATCGTACTGTGGTACTATAACAGAGCCTGGTTTACCTGTGGTTGAAGAAAGGGACTTACGAACTTTGATATCTCCATTTCACAAGTTTGAAGTAGCGCAAATTGAATTCACTTTTTACGCCGTGACGTTTCCGTAGCCGTCGCTGTCGTTGTTGCTTAAGCTCCCTAACAAGCCGGCGCTTAAAAGAAAATCCACTCTGGGGACCGTTTACGAAAACCTGCGTTTTTGGTGTGCGAAAACGCTGTTTACGTGTGGACGGAAGGCTAAAACCGAGAAAAAATCTCCGTTTTCAGAAACATTCAGATGCGTGTGGTCGGGATCTCAGGGGCACCCAACGGCAATTTTCGCGAAAATATCTGTTCGGAAGACGATTTGAGATCTAGAATTTTCGGAGCATTTGTTGTAAAATTTCTTGCTTGCCTGCCTCTCCTAGGACTTTCGAACATCTAAAAAAAGGGTATAATTACCCATTTTTAACGGATTTTGACCCTAAAAAAGGCCACCTAGAATTTTCGGAACCCTTTTCCTGGCTGAAATTTTCGAGAAGGTAAGTTTTGATCCGTATAATTTTCGGATCACTAGACTTTCAGCTAGGAAATCCGAACAGATGAAAAGTTTTTAGGGGATAAAAATATGCCTATATCTACCGTTTAAATACTAAAATACGTTCAACAATGCTATGTTAAGTGGTTTTGAACTGTATCCTCGTTGGGTGCCCCTGGGATCTCAATTTTAATGAGGAAAATCTATTGTTCCCGCTCATTTGATTCAGCAAAGGTGAAATGCGACGTTTGAACTGGGCCTTACTTACTTTCACCAGTTCACATTGTATGTGTTCCCACATTTTTAAAACTCCACAAGCGTTCACCCAGTTATGATTTATAGAAATGGTGTCTTCCTAAGGAAAAAAAAAACAATAACAGGGGAGTGATTATTACATTTTCGCTTCTGACTGACTTTGTAGGAAAAAAAGGTTCTTTAGGCCTGTTTAGACAGCTACTTGAACGTAGACCAAATTTAACTTGGTTCAACATCCACATTATTTCAAGATGTGTTCAACAAAAATGAATATTGGACTAACAAGTACAAACGAACTGTGGCCTTATGCAGAGTACATCATCCTCAAATTGCTAAACACTTGCTATCACATGGAGGAGGGCAGGAGGGTGGGAAATCCGGAGAATATGGGCCAGTAGGGACACAGCAGGTGGGAGAGGAAAGGTGGGAGTTGGGAGTTATAAAATGTTGGGAAGTGGGAGAAAAGAGGGAAATTATGAAACAATGCTTAACATTTTGCAATATAAGGAAAAAAGGCTAAAAGTAGGAGTCCAAGCAAAAAGGGGCGGGAGTCGGGAATGCAAGGCACTGGAGGCGGGAGATTTGGACTCCCTGTCCCCCCTCCCCTTGTCACACCTTTTGCGAACCATCATATATCACAGACCAAATTTTCTCATTTGTGATACTAGAACTGTTTTAGTAAACTTACTCCATAACATGATCTTGTCTTGTTGGGACAAAAGACTTACCAAGTTTATCACTTGATGGTGCCAACCACTGAAACAAAAGTAAAAAACAAAACACATTTTATAAATAATAAAAGTGATGGCTTCTAATGAGTGAATGTATCCATTTTAAAGTGACTGATGATATAATTTAGAGGTTTCTAACAGAGTCTTAAAGTGACAAAACACAGCATAAGCTATACCTTGGAACAAATATGACTTCTCCCTCCCTTTGTATGACAGTGATTGGCTTTGAAGCTTTTGCCAACTCTGGAAATTGTTGCTTGTCATTCATGTCATCTGATGTTAAGTCATAAGCCAGGTTACCCAGTCTGTCAGTCAAATATTTCTCTTGTCCCGGTGGGTAGATCAGCCACTTCTTACAGCCACAAATGTTTGCAGACCAGCTGTAAGACCTTCAAAATGAGCATATACAGGATCAAGAATAATAATGCCCTTGGAGTGGAATTTCTTTGAAAAATAACTGTACAACTTAAGGCAATTCCTTTGTTTTGCCCTGCACATCACCCTACTGTGCATAACATTGCAACATCAAAAGTGGTGCTGATTTTCACTGGTGGCCTGAAGAGAAGTAACAAAGGCCACAATTCTTTTTTGGGATTGTGATAATGCTTCCCAGCCAAAAAGGTGCTGGTCTTGAAACTTGCCCCTGGTTTGAGAATTAGTATGTGGATATAAGGGCTTTAAGGGAAGTCGTAACTTCACACAATGGATAATGACAAGCCAATTTAGCCTTTTACCTGAAAACATCTGCATGAAAAGGTGTCCTAGAAATGACAAACATAAAAGCAATTTATGTAAATACATGAAAATGTGTAATAGTCTATGAGTACATTATGTATTATTGATTCATAAGTAGGTAGGTGTCTCTAATTAGTCAGTTATAACTGTAAACTGACACATTAATAAAGTTATCATTATCAATATCATGACCATTATCATTATTATTGTTGTCACTATCATTATATGGAGGATTCAGACATTATCTAACATCTGACATTATTACTCTAAGATCTCTGCCTGCTAAAATATTCTATACACTTCATGACAATGCCTTTGTTGGTGATACTCTTATAATAATATTGTTGTTTACAAACAAGAGATTAAATTTATCCTGACTAGCGAAGGGCAATGCTCCCTAATTTGTTGGGTATTCCCTGACCAAGTTGGACAAATCAAGAATTTTTCATTCACCTGTTATAATACCATTTTGGCAACATTTTGAATTAAAAATATTGGATTGCTAACAATCCCCTTTCCAAAATACTGTAAAACAGGCAACTAAAAAGTGCAACTTGCTTCAAAACATTGCTACAAAACAGGTCAAAAAGAGTTGTTGTGAATTCTACCACCCACATTCGAACCTATCTTGCAACAAATCAGTTTACTGCCTGTTTTGTACATACCTAAATTCTGATTGGATGAAATTACACAGGGTTACACCATACACAGGAGTTATGTCATTGGCTGCAAAAAAAGTTTGTCTTGAGCCCGTAAAACGCGCAACAAGTAGAGATTTTGTTGCAAAAAGTACAACTACTTTCTACTTTCTGCAACAACTCTTCGCACACTACGACAACCTGATTTGTCCGAAGACAGGATTGAAAGTGGGCAGCAAAATGCACAACTTTGCTTTTCAACTTGTTTTGCAGCAATGTTGCAAAACAAGTTGCATTCTTACCAGCTGCCTTTAGGTCCCATGTACACAAATCGATAGTCATCAGCCACGTCACTTCGCTGGTCCCAGAACTCATTCAACCAATCAGATTTGAAATAGACAGGTGTTTCATAAGCCTTGTATGAGGGAAAGACCCTTTAAGGTAATCAAAGTTTCAAAAAGAAGGAATCAGTCTGTATGTTGCAAGTTGTATGTGAACACGTCCAGCAAACTGTTGATTAATCTGGCTAGGTCATTACAATATTAGAGGTTTTTCAGCATTCCCCACAAACCACGAATATCAAGAAGTCACGAGACCAGTGCCTTGCAGTCAGGTTCACAATTGTATGGCTAGACCACACTCTAGAAGTTAGTGATTTACTGCAAGGTTTTTTTGCACCCTAAAACATCACAATCCCACAGAATACTACTTTTTAGAACTCGTTCACTTATTAATAAATTCTTTCTCAAAGAAATATAATTTTGAGAACGATTTCTCACCTAACATAGATGTAAACTAATGAAGGAAAACAAACATGGCAGCCACGAGCTACCACCCACAAATCTTAAGTTCCAAATATGGGCAGACAGTTAATGTGAACCCACTAACTGCAAACTGCAGTTTGCTGTTTGTGGTAAGATGGCCAAAACTCGATCATGAGATGAAAATAAAAAAATCACTTGCCCTTTGGAAAAGCTGTTGCTGAAGTTAACTTATTTTTGTGCAGTTGTACCAACCCCCGTTTTCAAAAACATTTACTTTATCTTGACAAAATACTGTTGCTTCCTCATTGAACAACTTTTAATCTCAAATTTATATAAGGACTTTGACTTACTTACAAAAATGCCAGTCCTTAAGATACAATATCTCCGTGCATTTCTCATCACCTGTATAAAAAAAACTCTAATAATTATTTTTCAATTTATTTATTTCCCTGCAAAATGTGCATAGTCATAAGACATAACTGAAAAAGATTTCACACATCTGGAGGCATTTGAAAGCTGAAACAAAATATTGTAACTTCCACGATTGTTTCTGACCTAAAAAATGGACTTGAGCTATAACTTGCTCACAGCTATGTATTTACAGACATTCTAGAATGACATTATGTCATTTTATAGAGTGTTCATGGTGACCTACCCCCTGACTTCTTATTCCAGTAATCACAAAACTCTTTCAAATTCATATCTTGTTTGACTTGACTGCGGTATTCAGCTTGACAGCAATTTGCTACCGGTGCCACTGCATGACCTAGTAAAGGAATACCCAATATTGTTATTATCAATTTTATCGTCATGGTCATCATCGTTGTCCTCATCATTGTTACCATTATCATCTTTGTCGCTGTCATCATTGCCACCATCATCATCATCATCATCGACATCATCATCATTATCATTATCATCATTGATGTCATTACCACAACCACCACAATCAGCATCATCATAGTGATTGCCATCCTGGCTGACCAAGTGGGGACTTTTTTTAACCCTATACTAGTGCTTGAGATCAGAGAGATGGAGAGACCCCTTGGCACAACCCTTCTGCCTCCCCAATCTCAGAACCACTGCCACCCCACCCAACTCCACCCGAGCATTGTCATCCTGGCCAGGTGATCCGAAATTGAAAACTATTCTTTGTTTGCAACCAGGTGACAAGGCAGCCATGTTGGGGGTCAATGTTTTCTCGAAGAATTACATGAAAATAGAGCTAAGTTCCCAGAGGAAAGAATTGCTTTTGTTCTTGGCCACCAAGCAACATGGCCGTCGTGACGTCACGTGCATACCAGCACAACATCAAGCAAAGCATGCGCAATTCCAAAAATCTTGTATCCAGGAGTTAGACTTAAATGATTCCGAGCAACGGAAGGACAGCAAGACTTACCAAAGGTCTTTGAAAGGAATTCAAGATTTGGCCTGCCATTTGAGACCCACTCGTTCCGACTTCTCCAATGTTTTGTGAGCTCACTGGAAAATATGCATAGTTGATTTGCCTCCAGATAGCTTCTAAAAAATTCCTCGTACTTTATAGAACCAATACGCTCTATATCATCCATCAAAAATCCCTATACATGATCCTGTAGGCATACAGCATATCGATCGTGTCATAGTCGTGCATCTTGGAAAATGCCTTTATGAGCCTTCGTTTTTTCTACCACTTAAGCAAGGTCATATTCAATCATTTTATGCTTCTGCGCATATAATTCACACGGTTTCTGCTGCATTATTTTTCTGCATTTGCAGGCTCTTCTTCAGACAATGACGTCACCAAGATGGAAGGATGTCCACGGTCTTTGATGCTAAATGTGGACTTAAAAGAACCTTTTCCTACGGAGTTTACACCCTCTCTAAAAACGGTAAAGAAAGACAAGCGTGTTTGCTTCATTCTGAGGCCGTTTATGTGGCCAAACAATCTAAACATTGGTTTATTTTCAGTACATTCGAGAACACTATAACGAAGATGCGGACTCCTACAACAACGAATGCTCCCAGCTGGAACAGCTTAGAACCGTAAGATTTCGTTATTTAATTATTTTTGCTCACTATGTGATCATAAAGTGATTGTTTGTTTGTTTTAGTTATTTGATATAATATAATCAAATGAAATGTAAAGAAATATGGTAGTTATGAAGGGGAACTATGTGCGGATTCATTACAGTAGTTTTTAGGAGGGAATGAGTTACGTATTGTTATTCACCTCCTCTGGTATTCTTTTTGTTGTAGTTACATGAACAGCAAACCCCTCCCGCGTTTTGGGACAAGAAAATTATTTATTTTTTGGGGGGATCCTTTCAAACAAGTACAAGTTGTTACTAACACATTCAGTTTGTAAATTCCTGTCAATCGTACTCAAAATAATCACCATCTTTAAAAAACATTGAACAATGTCCGGTCACGTTATTTTAGGAAATTCATGACGTATTCTGAAAAACTCTGGACTCTCGGTTGAGAAACGGACTTAGATCTAGGAGTGACATTTTTGCCTTTTTTAGAAGACTTTATATTTGAGTTATAGGAAAAATGCTGTTTGTAACGTGTATTATGATATAATTTGAGACTAGAAAAACTCTCACGGTAATTATAGGTAATTGCTTGTACCTACTTTAAACCAGGAAGTCAAAGGTTGTTTCTCATCAGATTTTTTTCTGTTCACAAAATTAAGGGGGTTGAAAATTAAAACAGGATCAATTCTTAGCTTGATAAAAAGTTAATGATGAATTTAATTGATTTTCATTGTTGTGAGTGAGACAGTCAATTATTTTTAAGATGGATACCCTTGGGACAGTACTAAGTGTCTGTCTTAGAGAGATGTCCCGAGGGGGGGGGAGTTACTGCCATATATGGGCTATATAGGTATGTGCCGCTGTGAAGGGTATGTTTTTGAAGCAATTTACCGTGGGATAGGGTATATGAATCAGAGAGTTTGGGTCTAGAATAGGTCATCATTTTCCAGGAAACTAATCGATTGGTTGAAACCAGAATTGCCACTCAAAAGTTAAAAAAATCAAATCGGCAAGTTTAAATTTACGCAACTCAGCCTACAGTACTCTAGGATAGGGGGGATTTGGGGAGTTTAGTCTAGTATAGGGTAGCAAAATTCAGCTGAACTAGCTCTGGTATAGGCTAAGGGTTCCAGGGTCCCAGCGGCACATCCCTACACAAACATTCCCAAAGTACCCTCCCCCCCCAACGGAGATGTCCGTCTTACAGAGAGTCAAATAAAGGGAGTAAAAAAGCCAGGGACCAACTGTAGGTGTCCATTTTACAGAGGTGTCTGTCTTGTAGAGGCATCCAGCAAGAGAGAGTCAACTGCATAACTTTTAATTTTCAGCCTCTTATGTTTTATAACTTCCCAGGCCTCCATTCGCCCTTCACGTGACCACTCAGGGTGCAGCACTCTACGGCGGTATTATGCGCAGCTGCAATTTCTTCAATCACGGTTTCCTATGGGAGATGGAGGAGCAGTTAATGTCCAGTTCACATGGTCTGTGCTCATCCCTTACATTTATGTACAGAATAAAGAACTTTAAGTAAATATTGCTGACGCCATTCTGGTTAACGGTTTCAACAGAATGTTAAATTATTCATTTGTGTTGTGAAAGCATTTGAATGGCATACACTGTATCAGAATTAATATTAGTACACTAGAAGAGATGATACTTGGTCACAAGTTAATGATAACAACAATAATAAATTATTATCAGTTACTATCATTATCATTATTATTATTATTATTATTATTATTATTAGTTGTTATTATTGATTATAAAGACAATTTTGTGCATGGTGAATAACAGTGGTGGCAAGAATGATGTTGATAATGGCACTTATGACAATCCTGGTTCTCATTAAATGCCGGCAACCGACTAAAAAAACGGCTACTTTGAGGTCTGAGCTGTTGACTTTTGAGGGAAAATGGGTAAAGTAAGGGAGTGAATTACATCAAGGGCAGTGAAGATAGTAGTCACTTTTATTATGGACAGAGGGCTTGGAAATGCATTGGTTAATTCCTTATATGAAAAGTGTATCAATTTTTGTCGTTTATACAAATTAATTTCCTTTTTCTTTTAACAGGACTGATCTTTATTCTGAAGAACCAATATCCTTGTGTGACATTAAATTTGAGCAAGCATCAATTCTTCATAATTTAGGTTGGTATCAATTTCTAGATCAAATGTTATGGTTTAGTTTAACAACACTTGAATCAAATTGGTGCGGTAAGGTGAATTCAGCAGAGCTGTATAAATATATAAATGTTAAAATGTCCTATATAAATGCTATGGACAGATAGAACATAGAGCACTTCATCAGTGTGTATGTTCTCTACTCTTTTTGAACAGCGGTGCTTTTTTTTAAGCTTCTTTCAAACTGATAGGAAATGATGAACCAGAAAAGGCCAAGGGCTTAAGTCAACTGACTGCGCAATGATATTCTTATATAAGAGTTTGTTTTTCAGTCATTTTCCTGCTTATATGAAAAGTATGTTTTCACTCCAGTCCTCTTCCTATGATCTTCTCAGTAAACCTAAAATAATGACCTATGGTCTTAAATCCTTTTCTTACTTTCAGCTAAACAGTGGAATGCAGTGCCAGACTTTTTTCGCACTAGTTTTTTGGCATAATTTTTTAATTAGACTTTTATGTGAAGACTTTTACTTTATGTATTTTTGTGTGGTGTCAGCTAGAATATATTAACTCGCTACTCCAAAATTCACATGAAAGTATTCAAGTTTTTGTTGTTGTTATTCAAGACCCTGATTGGTTTTCTGGCTGGGGCTTAAACCCATGACCTTTTGCTTGACAGACTGGTGCTTATCCAATTGAGCTAAAATTAATAGGTGGAAGTTGGTTAGATCTTCAAATCTTTAGCAGTTACAGAACAATGAAACCTAACAAAACATGCCACAAGGACTTATTCCCTGTAAAGTTACATCAGTGCACTTACTGCCCAGGGGACATGAGATCACAGTGAATGAGATTTGGTTTTTCTCATGGATTTGAAATTATTTGCTTACTTTAATCCTCAGCTTCTCTTCACTCCCAGCTTGGTAGCAATGAAGACAGAACTACAGAAGAGGTTTTAAGAAATAATTTGATCTTTGCTTTTAGTGTAATATAATGGTTCTATCTTTTTCTATTTATTTTGATGATAATATCACTGATTAAATTAGAGTGTTTTGGTTCTGTATGTTGTAAGTGAGCACTTCTTTTTCAGTTGTTCACTGCACTAACGTTTTAGTTCATTGCAATACATTCAAATCTTATAATTTTACCTTTGCTTGTGTTTTCATTCTAAAGGGAATGAAAGTGGCTTGTACCCACTTCCAATCTGCTGCTGGCATTTTTCAATTTCTCAAGGTAACACAAGGTTACAGCGTGTATTTTGGTGCTTGATAATTATCCTTTTCATTCTAAGAGTAAAGTGTCTTTTTGAGATGGCTCTAACATTTGAGTCTGTGAATGAAACCGTATTATGTGGCCATTCAAATGAAAGCTACTGAGCAGTACTTTCCTGTGGTACTGTTTATTATGCCATACAAGGTGGTTCTACCTTTTGAGTCTGTGGGTGAAATCCTAAAGTGTGACCATTCAAATGAAAGCAACTGAGCAGCACTTTCCTCTGGTACTGTTTATTATGCTGTACAAGGTGGTTCTAACTTTTGAGTCTGTGGATGAAATGCTGTGGTGTGACCATTCAAATGAAACTTCTTCAGCATTACTTTCACAATGTCCTGTTTGTTTTTCAGCATTTTACAAAGAGAAATTTGGAATTTTTGTTGAATTTTGACTTTGGCCACTCCTGGAAGTGAAAGGGTTACCCCCTTTTTCTCAACTCACAACTCAACTACCCTCTAAACCCTTAGAGATATTGTTCAATATTAGTATCCATCATCATCTTGTTCTATGAAAATTCAAATCTAATGTACAGTGACCATAACTGAAATAGTAATGGATAGATTAGTGGATTGATATTGGTGTCAAACCATATGTACGACCTATGCTTCCTACACGATGTCTTGATGAATCTACTTAAAATCATTTTGTTTGTGTAATATTGCAACCATTTACAGTAATCACAGTCAATCCATGTAAAGTTGTTTAATTATTAAGATATTGAGCACAACTTTTATCGTTGTTGTATTTTCAGGCCGGTTCTTTCTGTAAAGTTGAACATTTTATTGTAAGTTCATTGACAGTTTAATTTTTTTTGTCATTTTTGTGTGTGCATTATTTCATATATTATGACCAGTTCCAGTGAATAGCATTGTCATAATCTCCATTTACAATTTGAGTGGCAGTGCTGTAAATTAACCTTATTTATAATCTTGAGCCCTAAAACAAAATATTGAAGGGAGCTGGTGAATAAGCTGTAAATGGAGGGGTGTACTTGGAATGAGGCTTCGAGCGAGTCATGACCTAATAAGAAATTCTTTCTTAGATTCGCAAACATACACAAGGCAAACTGGAAGGAGAATTTAATGATTTATCATATTTTAATTGGGGCTTTATTCGAGGTATCCTTAAGCTTCTTCAGAAAATTTCCTGTCAGTTTTTTTATTCTTCAACTGATCCTCGAATAAGATTTTTATTATTTTAGCCATAAAATATGGAACCAAAGCTCAGCTCATTCCTGTAAACACTGGTAAAAGTTTCTCCCATACATAATATTATTTATAATCTTTTAAAAGTTAATTATTTATTTAGCAAAAATATTTCTCTCTAGGATCATTTTGCTAGTGATGCATTTTTTGACATGGCTGGTGGTCTTCTACAGCTGTACACTAATGTTATGCTGGTAAGCTGATTAAAAATTCTTTTTTTTTTTCGTGATTGCAAAAAATCACAAAACTAAAATGTTGAGCACTTTTTATGCTCGTCTTGAAATTCTAATGGTTGCAGCTAAGTGCCGTTAACTTCTGTTTGATTTTGTAGGGTCAAGCTCAGGAATGTTTACTGGAGAAGTCCATTTTAGATTCCCGCAAGGACTCACTTGTTGCTAGAATCAGTATGCAGGTACATATTTTTGATCATCTGTTTTAATTTGTTATCAAAGAGTACAAAAAATCAAAGATATGCAACTACAAAACAGAGCATTTTGTTTAATATACACGCCTTAAATAGTGTATACTGCTCGAATGTTAGTAATGTTGACAGTCAATATGTCTTGATTCTCAAGACTTGAGACTTGATTCTCTACTCTCAAAACTTTCAAGTTTTGAGTCTCAAAATATCTTGAGAACTGAAATACTAGTTTTGAGTTTCAAGCTTAATTAGTAGTAATAATATCATTAATCAACAGTCATATGTTTTCACAGGTTTATGAATATTACAACCAGGCTTTACAGTTTCTTGATTCTCAAGGCCCATCATACATGGGGTCCAGGAAAGCCAAGGTGAGGAATGATCACCGCAAAGCGATATGTATTGAACTGCAAATTAGTGCTGCCAGCTTGTGCTTGGTTCACCTGAATACAAGCCAGCTGCTATGAGACAATTCATTGAATTCATCAGAATCTAAATGTACATACCTTCCATATAAAATATGCAATCTTCACATTTTGTTCGCAACTGAATGCGCAAGATTCTGGTATCAGTACACGCATTTGATTATGTACTTGGTGAGTCCAATCAGCCGTATCAATGTATAACAGATGTGTACATGGTCCCCTGGGTTGTGTGTCTAACATTCAGTGTCCCAAATGACTGTGGATTAAGATTCCTATGGTCAAAATGTTATGTGGCCTACTGTCACCATAAAACATTTTAGTCAAGGGTTATTCTTGTTCTCACACACTGCTGCAAGCCACATGAAGCTGACCACAGCAACAAAAAAACAGTTTTCACTAACCAGTATTTCGTTCCACTCGCCCATAGCCTGATTCTCAGACATCCAAGGTCATTTGTGGCCTTTTTGCTTTTGCGAAGGGCCCACAAAAGACCTTGGACATCTGAGAATCATCCATAAAATAATCACCCTTTTTGTGGCATCTTATTTAAACAAGTTGTACTCTTAGCAGCCTATATCTAATTTTATAGCTGATATTAATTTTATTTGATAGTTAATATTAATACATTATACAATTTTATCATTTTAGCTTTGGGCAAAGAGTCTGAAAATCAAGTGTTGTCAGTACCTTGCGGTAGCATATGTAAGTATAATCAAAACCTGCAGTCATTAGCCCCTGTGTAGAGAGATACTGTTTTCTGGAGCTCTTGGTATTCCATACAAGGATCACTTAAATCAATCTGATATATACAATGACAATGTTTAACCAAGGAAAGTACTTAAATTTTCTTGCAGATATACATGTCAAACAATGCAGATGAAAATCAAAAGTTTGGTGAAAAGGTAAACACGTAACAATTTTTTATGTAATATTATTTAATCAGTATGTACTTCTTCATTCATTGTCTGGTTAAACCTCGGCTAATTGGCTCCTCATACACATATGTCCAGAAATGCAAATCCGACCTTGGGTACCCCATATTAGACACGACTCTTATTACTATTGGTTAGTTCCTTATGACTCTATGTTTGACAGATTTGCTTGTGTTTAGGTGAGGATTAGTCCTAGGGGACACTTTGCAATGTTTATCATAAAAAGCGTGATTCTCATAAGCACATTTTCTGGAAATAACTCTCCACACAACAGCCATTTCTGTAACAGCCAACTCCACTTAATGACAAGAGCCTGCTCCTCATTTTCCCAGGGAGGCAATGGCTATGCCACTTTGTTAAAACTGGCCTCCAATGACTGCAATACTTTCAATGCTCCATACCAGTAATAAAAGCCATTCTGCAATGGGTCCGCCAAACCTTACCCTGTGAGCAGAGGTTTCTCTCTTGCATGGCTTTTAGCGTTTACAACGTCGTTCGTGTGGCTTGTCTTTCATGTGGTTGGCTAGTTTATGCCCCGTGAGGGTGCATAAAACAAACCAACTATGCGACTGACAAGCGATGCAAACGACTTCATTAAAGCTAAAAGCTATGCAAGAGAAAAAACCTCTGCTCGAAGAGTAACCAAAGCTGTTTTCATGAAAATTACCAGTAATCACTCTCTTTTCTCTAGGTGACATACTTAAAAGCTGCATCACAAAAGATAACAGAAGCTCAAAAGGCATCCAAGGTACCCAGGTTTTTGCTCTTGTCTTTATTCTAGATTTTTAGTTTAAAAAAAAGGTTCTCATAATTATTATAATGTGTATGGGAAAAAGCACACTGAAAATATAGGCCAAAGATTACTGAACTTTCTGGAATTTGGGTTAGAGGAACTAGAGCACCAGATGGAAAGCAAATCGAAAAATTGACCATTGATCCTACATAATATTGAATCCTGAGATTACAGCTGAAACTAATCTTACCAGACACCAAAATACATATCATGGAGTGCCACCCCAATTCCCACCTCCCACCCAATTCAAGTTGGGATAAAGTAAATTCACTTTTGCTGAGTTTTAAAGCAAAGCTGTTACAGTTACCAGCCATCTTGTGTGTTTCGCTGCACATTGCATTACATTGTATTGGTTGTTTAGTTGTTGGTTTTTCTTTACCTAAAGGGCCAGCCTGAAAGAACACTGGAGTTGTTGCAGTTTCTTATTGATGTTGTAAGCAACAAGTGAGTCTTCAATGCTATTTCTACAGACTGTCCAGGGCTTATTGCACCTATACTTTGTCCTTTTGACTCAGTGGTCATTATTAGCTCCAAACTGGTTTTAAAATAAGCTCTTTTCGACTTTTTATTTTGTTGTCTATACCTTTCACATACCTTTCACTCTCTGGTATATTACTAATAATTACAAAAAATGAATAACAGGATAATGCAGTTGTAGAGCTCTGATTGGCTTCGCCATCATGTTATTTGAGTCATTATACCTATGCTCTCCAAATATGGTAACTGCACGTATCTGCTCAAAATTTTATTGGTTCTTTTTTACAAATAAAGTCGGCACTTGTATTAATTGTTAAATATCATGACCCATCATTTGTAGATTGCAAGGTGCTGTTAAGGACAACGATTTCATTTACCATGAAGTTATTCCAATAACTCACGCTTGTTCGATATGAGATGATTCTAGCCAACTTGGCACTACGCGCCTCGTTGGCTATCTACCATCTCATATCCAACATGCACTCATGGAATAACTGTTAAATATAATGTGACCCATTGTTTGTAGGTTGCAAGGTGCTGTGAAGGACAATGATTTCATTTACCATGAAGCTGTACCTGAACTGGACAGTTTGCCAGAAATAAAAGGTATGCAATAATAATGTTACTATGGTTACTCTCGGCAGTGTTAATTATGGCACAAAGGCTAGTGATGTTGGACACATGCATGAAGCAATGATTAGTCAGGCCTCAAAGCACTGGGCTCATCATTTTCTAGCTTGACCTTTTCCAGATTCCAGTGCAAGTCACAGACTTTGTTTTTAGAGATCCCCATTGTCCTTTTCTAAGAGACACCTTTTGACATACAGTGTAGAACCACTCAATACTACCGCTCGAAAAACAAAACTTATATTCCAGCTTGGGCAAGCAGCATCTTACTTCATGATTTTGTTTGTCATAGTTAATAATTGGAGGTGACCCGTGGGAGGTTGCTATGGTTACCCCTTTAGTTGCAAAAATTTCCCACAATCACTTGCTTATTGCCTGCATTGCTCATTTGTATTTTGAATATGGCCTATCACCAAGTTAATGTTAGAGGATGGGTTGATGAGACCCTTGCCCATTGGGCAAGTTCACTTTAAAAGTTACTTGCCCAGCAAGAAGAATCTACTTGTCCCGTACTACCAGATGGGACCTTTTTCTTCCTGAATACATTAATAAACTTGTGTCACTTCTAATTTTCTTTTTTATGACAGCCGCACCTCTAGTAAAACCAATCCCATTCCAGCCATTTGACTCCTCAGTCTCCGGACCTGACATTTTTCAGAGACTAATTCCAATGGGTGCACACACAGATTCCTCTCTGTACAGGTTAGAAGTCTGGACTCATTCTTTTAGTACCAGTTTCTGGCTTTTTTTCTAGGGACCATGAAGTCATGCTTGTTTTAATTTTTAACAATTTATTTATTATTGGTTGCTGTTTTTGTGATATCCAAAATAATCAAGGTAAGTGTTATTAGCGGAGGCTGGTAACATTTATCGAGACCTTGATTGTTTCAGAGTCACAAAAACCAAATCCAATCACTTTTTTATTACACATCATTTTGAAGAAAACAATGTCAAATACTTCGTTGCATGGAACACGGCTTGCTCTTGGAAATCATTCATTGTGATTGCAACCTACCGCTTAGTCAGTTATGTGCTAGCAGATTACTAACTAATCTGCAGGTTTTGCTGATTTCCAGAAATAACTGTAGGCTCTTAACTAATAAGTAGAGAGATTGTGAGTACAATGTATAATATTATTAGACTGGTAACCAGGCCGCTGCCCATTTAGGATAAGCACTGGTCTGCTGAGCGGTAGGTCACGGGTTCAAACCCCTGCTGGACTAACACTCAGGGTTTTAAAATGGGGTAACTGCCAAAAACGTGCTGCCTTTGTTGTTACGTCTTCAAATGGTTAGACATTCTAGTCTTCTGGGATAAGGTCAAAAAACGGTAGGCACCGTCTCACAGCTCTTTCACTGTTCTGATTCTTGTATGATGTAAAAGAACCCGCACTGCTATTCATAAAAAGTAGGGGGAGGAGACCCTGGTGGTGTGGTACAACCTTTCATGGGTTGGGTGGGTAATGAAGGGGTTAATATCAATTGGAATGTTAGCCCTGTTTCATCCCCTGTCACCTTGTTGAGTCACCGTGGTGAATTCAATAAAGTAATAATAATTATTATTATTTGGCCGTCATTAAAGTTTTTGATGCAAAACCTCACCCAGTGGACTTTTCTTATTTCTCAGTGAAGAAAAAGCAAAGCTACTTAGGAGATATGTTGGTTCTATTGAGCAGAAAAATCAGCTGTTGAGGTGAGCGATTGATGGTGTGTTCTGGATTACATGTACCCAGTTAAAATCCACTCTCAGGAAAAACCAATTTTTTTTCGCTCCTAAGAGTAAGTAGGTTAGGAAACAAAGGAAATTCTGAATCAAACTAGGTTGAATACTGGTTTAACCTGAGCTTGATTTTACCTACAGCATACACACATGATAATTTGTTTGGACAAATGGTTTGATAATCTTAACAGAAAGTGCTTAAAAGTGACATACAATAAAGACTATGACTGTTCTATTTTTTCATTACCATCTAGCAAAGAATTGAGTGATTTACACATTGATGACTTGCTGGAACCAGAAGGATATGACACTCTTCCAGGTTTGTTTCTGTCCTACTTGTGTATGTATACCGCAAAGGCCCTTTCCACTCAAAAGGGCGATTAGGAATGTTAGGAGAAAGCTTACAAACTTTTGGAAGAGGGCCACGACTCTTTCACAAAAATGATAAAAATACTTTGTCAGAGTAGTGATTTTGTTAACATATTTTGACGATATTGATTAACTTTTCAAAGACCGCTAATGTGAAGGAAATGATGGAGAAAAATAAATACCGGAAATCCTCTATTAACCTCCTTCCTCCCACCCCATGAAGGGGCTTATTTGTTTCAAGCATGTTTGAGAAGATGCTTATTTAATTTAGCAAAGATGATAGTATCAATTCTTTGTGAAAACTAGGATGCAAGCTCAGCTACAAGAAGTTGGAGGTCATACTGCAGAAGATCCAAAACAAATCCGAACTTCCAGCACACTACTTAATCATACCAGATCAGTCCACATGAAGTGTTTCATTTGTGATTGATTAATAAAGTATATCATTTAAAAATGAAAGGGGAGGGGAAGCGGCTACTTAAAAGAGAGTGGGAGCTCTGCTTAATAACTTTCTTCCTTAGAAAAGGGGGATTACTTAAGAGCGGGGCTTAACAGAGGATTTATGGTAGCCTTGGTTTTTAAACACTTTCTCCTCATAAGTATAACAAATAATATGAAGAACAGCACTTGCAGAGAATACAACCTGTTGGCAGATAAGAGGGAAAGCTTCCTTTCTGTCTTTGTGTACTCCACTGATTTTGTTTGTGTAACAATGTTCTTTTCCAGCTGGTATCGTACAGAAAAGGAATTCTCTCGTAAATGATGGAACTTTGAAAGATGTTGAAAGCAATGTAGAAGGTGGGTTTGCAACCTCATTCCCAGGCTCCCCTCTCTCTTGTTCCCTGGGACAAGAGAGAGGCCTGGGAATGAAGTTAGGTGGGTTTGTTACAACTTGACAGTCATTAGTAGCTGTACTACCAAAGAAAACTAAATTTACTTTACAACTGGTGTTGTTATTCATAGAGCTTACAAAGGTTGGCACAAGGGTGGAAGAAATAGTGGCTTCTCTTACAACAATACTTGAAGAAGACAAGAAAAGAGAAAAAGAAATACAGGTTTGATAAAGAATTTTAAAAAAACCAGAACACATTTTATTTTCCCATAATCATGGTTTAATTTTCAATAGAGCAAAAATGCGACTTTCACAAAACAATGCCCTAATCAGGGACTTTGTTACCTCTGCATTCTGCATCCCTGACACATAAAAATCCCCAAAGATGCAAAATAATTCATGAAATGCGTTCCGTAGGATGCAAAGAACAATCAACCAATTTGAAGATTTTTTGGTAGAATATCCTGACTGTGTGATTTCTGTGGTTGCTGTCTAAATATGCATATTCTCTTTTGTGCTTTGAATATATAGAAAGACTATATTTTAATTTCAGTAAACTGTAATAAAGAGTTTTGGCGTCTGTCTCCAGATTAACTCTCTGATTACATAAAGGCGCGAGCATTTTCAATTTAGGACTCATTGGTTCTGGGCAGGGACTCATGATTTTTCACAAGAGGAGTCTCAGGACTCAGCATAACTACAGTCAACTCTTTCTAAGGCGGACACCTTTGGGACCGGTACTAAGTGTCCATCTTAGAGGGATGTCCGTCTTATAAAGAGTGAAATAAAAGGAGTAAAGAAAGGCAGGGACCAACTCTAGGTGTCCGTTTTACAGAGGTGTCCGTTAAGAGAGAGTCGACTTTATTTGTAAAAAAGTCACTGCCTAATATTTACAGGCTCTTCCTTACCCAGGTAAATTCTCTTAACTTTTTTTTCCTGCTTTTAAACTCGTGGACGAAATCCTATGTACTTGCTATTCAAATGAAACCTCTCTGACCGCACTTTTGCACAGTACTATTTATTTCTTACAATTTTGCGAAACGAAATTTGAATTTTTTGGTCTGCATTTCACTCTTCGGCCGATAATAAGAGTGAAAGGGTTCATGTTATGTTTTTTAATTGTTTTTGTGTAGGAATTAGTTCCTTCCATCACCCCTCCTCCAGAGAGGGAAGAATTTGAAAAGGAGCTTGAACAGTGTCGAGAAACACACAAGAAAGCAGTAAGTCAAATATTAACCCTTTAAGTCACAATATCAACATAAAAATTCTCCAAACTGATCTCCATACATGTCCTTTAAGAATTAGTTGAGAGCATTTAATAACAGATCAAGGCATTTTCTCTTTGGCGATCATTTGTTAATTCTCATAACCCTATCTCTTGACAAAGTATGGATATTGTTAGGGGAAAATTGATGTTGGTCACTATTGGAACTTAAAGGGTTAATGCTGATTATTTCTAAGTTGTTCTATCAGTCAAGTCTGTGTACAAAATCCTGTCTATCTCTGGACGTGGACACCGCCCCACTCCCCATTCATCCTCAACCTTATTTCCCAACTTTTAAGTAACTGCCAGGCATGTTAAGCTAATCGCAAAATCTTTGAAAGGATGAAAGTCAGTTCAATTTTTCAGTAACATTTTCATTGGCGTCACCATCATCAGATTGTAAGGTCTGTAGTGTTTCTTAAGACGATTTGACTATATTTTCTTGCAGATGCAGACAAACACAGAACTGGTGAAGGTTTTCCAGGAACACAAGCACAACCTGGACTTGTTAGTAGGACCGTCTGAGGGACTGCTCGCTGCCCTGCCTTCCTTGAATATCATAGACAGTAAGTTAACTGCACCCTGCGATTTTCCAATTGTAGATATTGTAAAACGCTGAAAACATGTAGCACCATGTGAAATTACTACCAAAGAGATTTCATGTGACTGGTCAGACCATAGGATTTTGTCCACAGATTCAAAAGTTAGAATCACCTCACAAGCATCCTTCATTCATAACACATTGATTTACTCCCATTTTCATTTTTGGGCACCTGGAAGAGGATTCTATCTTTTGAGTCTGTGGAGAAAACTCTATGATGTGACCATTTAAATGATACCTTCACTTAGTCCTCTTTGTTTTCAATATTATTGTTATTATTATTATTATTATTATTATTATTATTAAAGGGTATAGTCAGGTACTTTAGGGTAGAGTGGGTTGGGAATGGGAGGTAGAGTGACTCAGCATGAGAGAGAGTAAGAGCTACCCTCCCCTCCCACCCTTGATCACAGCAGAGCTTGTACACAGTCTTGGTGGGTTGTTTTTATTACTTTTATTGGGTGCTGATGGCATGTTAAGGAAGAATATTATTACTCAAGAACATCAGGTTGAACCCGTACTTAGGCACAATGAAAAATGAGAATTAATGAGGGCACTGTCTTAGCTCTGCAAAGGGCCAGGTCTTTTGCATGGCTTATTAACTTCGTGAATTGTTTCTTGTAATGTTGTACACTGAAGTACTAAACTTTGTCATTATTGTTAATTCGTTTCTTTAGCTCCCATTGATGATGGTGCTGTGCAGCGTCTTAGGGACCTCATAGTAAGCTTATGATCAAAAACTTTTAATTGTTTATTTTTTGTTTTTTCTCTGAGTGCAAAGATGAACCAATAGGATGAAAAAACATTATTTTGATTTATTATTTTGTTTTTATTTCCAGTCTAAAGTTGAGCTAATGAAGTCACAGAGGAAGCAACTGGAAGCAGATTTAAGGAAGCAGGTTAGCCTTGCTCAAATTGTCAGAATATAAAGGTTAAATTCCTGGAGTTGGATTTTTAAGGACTGCATCCAAGTTCAAAAAGACAAAGGAAAATTCGTTCTCGTATACATGTTCACATACTCCATAAAACTTCCCACTGTGCTATGGATGTCAAAGAAATGTGATGCGTGTGTCAGAACAAAATCGTTGTTTTGCTCATAAAACCAATTGTTTGTTGACGTTGTTGTCGCCTTTATCGTTGTGGTTGTTAGCTCTCTCTTGTGATCTGAATGAAGTCAGAGATATGTCCATGAACATTGTTTTGTTTTTGTCAGGGTTATACATAAACCAGCCAAGAAATGAACGCATTTAACGCCTTTTTTGTTAATCTTTCTAGTTGGAAGAGGATGACATTACACAGCTACTTGTGACAAGAGAAGGGAACAAAACGGTATATTTCTTAGTTGTTCTAGTTAAAGTCGAACCTCCATGTGCGACCACCTCCCATAAGCGACCTCTTATCCAAAACACCAAACATTTTCCAGTAAAAGCCCTACTGAGCGAGCACGATCACTCTTTGGGGCTGAAGGATTTAGAATTGTTTTTGACCTTTTATAAGCGACTACTTGACACATGGTCTGATCTCTATGTTCTCTGTACTGATGTGCAATGCCTGTCGGAGTAGAAGAACTACTAGTGACTACATGGAACTGTACATATCATAACTTAGATAATGTATGTAACAAATTATCTTCTACAAAGTATATTAGTGCGGACCACTTCTCGGAAAAGACCCTCTGTGGTTCGATTCTGGTAAGCAACCACTTTCTGTAAACGACCACTAAGTCTTCACATTTTCAGTGGTCTCATACGGGAGGTTTGACGTACTAAAGCCATCCCACAGCTTTTTGGGAATGAAAAGTTGTCTTGGACCTGTCCTGTTATCAGAACTATGGAAATCATGTAACTCGTGGTAACCGGTATCAAAATATTTGGCACTAGTTTTATTTTGACTTAAGTAGGAGGAATCTGACAGACTACTAACAAGTCTAGATTTGATGCAGTAATGATATCATTAAAGGTTTATAGTCAGTTGCACTTATTAACACTGTTGTGTGATTATTTTTCAGCTTTTTTTTGAAGAACAACTTAAAAAGCATGACGCAACTTGTGACCTGATTCAGAAAAACTTAGATGCTCAGAGCAAAATATTAAAGTGGGTGACAATGACTTAAATACCTTGTCATTACTCTGAGTTGTTTTTTTTTTTGTAAGCAATTGTGCATGCATGTTAACTTTCATTCACCAATTTATAGTTTTCCAAGATTTGTGATTACTATTTATGTTGTGTTCATAAATGCAAGGGTCTTTTTTCCATTGAATCTTTATTCTGCCGTGCAAATGATGAATTTCAAATATTCTCTTTTATGCGGTTATTAGGTATCAGGTCGTTTTGCCCGAAGGTCGGTTCGCGCGATAGCAGTTCACCCAGACTAAGTCAGTTCGCCCGAAGCGTATTTGTCGTTCTTTAAGCCTGAAAAAAGGTAATAAGCATGGAAAGACTGTGGCCGCACGTGTTGAATCCAAGGGTAACTAAAATAACCTCTCGAAAGGTATGTTCGCCATGTTGTAGAGTGTTGTATGTCATCGTGCGAATCGACTAATGTCCTGGGGAATGCCTTTGGGCGAATCGATTTTCGGGCGAAATGACCGCAATTCATTCATAATGGGTTTATTACGAATCCAGAGAGTGGCCAACACCTAAGGTGCCTCCATTATGCCAAACCGACTGGTCATAAATCAGAGGAACTAACCAAAGAAATAGAACGGTATTGTTCGATTGAGGCAAAGTTTTCAAGAAGATCGAAGCGTTCCATTTACGTTTTAACCAAAATTTTAATTACATCTCAGCGAACTGGCACTGCAAACGAGATTTTTGCAAAGGTAACGGTAATTTTAGGTCGGACCACACCAACCGGTCAAAGACGGCCAGCTCTGCAGGTGGACCACTTTGACCGGAAAATTTCAATGCGGAAATGGAAAGCGTTCCATTTATTTCTCGACCGAATTATCCGAAAATTTTGGCATAATGGAAAACATCCCTAGTTAGGTACTTGTTCTTTGCCCCTCATAAGGAAGTCTTCACATTTTCTCCTAGAGCATTGACGGAGGCAAATGCTAAATATGCACCCACAAGACAAGCTGTGAAGGAAACTGCACAAAGGTGAGTAATTTACCACTAGCCGAATCTGCCATTGCAGATTTTTCGTGGTAATGTGGGAAGCTATTAGATTGCCTGTAGGTATTGTTTCGGTGCTTTTAATGTTTTATATTTCGTCCTTTGGTGATTACACATTCCTCAATACTAGGACTGACAAACGCCATTACTGACCTCCAAAAAAGACATCCTTTTCTAGTGCAATGTATACTTAGGATCCCTGCAATTTTCTTCTGTCTCTACCTTCTTTGAAAACCACTCACTGACATGAGAGGGAAATGAGGTAACTACAGCCTACATACATACTTATTTGGAGTAATCATTTGTGACTTCACTTGAAAGAACATTGTATTTGTTACATGTCAAATTTGATCTCAGGTTAATTTTGATTTAACCTAGGTTGATTCTCGATTGCGCTTGTCCTCTAGCCATAGTAGACAAAGGAATTCAAGAATCAACCCAGGTTAAAAATTTTTAACCTGAGAATACATTTGACCTGTAACATATCCAAGTGTCAGTGTATTTAGCACGAAAGTACTAATTGAGGTCGGATGCCTTATTAGTCAAAGGCCGCAAAATGTCACTTCTTGCTGTCTGACAAAGCGTTGTTATTTTCATTTTCCAGACGAGATGATGCCGTACAGACGTTTGTTTTATCTCATGATACGTTTTTTGGACTGAAAGAAAAATTAAGGTAAGTATTAACTTTTTATGACAGGTAATTGGAGCCGAAACTTAGCAGTAATGGCCGTCTAGTCTAAAACATTCTGACTCAATGCTTGCACGATTTGTGTCTTTCTTTGCATGGGTCAGCCGTGGACTGCGATTCTATCAGAGCCTGGAAAAGACAGTATTGAAACTTGAAGAGAAACTCAAAGAATTTGCTGAAAAGCGAAAGAAGGAAATGGATAAGATTGAAGAGAAGGAGAAACGACTCAAAGGTGACATGCAAATGCGTAAACTTTAGTGTTAAATTTTTCTCCATATTTTTGTTTTCTTTTTTGTTTGTTTAGCGTTCGTTTACTAGTATTTCTGTGGAACTTCGATATAACGAACCTCTATATAAAGAAGTCCTCGGTATAACGAACGATTTTCTTTACCCCAGTAATAGTCAAATGCATGGAAAAGAACCTTGATATAACGATACCTCGTTATAGTGAACATATTTCGCAAGTCCCTTGGCCCTTCGTTATATCGAGGTTCCATTGTATATGAGTAGAATCAACAAATGCATTGAATGAAAGTTAATGATTACAGTTATAATGTTCTTGTATCCCTTGAAAACAACAGAGGTGGTGTCTGTGGACAATTAACTAAATGCCTGTCCTTTGCTTATCTACAGAGAAAGCCAAGGTACCACCTGCACGACCCGGGGCTGAAAAACCAAGTCACCTAATTAACCCACCAGGATCCGGTGTACCTCGTCCAATGGCCACACAGTATCTTGGGGGACCAGGGATACCTCACCCAGGCATGAGACCAGGCACCCTCCCGCCTACTTCACATGGAGTACCTTTGCAGCCTAGAATTCCTGGAGCAGCATTTCCACCCAGATCTTTTCCTGGAGCCAACTCTCCCCGTCCAGCAGATCCGAGGATCTACCAACCCGGTTCTCAAGGAGTCTCTCCTAGACTACCTGTCCCTTCCGGTGAACAAAGGATGCAAGTACCCCAGCCTGGAGTTCCACTGCAGCATCAGCAGAATTTTCCAGAACAAAGGGTCCCTCAGGCACCGAACTCACCAGCTACTGGGCCACCTGTTCGTCCTACCATCCCTTCTCAACCTGGAGTTCCGTTCTCTCAGATGGGTCCCAGAGGGCCTGCACCTGCTGAGCATCTTATTCATTCCACACCAAGGATGTCTTACCCGGTACCACTGACTCCCTCCTTTTCGCCAGGAGGCGCACAAGGAGTTCAACCCGGTGGGCCAGGGGGGCCTTACCAAGTGCCTCACCCTTCTGGGCAGCAACCCCGTCCACAGCTGGCACCTGGACAGGTACCGGGACCTGGAAGTGCTCCAGGTCTTCCATCTTATGATCTAGCTAAACGTATGCCCGGAACTCAGCCCTCTATACAACAACCACCTCCACAAAACTGGCCACAAGGGCAATATCCCGCCACATCACAACAGCAAGCAGGAGGCCATCCGTCAGGTATCACTCCTCAACAGCAGTTTCAGGCCCCAAGGGGGCCATATCCTACGTCACAACCTCCGCATATTAGTCCGGCTGGGTCACCTCAGGTGTTTTCGCAGCAAATTCCTACGAGTCAAATGTCTCAACCTTTGCAGCCTGCAACCAGTCAGTACCAGCCAAAGAACTGGCCAACTCAGCCATTTCACTTTCCAAAACTGGCTCAACAACCTATGCAGCCCCAGCAACAGTTTCAACAAATACAGCAGCCTTATCAGAGACAACAACAGCCACCTCATCAACTCCAGCTGCAACCACAACCTCTTCACCCTCAGCAGCAGGCATCTGTCAATCCCCAGCAGCAACAACCTGCCCGTCCTCCTCCACAGCAGCAACAGCAACCACCCCATCCCCAACAGCAATTCCAGCAACCGCAGTTTCCACCACCTCTTCAGCCTCAAAAAGTACCACCTCCTCCATCTCATATGCAACAGCAGTTTCAGCACGGGCCACCATCTCAACCACAACAGAAGCCCCAGCAACCTCCTTATTTCCAGCAACAACAGCATCCATCGCAACCTCCACAGCAGTCACAACAGCCCATGCAGCAGTTTCAACAACCCGTTCAGATGAATCGACAATTTAATCAGCCTCAGCAACAAATTCAACATTCTAGAGAACCACTCAAACCGACTCAGGTCCCACAGCCAAAACAGCAACAACAACAGCAACAGTTTCAGCCACCATTACCGCCCCAGCTCAGTTACCAACAACAGTTGCAACCAATGCAACCTCAAACGACTCAGCAACAATCGTACAAACCACCTCTGCAACCACAGCCTCTTTCTATGCAGAAACCTTTGCCAGACTATCAAATTCCAGCTGATCGTCTTCCCCAACAGGCATTCCAACCTGGGAAAACACCACCACAAAATGCACAAGGTTCCCTTGGTCCTCAGATGCCTCAACAAATTAGTCAGGTACCAGAACTGCCTCCTAAGGGTCGGTCCCAGATGAGTCAGATCCCTGGTTCAACCTCGTGGCCGCATCAAAGCTCTAATCTTTCTTCACAGCCACCACAGATGGGATATCCTAGTCAGAAGTCATATGCAGGCTATAGTCAGAGTCAACAGCCATCACAGACCAGCAATACTTCATCACAGTTAGGGTATCCAATGGTACCTGAGAAAAAACGTTCTCAGGCTGATCCCCCTTCGTCAAAGCCTCCTCAGGAAGGATTCCCATCTCAGCATCCAGGAAGTTTACAACCCGCTCCGCCTTCCTCGCTCCAGAGTTGGGGGTACCCCCAAGCGTCACAGCCCTTGCCTTCAACTGGAGCTTCCCATGGCAATCAGTTCTCACGTCAAGATTCAAAAGAACCACAGCGTTTAGGAAGAAACCAAATGCTTAGTCCTCAGAAGTCACTGCCTTACGAGCAGAGACCCGTAGATCAGGGATGGGCCCCATCTGCTGGTGTTCAACGACCTCCACCTCCAAACCAGGCAGCATATTCACCAGTTATTGCTCGACAGAATTCTGCTGATTATGGTAAAGACAGTCAGTACCAAGGGCAAACTAGAGGTCGTGTTGGATCATACCCTCCGTACACTGGGATTGTAACTAAACCTCCTTCCTCACCAGCTGGAGGCAACCCACCTTATAGCTATAGTGCAGTATCCGTGACACTTCCTTTGGTTCAAGGGGTCAGGCCCAGCCCTACCAGCCTGCCACCTTCTTCAGCCTATGCTACTAGTTACTCGGTATCAGTAGCTCAAGCGCAGTTGAACCAGCAGCAGCAAATGCAGCAGCTGCAGACTCAGATGCTTCTGCAACAGCAGCAGCTTATCTTACAGCAACAGGAGCTCCTGCGCCAACAGCAACAACAACAGCATCACGAGTCTGATCAAGGCCACCTCACACAGCTTTTTCAGCAGATGTTACAGCAGCAGACAAAGCTGGCTGAGATGGAGCAGAAACTGGCAGAACACGAGCGTCACGAAGAAAATCTCAAAAAGGAGCTTACAAAGACGGAGCTTGAGGAGCTGGCACCTGCTGAAAAGGGCACAGAAGCAGCTGATAATGAGCCCCAAGCTACAACGCCTCAGAGCTCTAGTGGTTTCAGTGCCTCTTGGAGCACTGGTTTTTCGGACCATACCCATAGCAAACTTGACATAGAGCAAGTCTTCAATGACCTGGCAAAAAAACAAATTAGCGAAATTTCTGAGAAGGGTAAACATGCTGATGGAGTAAGCGACAGCTCTAAGCCTGATGTTGAAACAGAGAGTGACATCGATGTGTCTAAACAGGATTCTGACACTTCGGAGCTTTCAGAAAAAGAAATAGTGGGTGACAAAAAGACTGAAGTAAAGAGTGTGTCTACGGATGAGCTAACGAAAGGTGATGATCATGGGACAGCAGAAGTAATCAACACCGAACCGGGGAGTGTCTCCCTTGGCGAAGAAGCGAATGATAACAGGAATTCCTCGTCAAGTACTGAACAGAAAAGTGAAAAATCTGAAGTGGATTCATCGTCTTCGGCTGAAGATAAACCTGACGGTGAATCTGTAAAGAGAGAAAATATATCAGATGAGGACAAAGAAAAGCAAAGACGTCAACAAATCGAAGAACAGATCCAGCAGATTAAAGAACTTCAAAAGAATACACAACCTGCCCCTCCTCCGCTTCCTCAAAAGAAGAAATACCTGTACGAACCAGGCAAAATGCCAGAGGCTTGTGAGCTTCCACTCAAACCTCCCGACACGGTTACAGCTGAAGAGCCGAACAAGCCCTCGCTGTACAGACAGTGTGGCCATTACTATGACACGCAGCAGTCTCGCATTGGTCAAGCAGAGAACAATGACTGTCTTAGTGAAGAAGAGTATATACAGAGGCTGTCATTCACTGTCGAGACCTTTGATGCTCTGGTGGTGAACTTGTCTCAGAAGAAAGAAGGTACCACCTACAGTGGCTTCATACATGAGTGGAAGGTAGGTAGCTGATGTCACATATCATACACGAGAGGGAATGTTTCATCTGATATCCAACACCATAAATAAATGAATAAATAAAAATTAATAAAAAATAAATAAATTGATAAATGAGGCAATGTAGAGTTTTGAAAAGACGCTTTGAAGACTTTCATTTGGGCGGAGTGTATATCAAAGACAGAAAAACTTGAGAGTAACAAAAGTATTTTGACCTTCGATCGTTGTCGCCCGCACTCCGTAACCTTTGGTTATTGCTAGTTCTATTTCTTTTAAAGTTGTTCCACACAGTCATGAACAACTTTGGAATTTTTGCTGCGAAAGGAGTACGAAGCACGCAGCGACTGACTTTTGCTAATGATTAACGTTCATCCTTTCTTGATTTTTGTCTTTTTTCATTTCCAGGCACTGGAAAAGATGCAAGAAAGTGACTCGTGTGTTTTCTCCACTAAAGATGCCAGTCTCAATCCATCGAAGAACAGATACAGAGATGTCTTGCCCTGTAACTATTTACCTCTTCGTTTGTCTCTATATTTAAAGTTGAAGTTTGATAGATTTAAGATCAATTTGTTACTTAATAAGCAAAGGTTGAGTTATACAGAAACAATAACGCGGATAAGAACGAACGACGTTTCGGTGTCATCTTGACGCCATTTTCAAGTTCAAATGATTGGCTAAGGATTAGCATATATGAGATATACGGTGGCCCACAACTGTCACTGCAAAACCAACAGTCTCACGGCAAAAACAAAATACCTCACGGCAAAACCGAAAACCTCACGGCAAAAACAAAAATCTCACGGCAAAACCAAATACCCACGGCAAAATCAAAGCTATTTTGTTTTTGCTGTGAAGTATTTGGTTTAGCCGTGAGGTTTTTAGTTTTGCCGTGAGGTATTTTGTTTTTGCCGTGAGGTTTTTGGTTTTGCCGTGATGTTTTTGTTTTTGCCGTGAGGTTTTTGGTTTTGCCGTGATGTTTTTGTTTTTGCCGTGAGGTTTTTGGTTTTGCCGTGACAAATGTGGGCCACCATAGAAAGAAGCAAAGTCACGCAAAAATTGTGTTTCTTCAAATGCTTATTTAACACATTGCTTTTTTAGGCTGTTATCTCTCTTCATCACCAAGATATGCAACAGCAACTTCTCCTTATTCATAGTAACTCCTTATTTCTCTCCTCAGGGGATCATACACGAGTCAAGCTAACGACTAAGGAGGCAGGCGACTATATTAACGCCAACTTAATAAAGGTAAGGGAGAAACTTGAGCACTCGTTCTTGACAAACAGTAATTTTCTCTCCGCAATTGCGCTGGGATGACAAGTCCTTGTAAAATGACTAAAGAACTTAAAACGACTTGCTTCCTAACTCGTCTGTCATGAATCAGAGAGGCCCAGATACTGTTATAGCCTCACTGAAATATTTACCTTTTTCCTCTCACAAATGGCTCATATTAAATTTCAACAATTTTTTTTCAATTTCCATGTTTTCAAATGCTGAAAAACAGATATTACCGTGTAAAAGTACTACCAGAGAGGTTTCATTTGAATGGTGACACATTAGGATCTCATCCACAGACTCAAAAGTTAGAACAACAGTGTTCAGCATAATAAACAGTACCACAGGAAAGTACTTCTCAGTAGTTTTCATTTGAATGGTCACACTTTAGGATTTCATCCGCAGACTCAAAAGTTAGAACAACAGTGTACAGCATAATAAACGGTACCATGGGAAAGTACTGCTCAGTAGCTTTCATTTGAATGGTCACACTTTAGGATCCACAGACTCAAAAGTTAGAACAACAGTCTATAGCATAATAGATGGTACCATGAGAAAGTACTGCTCAGTAGCTTTCATTCGAATGGTCACACTTTAGAATTTTATCCAGACTCAAAAGCTAGAAACACCTTGTACAGCATAATAAACAGTACCACAGGAAAGAACTGCTCAGTAGCTTTCATCTCAATGGTCACACCGAAGGAATTCGTCTACAGACTCAAAAGTTAGAACGATCTTACAAAACTCCATCAGTCACTCCGGGTGTCCTTGAGTTAACAGTCGGCAGGAGCACCTGCAGTCGGCGCACCCGTGTAACAACTGGCTAAATTCTTTCACATGTTCATTTCTCTAGATATAATTAATTATAGATTGACGTTGTAATGACGCATAATATTGGATTTGACTTATTTCAATCTGTTCTCGAACCTTTATGTTGTTTCTTGACAGAAAGTGACGCCTATGTCGCCAGATTATATTCTTACCCAAGGCCCTATCGCTGCCACCTTAGATGACTTTTGGTTGTTAGTCTGGGAACAAAAATCCCCCGTGATAGTCATGCTTACCAAAGAAGTGGAAGGAAATCGCGTAAGTTCAGTCAATAGTGTTTTATGAATACCGTTAAAAGTAAGAGTCCTTATTGGTTTCCTGTAGTAAAAATCTCCAAATTGCTGTTACGCGTGTGCGCGGCACGTATGTAGCCAGCACTCGTTTGGACTTCCACGTAGAATGAATGAAATGCATAGAACGCAATCTGATCACGCGCGTTTGGACTTTCTATCACTCGTAAGCAATTTGTCGACCAATCAGCAGTAAAAACCAAACCATGTCTCCCACCTGCCGCCCGCTACGTGTTTTTGCTTGAGATCTGATTGGTTCGTTGGACTTTCCCGCGCTTGGTGCCCAACACATGGGTTTGCTTGAGATTTGATTGGTTGATCGTCTTCGCGCGTGATTAGTAATCAGCCACTGTGTGTTGTGATTAAGCCAGAGTCATCGCACTATGGCTCTATTTGTTTTTCAGTTGAAGTGTCATCAGTACTGGCCAATAGACGAGGGTCACACGGTTGTATACGGAAATATTAGGGTACATATGAGAAGCAAGAATCACTCTGAGGCCTGGATAGAGCGTATCATGCACGTACAGCATTCGGAGGTGAGTCAAACTTTCATAGAGCGATTTTCGTATGACCTTGAAATGAAAGTGGGCGACCTCCATTTTCCTACACTTGTGTTTGCTATAAGATAGAAGCAGGGAAAGTAGCTCGACTTATCATCTGCCTATTATTACCCTTTGCTCCTCCTTACTGTCTTTTTCTTGATATTTGTTTCTTCAGAGCGATGAAGTACTAGTTGTGTCTCACCTACAGTTCACTGGCTGGCCTGATCAGTAAGTCAGTTCCGTGTCTAAAGTCAGGGGCGGATCCAGGATTTTTTTTAGGAGGGAGTGCACTCGTCTCTTGCTCTACTTCAACACCAATAAACCAAATAGTTTTTTTTTTTTTTTTGCAGAATACCAATTGTATTAGAAAACCGCAGGTCATTTCGGGGGGGGGGGAGGCACCCCCTGTACCCTCCCCCTAGATCCGCCCCTGAAAGTAATCGTAAAACCGTATCTTTGTTTTGAATGGTAAAGGCAATGACGCATACGAGCCAAAGGCCCAAACAACCGTAGCTTATCCCGGTTTCTTTAGCATGAAGCATGACAAGGAGTTTTGCTACTCGAGGTGTTTGTCGTTAGAGGTGTTTGTTAAGAGGGAGTTGACTCCGTGAGCGATTTACCTTACATCACCGCGTAACTGACTGACGACCATTAACATCGCGACCAAATTGACCAATCAGGTCAATAACCAGAGTTAAATACCATCAACTGACTCATCACTTTTACTATGAAGATGACTACCGCACAGGTTGTCGAAACGTCAGTCACTGTCAGCAACAACAGTCCTATTCAGGACTACATTCACCCGGATGATTATACTCAACTTACGTATGAAATGACTCCTGGGTTCAAACCTTTCACAGAGCGACTTACCTTTTCGTAAACAAACGTAACTATGACTTTCTCTGTCGGTGACTAGTGGTTGTATCGTCTTTTTCTCTAGTGGCGTTCCTCATTCTCCATCGGATCTTTTGACGTACTTATCAGAGGTGCATAACCATCACTATACTAGGGATCCTCAGACTGAAAGGCCTCTGGTGGTACACTGCAGGTAGGGACTGTTGTATGTTGTCATTATATGGCCAGGCCCTTTCCTTTTGTGCCACGCTTTATGTTAGCGCTGACGTTATGCTCAGTACAAATTGTCTTTGTTCTGGAAGTTTTGGCATCAAATAAAATCTTTGCAACAATTTCAAAATCGTGGAAGGAAATTTGACCCACTTTGAATTTAAACTCGTTAAAGAATGTCATAGACCTCAGGCAGAAGGGTTTACGGTCATATCGCCACCAACGAAATCGCCACCAGGAAGTCTCCTCGCCACCACATAATAACTCTGAAATAATTGACACTGTTTACTTACCTGGGATTGGTACTCCTTCCTCAAGCCCAAATATAAGTTAATCGATTTTTATTGACACCTTGTGTCGAACTTCTCATCTTTATATTGTGTGAAAAATTGCGACTTTTTAATACGTTAATACGGCTTATTTGCATCGCTCGAGAGGTGCGACTTGTTTAAAATCCAACAGCCTTTGTTATGAACGTTGGTTAATATTGTCACTTGAACCTTACCTCCTTAAGTTTCATTTTAAATTGAGAGTGAAAGAATTCTTTTTGGAGACTTGTCCTTTCCAAAAGTATTAAGATATATATTTCGTGGTGGCGATTTCGTTAATGGCGAGGTGACCGTATACCGGCAGAAGCACCAGGTTTATATGCTTCTGCCTGAGGTTCCTTGTGAGTCTGCTCCCCATAGTTGCTGATGCATATTTAAGGAGTGTAAACCTTGATTGTGGTCTTGTAATTAACGCAGGGGAAAATGAATCAGTTTGTTTGATCCCCGCAGATCGTGTGTTAGATTCCTCATTTGACACATTCTAGCTCTATATTTCGGCATCGTTTCAATATGGATGGCCTTAAAAACTGTTATTACCATGTCTTGGCACCCAGAACTATACAAATACCTACACTGAATTTATCTGATTTAAAAGGTCCTGGAAGTGCAGAGCCGGGTTTTGTGCAGAGTCGGATCGAGGTCGAACAGTTTAAACTTTTTGTTTTATAATCTGTGGTATCGTTTCAGTGCTGGCGTTGGCCGAGCGGGAACCTTCTGTGTTATTTACACCGCGATCCGTGAGCTGAATGGCACGGGGAATATTGGTAAGGATTCATACAATGAGAATAACTATTGTCACGTACTCTATTCTGCTCAGCAAGTATATTGTAAACTATTTATCTTTTAGAAGAACCGTAAGTTTGTGTCACGCTCTCTTTTCCGCTCTAAGAGAACTGTAACTATACTATGCCACGTACTCTTTCCCGCATGGGAAATTTAAGACTAAAAATGCATTTTTAGAGTAACTGTAAGTTTATTGTGTTGAAGATGCATTTATTGAGAGGAAGTGTAAGTCAGGGTTCGCATCAAATCGATGTCTTATTTCCAACAATAGCCCTTATGCATGTTTACGTCACACAAGCAAATTTCACCACCAAGCCTCGTTTTGAAATTAAAAATAAGCGAAGTTTCACAGAAATGAATTCCCAAGGCAGTAGAGTTGAAAAGAATACCCACGCACAAAAAGTACAAATGCAAAAAATTTTGTTCACAAACGAGGCTTGTTGGTGAAATTTACTCGTCTGACGTAATCATGCATAGGGGCTATTGGCGGTCCTATAGCACATAAATCAGGCGTAGCATAAAAATTGTTCGTGAAAACAAAAGAATAATAAACAGCAAAGTTAACGTTATGTACTAATGAAATTAACTTCTAAATCTCTTTCTCAGAACAAAAGAACGTTTTTAACTCACGATTGGTTCCCTCCAAAATTCTTGGGCTCCCTGTTTTACCAGACGTGTGGGTTCCAGGACCCAGATTTTAAAACTTCTATCGTAGTTCCATCGCTGTGTAACTACGTGATGTGTTGTCACGCACTCCTTCTCGCTCTGAAAATAATCTCTTTAATCCTTGAGCGTAGCTGTTACTATGGTACATGTCGGTCACGCATTCTTTCTCGGTCACGCTTTCTTTCACGCTCAGCGGTATGTAGTTAGATACGACTCTTTCAGTGTGAAAGCTGTTCTGTGCCCCTTGTTGTAATAATCGTTGTGCATGTAGCGTTTTTTATCACATTTTTTGTCATTTTATCACATAACTTTTTTTGTTTTCATTGTAGTTAACATCCCTAAACTTGTCAGGATCTTTAGGCAGCACCGCAAGTTCACGGTACAGAAGAAGGTACGAAGGCCTCTCTAAAAACCATCAGTATTTTGCTTAGAGTTAGAAGAATAGAACCATGCAGTTGCCTGGGAAAATCGCTGCCCGCCAGATACCATGCCTCTGCTATCTCTGAGAGAAAGTCACGCGTTGCTTGTTGCAGGCGACAATAGGAGCCCGCAATCCTAATCTCCAGGTTGTTATTGCGCATGCGTCGCATGTTTGTGGCCAGCATTCGTTGGACGTCCACTAAGAATTAATGGAATGCACAGAGCGTAATCTGATCACGTGTGTTTTGACCCTCTGTCACGTGAAACTTACGCAAAACAGCAGCGTTGGAGCAAGAGCGTTTTGACCTTCGTTCAAAAGTTCAATACCTCGCCCGCACTCCCTAACCTTTGGTTATTACTAGTAGTCTAGGTTAATCTTTGTTCCTGGTTGCTACAGTCTCAAAAAGTCCTTGAATTTAGGGAAAGTCCTTGAAATCTCCTTGAATTTTCTTCAACTTTGAATGTAGCAGGGTTCGGTTTCTGAAAGGCCGATGAGCGCTAATCCCGGATTAACATTTTTGTTCCGCTTTTTGTATTTACCTTCCTAAGCAATGCTTAGAGTAACATTTTGAGTTATCAACTCTCTTTTTCGAAGGAAAGGCTCAATAGTATTTTGTACACTCGAGTTACGTGTTCCAAGACAAGAAAATCTTGCTTAAAATTAGGCTTAATCCTTGGTTAAACTTAACCATCTTTCGAGGAACCGGTCCCTGGAAAGTGTTTTTTTTAATGCGTTTTGGTTATCCAAGACAGAATATAAATCGTAGCTCAAAGAAGTTAAAAGAGATTTACGTAAAACGTTTTTTTTTGTGTGTTACGCAATAATTAACTATAAATTTTAGACAAGTGAGCTAAAAGAGAAGTTGGTGGAGCAAATAGTTCAAGCCGTAAAGTGCTGTTAGAATAGACTGGGAATGTCGTTTTTGTACAATCTGTGAAATTACATTCGTGGTAAGTGATCCTTGAAAATCGAATGGGTCCTTGAAAAGTCCTTAAAAACGGTTGCACCTTTTTCTATGAACCCTGTGCGAGCTGGCTCGCTGGCTATAATCTGACCAAGTTTGGTCCGGGAGGGATCCGGTACGTCCAGTACTGATTTAGGACTAACGTTTGTTCAACGTTGGCTTTTTAGGAGCAGTATGAGTTCTGTTACAGAGCAGTTCTGTTTTATGCCAATCAGTATCTTCAGTTAGGTAAGATTGATTTATCAGACTCCTTTGAATTATCATCTTGACTGTTCTGCTGAGGTTATGTCTCTCAAAAGGAAGAGGGGAGCGGCCTTGTTAAAATTATGGAAAAGGGGCAATTAATGTTTTGAAGGGGTTAAAAATAAAATTTGAAGTGAATTATTTCATACTTTTCTACCCTAATCCTTGTTTGCCATTATATCTTCATGTCCAACAAAAATTAAGCAATAATGCTCCGTTAAACTAACTGTTGAATTAACTTTTTTTTTATTTATTTCTGCAGAAAAAACTGCTATTGCTTTCAAGAAATCAAAGCTCGCATCACATGACCACCTGGGTGACGTCAGCAGTGCGTCATCAGTGACGTCATTGAGTGACAGTAGTCAGCGGAAGGCAGATGATATGAGCTTTCTAGGGGAAATTTCCTCTGACGAGGATAGCTCTGACAGTAGCAGTGGATTTGACGAAGAGCAAAGTAGTTTAATCAGAAGAAAAAGTTCCCAAGATCTGGAAGATTTTGATCAGATCACGACGACAGATCTAGAAATCTCCGGGCTTAAAGATTTTTCTCAAGTGACGATTGATTCTTCAAGTGGTGATAAAAGCATTCCGTGCACTTCAACGATCAGTGCAGATCTACCAGCAGTTGGCGAATCGTCTGGCAGCGTCTCAGAGTTAAAAAATTCATCTGTTGCCGACACTCAAGAATTGCCGAAAGCGAGCTCAGATATCTCCGCGGCGATCGAGAAGACTGAGGGGTCGAAGGTGCAACAATTAGCCGATCTCGACGCAGAGCTGAAAGATGCGTCGGTTGATTCCTCTTATGCTAAAAAGGAGAGTGAAAAGGCGTCTTCGTCTTGTACGAGCAATGCAGAGCTAACAGTCATGTCCGAGAGAGGCTCAGAATCGGTGGAGGCGCGTGAAAGCACTGAGGAACCGAATGGCTGTAGTAGTGGCGAGAAAGGTTGTAATGATGAGGTTGTGGAAGAAGACGTGAGTGAAAAACATGTTGTAAGCAAGGCGGAAAGCACGGATACAGCTTTGGAAATAGAAGGGAATGCGGAAGAGGATGGTGATAAAATTGGTGGTGAGGCAAATGAACGAGAACAGACAAACACTGATCAGTCGATGTCGGTTACTCAGACTAATGAACAAACTGAGTCATTAGACGAGAAAAATAGTACAACAGGACTGTTGCAAACAGAGGCTACAGTAAATGGACAGCAAGGACAAGAAAACCAGGAAGAAAGGGATAACCCTCAGGATAACGGTAAACAAGGTGAAGAAGCCAGTGAGCAACAAGGCCAAGAAAATGTTGAAAAGATGAGCAGAGAGCCGTGTAAAAGTCATGAAAAGGAACCAAATAACGAACAAACTGAAGAACGAAAGGCTGAAGATTGCTCAGAATCTAGCGGAGATGATAGACGAACAGAATTTAAAAAGAAAGGCGAAAGTGAAAGTCTTGAACAAACGAAGCAAGACTGTGAATATCAGCAAACAAATGGAGTTTAATTTGAATTTGTTTCCACGATGAGATCTCTCATATAAGCGGAATCAATTTATTTTAACTTAAACAGTGGCTTCCAGGTTCGAAATTTTTTATTTACAGTAATGGATATTGTTACCAGGGATCGGTCACTGGTATTTGCTACAACGCCATCAATAGTTTTGGGACGTAAAATAACTCGCTACATGGTAAGGGTTTTTATATTATGAACACGAACGTTGAACGCAGAACATGGGGCTTTATAGGCCATGTCCACACTAAATGCGTTTTCAAAAGTATTCGTCTTCGCTGTGATCGAAAACGCATCGATCGATTCGCCTTCACATAACCGTTTTGATGCGTTTTCGAGTGTCTAAACTAAAACGTTCGAGAACGATACACTAACGCTGCGCGCAGTTACTATTTATAGACCCTAAACTCAGACAAACAAACTGAAATTAACATTAGCGAAGTCCTCACTTTTGTCTGACTTTTGTCAATAAAATGTCGTGGTTGTCTGTCGTTTGTCATTAAAATGAGGAAAATCACAAAGTTCAGACAAAAATTGCACATTAGTTACTCTGACGTCATTCGCGCGCTACGCTATTGCATGCTATGACGTAAGTTGAGCTCTTTGCGCATGCTACAGACACACGCGCCTGCGATATTTTCGGTCATCATTTTAATTTTGATGCGTTTTCGATACGATACGATTTGTATGCGTTTACTTTCAAGAGCATTTTCAAATTGATGCGTTTTCGATGGAAACGCTCAGCGTATTAGTGTGGACGGATGGCTTAAAACGCATCGACATGTGCGCGTTCTCAAACGAAAACGCGTTAGTTTGGACGGGGCCTTAGAATTCCTCCGGCGTATAAATTTAGCCGTCGGTATGCTTTTTGTGGTCAATTTAATAAAATAAAATATAAAAAAACATTGTAACAAGGCCAAGCCGGTATCTACGCATGGGGCGTGGAGATTGTTACACCAATGAAAAAAATTTGTGGGAAGAAACACTATCTTACAAAAATAAAGCGTTTTCACTCACCTGGCCAACAGTATATTCAAATTTTACGTAAGGTCCCTCAGGACTGGTTTGCAAAAACAACATGGCTGCCATTTCATTGTTTTGGAACACCAATATAGTGGACATGATGTCATGTAAAAACACTATAGCGGGGTGGTTAAAAGTTCTATCGACCTCTTTAGCATGTAAGCTTTGTTTTCCTAATTCACCATTTTCGTATAGACCATAATGAACCTGGTTTAACCCAAAAATTTTACACAACCTTTGTCTTAGATTTCTCTTGGGACCACTGTAATACCCAGGAGAAATTGGAAGCAATGGTTATGCAGAATTATTGGGGGGTAAACAAGATGCATTATGGTCTATGTGAAAATGGTCAGTGTAGGTTCTCCAGTATTCACGTGCATATGTACGCAGAGACCTTCATGGGGAAAATAAAACATGCCAGCTAAAGAGGTCTATCGCTCACATATTAAACGCCTTTTTAACGCTCAAAGAAAGTTTATAAGTTAACTGAAAGCGTAGGAAGATAACTTTCCCACTGTAAATTTTCTGTCGGTTTTTTATATATATATATATAATATATATTTAAAGGCATTAAGTGGTGTTTATTCAAGGAGCGTGGGGGTGGCAATGTGAAAAGGTGCAAACTTTGCATAATGTTAAATTGTAAATAACACGAAATCACCTTATTTCCATAAAAATTTTATGATGTACGTGCTTGTTGTTTCATCGTTTCATGTTTACTCTTGGTAGCCTTAACCTCGCCCCTATGTCTTCTCGTTTTTTAAACAAGAAGACCCTGGGGACGAGGTTGTAGGTAGCCTAGCTGACAAACGCGTAAATTCCCTCGTACCCAGCGTCTTCGTTGCCCCTAACCCGCGGTCGGGAAGATCAACCGAGCGTGCGCAGTACGGGACGAAGACTTGAGATACGAGATTGACGTATAAGAGACATGAGGCGCGAGATGCGCGTTGCGCGAGAGAGGAGGACACACGCGAGGAGGGAGTAACCCTCCCCCCGCCTCCCCCTCGCAACTTGCACCTCATTTTTCTAATGTTTGAAGGATAACGAAATAATCGTGCTTATTCGGAAAAGCACCCAACTCCCACCTGTAAGGGTTTTTTTTTTGTATTATCCTTAATTTGAGATAACCGCCCTGGGCACATTCATTACTTTTAATTCCACTTTTGATGAGCTGGAAGTTGACGTTGTGGGCTTCAGTGATTCGCAACCTTCAAGGGTTCGTTGCTGTTTCTTTTTATGGATAATTCTCCTTAGCTTTGCTCCAAGAGGTGAAAAGTTAGAGCGGGTACCAAATAACTCACTAGTCGGAGATTTTTCAAGTTAAAACTTGAAAAAGGATAAAAGACAAAAACATCCTTCATACGTTGAATAGTTTATTGTAAGAATGTTCCACATCGTATGGTTATAGTATCGATGTACATCACTTCACTGAGGTCTTTTATGTACAAAATGGAATTATGTTTTTGGACCAACTGTTGGCTCTCTGACAAGAAGAATGACATGGTTGCAAATCAAAAAGCGTAGATGCTAATTTTCACCCGCAATGGAGTTGGAATCGTAATCAGAAATATTTATTGGTATTGTACATATGCTATGAAAATTACGAGAAAAAAAATCGATATTCGTGCGGCAACCTCTCTCTTTTAAGTTTAATGGATGTTACGGATTCTCATGACACGCTTGATTGACAATACACTTGGTACTGTGAGGAGAAATTATATGTTGATCTACGATACTGTGTTCCTTCTCTGGTCCAACAGTTGGTCCTTAATTTTATTCAATGTCCTCAGGTCTGACAGGATCTTTCATTGGAATCACTGACTTCTTTTCTTTGTCACGCGATAGTGCTTTGCGCATGTCTAAGGACAAAAAGTAGTTTCATGTAAGCCACCATGAAATGCCTTGACAAAACCCTTAAACATCAAATGGAAGCTACTGAGTAGTGCTTTCATGTGGTACTGTTTATGAGCAGCGATCTCTAGTGTTTTCAAGCTGGTTCTAACTTTTGAGTCTGTTGAAGAAATCCTAAAGTGTGACTATTCAAATGAAAGCTACTGAGCAGTACTTTCCTGTGGTACTGTTTATTATGCTGTACAAGGTGGCTTTAAATTTTGAGTCTGGATGAAATCCTAAAGTGTGACCATGACTGTCCTGACCCTCAACAGTACAAGGTTTAAAGGCTCTCACCGTAGGCATCCTCATCAGGATCACCAGAGTAGTATTCCAGTACTCGGCGATAAATGACATAACCAAGCTGCTTATACATGTCAACAGCAACATTATTGCTCATTCGAACAAACAAGTCAACAAAATATGCCTCTTTCCTAAAACAGAGGACAAACAGTATATTTACACTCATTATTCCGTTATTTGCTACAAAAACTTTCTGATGGTCAGTTGCTTGATGAAGAATTTAACAAGAAAAATGAAACTTAAAAACATTACTCAACGTTTGGGTGTTTCAAACATCATTATCAAGAGTGAGAAATGTTACGTTTTAAAGTTGTTTAAAGAGCTGAAGTTTGAATTGTAAATTGTAAATATCTTATTATCCACTCCCCTCAGGGCTTTTCAGGGATAATTTACAACACTGGTTGGGGGACTTTGCCAGACTGCTTAAGGTGCAGTTTACAAGTAGTGAAGGAATGAGTAATGATGCCCCCATACATGAGTGTGAAAGTGAGATAGGCCACTACACCGGGCACTACGTGCCCTACTCTTTACGAAGAGTGTGTGGGTTCTTTAACGTCCCACAGATTTAATACATGTGCAAGGGCTTGTGAGACGGGGCCTACGGTTTATCGTCCTTGTCCGAGAAGACTAGAGAGTCTAGCCGTTTGCAGATATTATTACAAAGGCAGCACTTTCTCCTCAGTTATTTAAAGACCCTGAGTGTTGGTCCAGCCGGGGTTTGAACCCGCGACCTCCCGCTCAGTAGACCGGCGCTCTCCCAACTGAGCTAACCAGGCGGCGGTGGCTAACCAGGCGGCGGTGAATAGGACCGTATTTGTGCATGCTTCATTATTAGGACGATTTCTTAATAGAAAGGCTTAACACAAATCGAAAAACAAACAAGACTTAAGTTTATTCAGAGGCTATTATAATCTTAATATACTTCTCTGAGATTTCCTCCAAGTTTGACATCAGTCTTGCTGCAAGTCCCAGTCTGCGGTATTCAGGGGCGACAGTTACTGCAGTAACATGCCCATGCCACTCCTCTTGCTGCACACTGCCTTCAGCTTTCCCCATAACTAGCAATAACACAATGCATATAAATGAATATATAACAATTTAGAGGTAGCACTTCCACTAGGTGGTTTTTCATCAACCTGAATCCTGGTCAAATTGGAATCTAGAAAAGTTGGTTTTGAGTTGAGGGGAAAACTGGAGCACCCAGAGAAAAACCTCTTGGAGCAAAGGAGAGAACCAACAGCAAACTCAACCCACATATGGCGTCGATGCCAGGACTCGAACCGGGGCCACATTGGTGGTAGGCGAGTGCTATCACCACTGCTCCACCCTTGTTTCCCTGAATGCAATGGAATAACAGGTGAGCTTTCATGCGAAAACAAGATATCTTCACAAGTGAAAAGCAACAAGAAACCAATATATTCATCAAGGAAATAAGAAAAGAATCACTTACTGTAACCCATAATTTGTCCAGTTGGGGATTCAACCACTTGGAAATATTCAGGCCAGTGTGCCAGATACTGGAGATAAAATGCTAACCCATACTATGCTAATGTTAAGGATATAATAATGACCACTAAATTTTATTGAATGGCTTGTGTAAGAGCTGCTAGTACATGCAACATACAAACTATGACAAAATAATGAGTAGTCGAAATGTCAGCTTCTGAATCTGTTTATCAAATTCCTTATTCAATAAAACCAAGACCATACATTTGCAAACAACTATCATGATTTTCTATTTAATGTTTGTGAATGTGATATCCTTAAAGAATATGAAGATACTGTTTCTGTCAATGGATCCAAGTTCCTGGAAAGAAAAACAAAAACAACAGTTTTCATAGACAACATAAAAGAAGACATGGACTATTAGCAAATATTAAACATCGTCTGTCAGATCTATGAGTCCTTTTGCTACCATGAGTAGTATTATAATGCACCTATAATTGACCATCCCCTGGAGGGGGCAACTCCAGGTAAATTGTATAGGGAATTATAGGGGAAATAGAAAGATTATTTTACCCTGGAGATGGGATAAATGACGGAGGTTTGCAACAGGTTTGCACCACAGGGAACCAGGGGCTTTAAAGAAATTAGGTCAATCTTAAATCAAGGATATAGTATGTACCTGCATATACCACCTGTATAGACCACTCATCTAGAAGATAGTGGACTTACCTTTCTCCTCGTGGTGGAATCATATGCAGACTCAGCAGACGGCATAATCTTAGGTATTGTTATGTAAATCCATTTAAGGGTAAAGAATTAATCAGGGGCAGGTGCAGATCTAGGATAAAAATTTAATATTGACCGATTTCCTAAACAAGCACCGAGGGCGCAAGTTTCTATTCCTGGGAAATGTTTTGGATTTTAACTTCCTTAAGTCCCCTTTCCTGGGTTTCTAAGTCATTCAGACAAGATATTGGCCAGTTCCATTCTCCTTGGATAAAGCCATGCAAATCGGCTGATCATTCTATCAAGGTCAACATCCATATTGTAGTGGATATGAAGCAAGGCGAGTCCAAAAAGTTCTCAGAATTTCAACTTGGAAAGTTTTTATTATCAAAAAACAACTTATAATGAAAAATCTGACTGATTTCCATAAAAAAGTGGAAAATGGTGTGGATCCACACCTGAGGTGGGCTGGGTAAATATAATAACTGACATCTTTTAAAAGTATTCGGTGGTTTCATGTTGTTCAATATGACACCCCTCAAGGAGGGGAAATTTCTTAACGTTGATTGCTCTGTGCCTCCATCAAGGAGAAGAAATTAGGCACTTTCACGGGGTCCTTTACAAAGTCCCCTCCCTGCTCAGGGTCCCCCCAGGGGTTGGTCGATGATAGGTACATAAAGCATGGCTTGGAACTAGAACTAAAAAGAGAGAGGAAATATCTTAAAGATAAGCACACTGGGTGGGTGATACTCCGTTGGTCTAATTTTCCTGATTTCAATCATCTGAATCATACCTACTAAACCTTATATTACTGTAAGCAACAACATGAGTTTTAAAAGTCAGGATAATTAGTGATATGAAGATCATATGAAGGCTTCAAGCTCAATGGGTATGTGGAGCAAGTCTACTGCAAAAAGCTCCTAAACACAGTATTGCAAAGGGGGCCAGAGTGGCGCACACGTAGCATAACTGTCGAAAACCAATTAAAACTTCTAAGAAGGCTAGCTAGATAAAAACATTGATTAAGTATAAAAATCCAGGGATATCTTAGTAGGAAGGAATAGACACGATCGGGGTAAGAATACATCAGATTGCTCTGACATTAAGCAGAAAGGCTTCTTATGTTTGGGACAATACTTGGAAAAAACGCCTCAGGATACTTACACGTTACTAAAGCGAAACATATCATCGCATCTAAAAGGTCTGAGAGTCGTCATTTTATCGAGAAAATCGGCCAGAATCGTTTACATCACTGAAAACTTAAAACAAAATATCATCTAGGCGCTTTCGACGCGTTTCCGCTGGGGGTCGCTGGGGGTCTGTTCTCTAGTGCCCGGGCTTCTGTGGCAGAGGTCCAGCAAACTCAAAACTCCTAAGATAGCTAGTATAGCAGTGTTTCTGCTAAAGCCAAAAATAACTCGAAACATGAACTATATTGCGGGCGAACTACCGAATTACTGGAATTCTTAGACGCTTAGACGAGTGAGGTGCCGTCTGCGATATACAAAGCAAGGGAACGTAATCTAAGCAATCAATCCGCCTATAAAAATATTTGGTAATACCGTAGAAAAACAGAAAAGCATTAATTTCCCCATGTACATGTTTTTTGTTATTCTATTCAAAATTCTGGGAGCTAATGGGCTAATATGCAGATTTCGGAAGTTTTTGTAACTGGTCATGTACATAATCCATTTCTAATGTTTCTGTGCATACATGTTTCAAAAACTTGGCGTGACATCACTTCCGTTTAATTGCGTTTAATAGGAAAACAATTTTCATTTCAGAGTTCTGCATGCATGAAGGCTTTTAAGATAGGATGCCATTATGCACACACCATGGAATTTCCGATCTTCATTATTTCCGAGAAAACAAATAAGCTTACGTAGATTTGTGACCACTGGATCCCGTTGAGAGGGACAATTCGTAATTTGAGCGCTAGGGTTTTCATGCGAGACAGGAAACCCGACAAATGTCACGATTTAGCGTGTTACGTTCATCCGGATAGTGCACAGATCATTTCCACTCTCGCCATTCTCGAACCACAGATACTTGTTCCGACAAATCTTCTTCAAGTTAATACGCCGCACAGTACAGAGCGAAGAAGACATCTTGAATTGAATGTGTATTTTGGTCTCTAATTGGCACGTGCTGTGTGAAGTTGATGTTTATTTCAGTCATCGAATTGAGGCTCTGTGAAGACAGGCCCTAAAACAACATGGCGGAGCTAATGTTTGGGGCTGGTTGAATGTCGTTTTAAGCAGTTTTATATCGAAAATTCTCCGTATTATCTGGGGATTATACAAAATTTAAGCAAAATGGATGTAACGGTATTCTATGTCTCTCCTTGGATGATGTTAGGACTCATTTTGGGCACCGTGTACTTCGTGCTGGTGTTATTGGGCTACGAAAATCGTAATGAGAATAAAACGAGGAAAAAATCAGAGGACGTTTTAACGTCATCGACAAGAACCCCCAGAGATGTCACTGGGCAGAAAAAAGTGCAAACCGCAGAAGAGAAACCTGGTTTTGTCGTGCAGCGAAAAGAATCAGACGAGGACAAATCAGGCGCAAGAAGGCAAATTGACGAAACCTGTTCTTATCAAAGATCCTCTTCTTATCAAACCACAACCGCATTCGACGCAAGAAAGTCGAAAGTCGCACCTGTTGACAATGAGAAAGGAGGAGAATTACAAGTTGAAAATAGTCTTGAGGCTTCGAAGATTGAAGACATTTTGCAAAGTCAAGATGCTCTGTACTTGCAAGAGTTCGATGTCCCTGAAGGATTCATCTCCCAGAGACTGCGTATCAGAGCAAGTTCCCATGGTAGCGATCATTCCAGGGAAGATTCTGATGAAACTGTGGAAAAAACTGACGGTTTGGAATCATCGACAGATAAAGAAACCGAATTATGTGAGATTGTGTCGGAGACAGTTTCTAATTCGGTTGGTTCGGCCCCTGTAGGACAAATTTTTAATGATACTGTTGTACCTGACATTAATGAGCAACCAACCGAATCGAACGATGCCATGGAATCCACAGCTATAAAGGAATCAGGTATATTTGGGGACTTTGCAGATCTCATGGTCGCCAAGGCTAAGGAGGGTGCATTTCATAAAATTGATCTTGAATCAAAAGCAAACATTTATGCAGATGAAATTTCCTCTCGGATTGTCTCTGATGCTATTGGGCAATTTGCTAACAGTTCTCTTTCTGGTCCTGAAGACTTTGATACCTCAGAGGTTCAGGAATTGCATAGTTTTGCTGAAAATGTTGTTAAATCATTAATGGATGGAGCTTCTGATAATGTATCTTTATTCAAAGATGTTGTGGCATTTGCCCAAGACGTGAGTGAACAAGTTATTCTTGAAGGAATAGAACAATATACCACAACAGAAAAGTTAAAGCAAGGGAGAAGGCAGAAGATATCTCTCAGTGAAATGAAATTATTCAGTGAAGGCATTGTAAGTGAAGTTGTGTCAGAAGGAATTGAAGAAGCCATCAGAGAAGGCGAAAATGTTAAAGGAAATAATTTTGCCGGTAACAGCGTGTTGGAACCAGGGTATGCTGACTTAGCGGATCAAACAGTGACTGTTTCAAGCTCAATACAGCCTCAGATCTGTGGCATTGTTGAAAATTTGGTAAATGGTGCAATATACGAAGCTTTATTACGAGCAAAAGCACAATGCAGTGAGAAATCATTAGAGGATTCTAAACTTGAGGGGTGTGGGCAGGAAATTCTGGAATCTCAGGTCAATGATACAGGGCAAGAATTAATCGTTTCTACATTGCACCAGGCTGCTGACTTAAAAGAACTGCAAAGTCAAGAGAGAGATGAACCTAATCGGCAAGACAAAAGTGAGCTTGAATCACAGATGGAAACATTTGTAGATGACACTTTGGATGCAGCAGTCACTGAGGCTGCCGGGAAGGTTCAAATTGAACAGTGTGTTTCTGATCAGGAGGGAAAAGTGTTGAATGGTCATGTAGATCTTACTCTTGAACAAGATGTACACCAGCAATCTGATAATTTTCATCAAATTTCTGTCAAATTAGCTGATGATGATGAAAAAACCAATGAAACAGAGGATCAAGGAGTTGATTTAGTGCCATCAAGGGAATGTATGAACGGAAAAGAGTTGAATTTAAAAGAAACAAAAACCAACGAACAAAATGATTATTGGAGGAGAAGTTTGATAATGGATTTGGAAGATAATGAAGAATTTGACGAGAGCTTTGAAAGTGAAAAATCTCGACCAAGCGCAGAGAAGGAAGCAGTTTCTGACGAAGACGAAAGTGAAGAATTTATTGACTCCTCAGAAGATGAAGTGATCGATCATGCAGAGGATGCAAAGTTGGGTGCTGTTGGTGGGTCAAGTGCCACAAAGTATAAAGATGGCAACAGTGATGCTGATGACATCTCTGAAGATGAGTTAGATGATGATAATGATGATGAGGAGGAAGATCTGCTCTTTGCTGGACAGACAATGGTGGATGGGCTATGTGTGAGCAAACCTAAAGAAAAGAGGAAAAGTAGGAAGAAATCAAAATCTCTCCCTAGAGCAAGAATAGAGTCAGGTTGGTACTTGTGGGGAGGGGAGGGGAAGGAAGGAAACCTTTCTTCCCCACACCCTCCCTGCTCTTTAAATATATATTCAAACCCAGTTAATACACAAGAGGCCATTCAATTCCTCAAGGCCACCTGTAGACGATTTATCTGAGCGTGTGGCAGATAAACAACTGTCACAGAAGAAATAATATAAAAGTCACTGCCAACAACAGTCCTATTCAAGACTACATTCACCTGGACGATCATACTCTGTTTACATAGTAACATAATGTTATGTGAATAATTCTTTTGTGATTCAGGCTGATTTGTCTGATAATGAGAGGGTCATTTATTGGTTCAAAAGGCTTATTCAAAAAGTTCTTTGAATGAGTCAATGAATTGTGTGCAATTGTAGGTGACCATATATGTGCAGTACTACAGTAAAAACCCACATATAAGAACCTAGAGATTTAAGAACCTACAGGCTTGAATTTGGCATTTGAATACCCAAAAATATAAGAACCTTTTCAGCCTGGCAAAGGAAAATAGGTTCTTATACAAAAATGATCACTTCAATTTTGATGGTCAAAATTCTCGATTTTAATTTTGTGAGAAACTTTTGACAAAAGGTTATTGTGTATATGTTTTCTTTGATTTACATTTGTTTGGATTTTCACTAGAAGTATGGTTTCCATAAAGCTACCATGCAATATAGACGATTCAATATCTTAATATCTTATTTTAAAAATATAGAAACGTATTGATATTCTTCTTGGACCTTGATTGTTTGCCATTATGTATTATAAGTAGTACAATATTTCTGCCAATGGTTACGCTATGACAACCTCTGAAAAATAAGAACCTTTTAAGAACCTAATCAGCGTGAATTGTGAAAAACTACCCTAACATATAAGAACCTGTTCAGCCTGAGGTCAAAAATTCTAGGTTCTTATATGTGGGTTTTTACTGTACTGTCTTGGCAACAAGATTGCATTGAAACTATGATATTTTCTCTCAGCCAGGCATAATGCCATTATAGAAGCCAGCTGTTTGCATCCTCATTTCTAAATTAGCTGATTGTGTGGGGAAGATTTGTATGGTATCATTGAAAACCACCAAATAATTAGGTGCACAAAAAAGTATGTGCATGTAACTGTTTAGCACTTTACAGTAAATATTTCAAAGGTGAAAATCATCTACTGCACTCAAAAAATTAGAATAAAGATGTTTTTTGAGACTTCTAGCTGATGATTTGGTGGTAGCTATATTGGTTGCTATTTTTTTGAGGGACATGTATAATTTTTTAGCAGGTGCCAAACAAAGAGTGTCAAACACTCAGTTTGGGCAATCACCAGCTCTTGCTAGTAATTTTCCCATTTCCTTGTTTCTTGGGCTACTGATGAAAAGTGGACCTTAAGTGCAGATCAGTTTCAAGCAAAACACTAACAATGTCCTGTAAGTATAGAAAAAGAGAATAAATTCATTGAATGTCGATCAGACTTCAGAGGGTATTCATTCGTTCAATTCTACAGTTATGTTTCATATGGTCAAAAGATGACCACACTCATCAGGGAATTTTAACGAATGACCCGTACATTTCAACACTGGCAGCTGTATTTCAATGTGGAGATGATATTGTAATCATTGTAAAACTAAGAAGCACATGGAGAATGATAGCACAATAAAATGTTTTTCATCATTATGTTCATCTCAGTCAAATTGAATGTTGTCAATATTATTTTTTAGCTGGTTCACACTACAACCAGGCCGTTGTGCTTGACAACGGATCTGCAATCATTAAACTCGGCATAGCTGGGGACAGGAAGCCCAGAGTCGTACAACCAGCTTTGTACGGAATCCCCAAGCGATACTCATTACAAATGGCTGGTATGGACAATAGGAAGGACCGGACATATGGAGATGGGGCAGCAATGAGAGCAGGAGTTATGCAGCTAGGTAATTCTTTATGCCCCAATATCAATGTAGAAATTCTCCAGACTGATTCTCATGCATTTCCTTAAAGAATTGTTTGAGAGGATTTGATAAAAGATCAAGAAAGTATAATTTTTACTTTGGTGATCATTTCATTAACTCCCATAACCTTTTTGTTTGATGATGTAATGTTACAGAAAGCTATTCTGATCTAAGTCCCAAGAGTTTTCTTATATGGGAGATTTAACCCTTAATATTAGCAATCCACACAGATCTACTTGCATTTCCTGTAGCTATGATGAGGAGAATTGGTTCTACAATCAAGAGCTTTTCTATCTTGTTAATCACCTCCTAGCAAGCATTTCCATTTGTTTTCCGAGCAAAGAAAGAGCGAGGAACCGGATTTTCGGTTTTGGCCAAGCAAGAAATGGAATGAGATCCAAAAAATGAAAGAGGGGGGAGGGGAAGGAAACCTTCCCCCCCCCACTCTTTTGCTCACACCATTTTTCACTTGGTCTGTGACTCTCATTCCTTGTTCCTTGCTCTGAAGCCAGACAGAAACACTTGCTATGCAGGCCAGGTGAAACTGGATGTTAGTTACTGATGGGAGGTAAAGAGTTAGCGGTTGTAGAATCAAAGCTGTCATTAAGGGCTGGGAGCAAGGACTTCCCCCAGCTTCTACCAATGTGAATACTGGCTACTTTCATCGATGAAAAGAAGAAAAATGGCTAGCTGTTCGATTCCCTATGTGCAGGTTGTATGATTTTATTGTTATGACTTGAAATATTAGTGACAACCCTGAACAATGAAGAGGGCAACAGGTTATATTCAAAGTTGGTCTAACTTTTGAGTCTGTTAAAGAAGACCATGAAACAAGAAATAATTTGAAATTTTGATGTTTTTAGAGTACCCAATGAGCGGTGGCTTCCTTGAGAACTGGGCTGATGTGGAGGACATCTGGGAATACATGCTTTACAGTGAATTAGGAATTGAGGAAGGAAATCATCCTGTACTGGTCACAGAAGTGGCCAACACATCCAGAAGGGATAGAGAGAAAATGGCTGAGGTACGTTGCATTGCATCTTATTGTGGTGGAGAGGTTTATATGCCTTGGTGATCCTGAAGGCTATACCAGTTGGGGCCTCAGTTGACTTACACTTGAGGGTTACTACATAGATTTGATGAAATTTTGATTCACATTTTTCCTAGCTTTCCCTGCTTGCTGTTGAAGTTTAATTAAACGAAGATGCATATTTTCCCTAGTCCATGGGGGAAAGGGACTAAGTCAAATACTTTTAAGATCAAGGCCATGTGGTTAAAAAAAGGCCATACTTGAGACTGTTTTTTTTTTAATTTTTTTTTTTTGACAAAAATTATCACTTTGGCACCTGGCCCTTGAATTAATACAATAAATTGATTTTTTTAAGATTACCAACATGACCAACATAATGTCAAGTTATGCATGACAACAAACCAACAAATAAGTAGAAAGCAAATAGACTTGGCTCATCTAAAAAGAAATATAGAAGAGGAGTGAAAAAGATTAACCCTTTCACTGCCGGAGTGTTTGATCCAGTTTTGTAAGGTGACTCTAACTTTTGATTCTGCGGACAAAATCCTATGATGTGACCATTCAAATGAAAGCTCTCTGCCTGTACTTAAACATGGTGCTGTTTGTTTGTCAAAATTTTAGAAAATGAAATTTGGAAATTTGGTCGAAATTTGCCTTTGGCCACATTTGGCAGTGAAAGGGTTAAAGAGAAGTGTGTGGGATGATTTGGCGGGAGAAAGGAGTAACATTGTTATGAAATCACTGATTTTGAGGTTACAGGTTTTATTTTTATTTACTTATTTTTTATATTTTTCTTTATTAACAGGTTCTTTTTGAGCACCTCGGTGTTCCAGCAATGTATCTTGCCAATCAACTGGTCCTCTCGCTGTACGCATCTGGTTTGACACAAGGCCTATGTTTGTCTTCTGGGTCTTCTGTAACACAGGCTGCGGCAATTTATGAAGGATATGTTTTAGCATATACTGTGCAAGAACTTGACATTGGTGGAAAATTGCTAACTGATAATCTGCAAAAGCTTCTGAGGGAGAATAAAGGCCATATCTTAAATTCGTCATCTGGATGGCAGATTGTAAATAACATGAAAGAGAGCATGGCGTATGTTTCACAAGGTACATAAAAAGAAAGGTAAAGGCGCACACGAGCCAAAGGCCCAAACGGCTGGAGCTTATTCCGGTTTCCTGGCAGGCTAACACAGTGGTGAAGAGAGACAAAGTGGAGTAAAGTTCCTTGTCTAAGGAAACAATGCGACGAGCGAGGCTTGAACCCCGAACCTCCTAGTTCGGAGTTCGAGGTGTTGACCGCTCGGCCACACACGCCTCCATCAGAAGATAGAGAGCAGAAACGCATCGTAGAATTTCGTTTAATGACTCAAAAGTTAGAACCACCCGCACAATTAAGGGCTTACAAGACTCCACAATTCACTTCGGAAGCAAAAAAGTCTAATCCTTATGTCTCTGTTACAGATTATTCTTCCGAGATGAAACAGTTTAAAACCAGTGACGCGCTAACTCAGTTTTACAGCCTTCCAGATGGTCAGACAGTGGACATCAGCAGCGAAATGATCACCACTCCGGAACCTTTATTCAATCCAGAGACTCTCCTTGGTGCAGACGACACTATCGCTTCTCAGCTTCCCATCCATAAGTTGGTGAACAACGCGTTTGCAAGGTATATTGTGTTTTTAATGAGCCTTATATGTCATCTTTTTTTTTATCTTCATCTTTCCCGGGTATATTACCAACCAATTTAATGACCACCTACCAGTATGCCTTTTAGCTCAATTTGTTAGAGCGCTGCACCGGTATTGCAGATGTCAGGGTTCGAATCTTTTTCAGGCTCTCTTTTCGCAACGGAATAAGTTACGTTTTTAACCCGTAAACCCTAAGATCATAGTTTGAATTCTCATTTGTTGCCCCTATTCATTTCCTACAGAAGTAGTGGGGAGATGTTGATAAAATATCAAGCTAATTCATCTTGTGTGATCATGTTCGTAATTCTCATGACTACTCTGTTTTACAAAGCATTGATATTACAAGGAAAAATTTGACGCTGATCACTCTTAGGGCTTAAACGCCTTCAAGGATTAACTGCGATGATCTACTTTGCATGTATTCCTTTTATTGGTAATACGCGACTGAATTTCTTTGACAATGACATAAAGCCTAGTAAATGCCCCACAAAAAAAAAAAAAGGAAAACAAACACGAGCCTTATTGGCCAGATGGTGTCCAGTTCGAATCGCTTGAACCGGCGCTTTTTGGCCATATTTACAAGGGCAAATGGGTAAACAGATCCCTTGCCAAGACGATATATCGTACCAAATCGCGCACAAGGAAATTGCTGCGTGTATCCACCTCCAAATGTACTCTGTACCTGTACTTTAGTTCCGCTTCGTAGCGAGCGATGAAACGTGTAGCTTTCCACATCTCGCTTACACGACATTTTCATTCGTGAGCTTAAGCCGCGAGCGGGTAGACGTATAGTAACCGGAACTCCTGTTGGATGACGTCATCGAGTTAAACCACTGAAAGGTAGGAGAGATCAACTTCCGGTGGTTATATTTGACGTACGGGACGTGGAAGTTCTCGTTTTTAGTGAGTTTACGTAAAAGGACGGCAAAATGCTCGTGTGTGACAAACGTGACAGGGCTATTACTTGCGTGTTTTGTCGTGATCTTCACTTAACATTAATGTTTTCAGGTCTTTTACAAAAAGACCTCTTTAAAGGAAAGTGAAGTTATTTCAAACAAAATTATTGTGTCGCTTGTCGCTCAAGGTTTGCCGTCGTCTTCCCTTTCCCATCCTGTTCCGTAAGTTCACTATCAGCAAAGCAATAACTCTGCACTTGAGTTTTAAATTTTACGTAAATCATTAGTCCAGAATTCCTGTGATTTGAACCTGCCTTACAATAGCCGCAACTGAAACTGCCGCTTATGAACCCCCCTCTCCCTCCCCTCCCCAGTTTTAAGCCCGTCTACCTGTAAACACAAAAATACACCCGATTATTAGCTCTCCCGCTCGGAAACTACCCACCTACCCCTCCCCCAAGCCAACATTAACACTTACTTCTCACTTAGGGCAAAATGTTGGCTTAGGGGAGGGGTAGGTGGGCAGTTTCCAAGAAACCTAAATTGAGCCATTGTAAGCCCTCCTCTGATTTTGATTTATTATGACGTTTTGAAGCTAAAGTAAAGACCAGTAAATGCAAAACTTTATTTTTATCAGCACAGCTGTAGCTTGTTTCCAAGCGCCTTTTCTATTCCGGTCACAAATCCCCTTCGATATAAGCCCCTCCGTTTATGACCCCTCCTAAAACCCCTTACGAAGATGTATGAGCCACCTACCCCTCCCGTAAGCCAACATTTACACTTACTTCTCTCTTAGGGCAAAATTTTGGCTTAGGGGAGGGGATGGTGTTGGGCTCGTTAAAGCATCCCATTCAACACTGCCCAACTTTTTTATCCATGAATTTGTTGAGCACACTGCGCAGCATGGCACAATCAAGTTTTTGTAACTCAGAAAAGTGCTACACGTATGGTCCTGTCTTTAAATGCATAACCCCCGCTAAACACAATGGTTGATTTGTCTTTCGTTTTTTCACAGATGTGCTCCCGACTTACGAGACACCATCCATCGCAATGTCGTTCTATCTGGTGGAACGACCCTCACGAAGGGACTGGTTCCAAGGCTGGAACACGAGCTCAGCAAAATCAATCCAAAGATACGCTCACTTCGTGCGCCTGAAAACAGGATGTATTCCCCATGGATCGGGGGCTCAATTCTGGGGTCCTTGTCAACGATGGATAACATGTACGCTACGATTGATGAATATGCAGACTACGGGGGGAGAATTATAAATCAGAAATGTTTTTAAGGTGGACGATTGTTGTTTAATGAATAATTTTTTAACGAAAAATCTAGGAGTATGTGCACGTTCTCATCGTATACACCTAATTCCAGAATGTTGCCAAAATTCAACCTCGTTTCCAGCGTTCTATACTATCCGACTCTCGCGCGCCGTAGGAACGAGCAGGAGAGAACCCTGGAAACGAGGTTGGCCAAAATTAATTTTCTTTTTATTAGCCCTCTTTGCTTCGATTGCAAAACCTTCTGCAGAATTCAAAAGATCCTTTGCGTTGAAACGAGACATCGACGGCAATTAGCATGAAGAAAAAATATAGCTGGATTTACCACCATTTTGGATAATGGTGTTTACGTTGGCGTGCACCTAAACGATTAAGGGTCATTAAGGAAGTCTGGGTTGCCGCGGTCAGTGAATAGTTAAGAAAATACGTTTAAGTTGGGGAAATCTTAGTTACCGGCAAATCAAGTGAAAAGGGGAGGGGTAGGTGGGCAGTTTCCAAGAAACGTATAACACTAACATGTCGTGAAAAACAGAGAGATTGAAAATAAAGGGAATATTTATGTCCTGGAAAGGAACTGAGAAAGTTCAAGTTTCTAAGTAAATCTTGTCCAGGTCAAGGATTTGTTTTCATTTCAGCGAGTGGCAAACCCGCCTATACAAATATAAATACATTAATATAAGAATTACTTGAAAATATCGCATTACAATTACGTATTAATCCCAGAAAAAAGATGGGAAATGAAACACAATTTAAACCATGACTTCAGCTGTTATTTTAATGTAGTAGCTTCAAGCTCGTGGACTTTTCCTGAATTTAATGTATCAGTCAAATCGAAGCTCCAACATCACCCTAGACAACCCCCCGGGGCTTTATAATTTTTGGAAAATTAGTGTTAAAATTCCCCCCTCCCCGGGCCAAAAAGTCGTTCAAATACCCCATCACAGGTCCATTTTAGGAGACGCTGGGGATTCTAACTCAGTGCCGGATCCGGACCTTGAGATAAGGGGGAGGGGGGGGCGGTCATCCAGACCCTTAGATAAGGGGGGCCCGGTCTTCCAAAAAAATTTTTTTCGGGCCCCCGGGCCTCAGTCTGGTCTAAAAATAAGGGGGGAGCTTGGGCCCCTCCCCTGTATCCACCACTGTTTTCCCACCCTTATGCATAGGAATCAAATTCCCTTCACTGGGGAAGTCAAAGGTGTCAATTCCCTGGCGTAAACCGGGAGACCGTGGTGCTGAAGCTTCCGCAGTTTGACCGATACTCCAGTAAGTCGAGAGAAAAGATGCAATTTCTAGATTTCCTAATTGGTTCCTATGGTTGAAGTTATTGACATCCGCGGTGAATTACGTCGGGTGAACACGAGCTTTCGCCTACAACCGACACCCATATTATGTTGTATTGTCATATGGAACCCCTGCGTTATATGTAACAGAACCATTGCAGTGAGTTTTACCATATTCTAGTATATCACCCACCTATTTGGAGAAGGGAGGCTGCCACCGTGACCTCCCTGACCCACCCCGGCCGGAGCACGTAGACTTGTTCCCATCCGTTCCATTTTTTCGGAGAAGAAATCGTTGAAAACGAATTGCGTCAAGGGAAAGCTGAAGGACCTTCGCAGCTCTCCTTGCAATCATCATCTTGACACAGCTGGCCCTTGTTTTTCAAAATGAGTGTCAATTCGAAGTCTTGGTTAGGAAGACATTGCTTTTTCTCGTGCAAGTAAAACTGATTTTCACATGGAAGGTATCACTCGAACTTGTTTTGCAAATGAAGTTGAGAATGACCCATTTCTATCCAGCCTTTTGTCGTTTTTTTTTTTTTAACTGGGAACGACTCTGTCTTGGATATGCTCGGAAACATGACGTGCTTATTATTTGGAGGGTCCATGTGGCAGCTCCCATTAGGATTTTTATAAGTGGTATAATGCTTGTTTGTACAATGAATACAAGTATTTTTAGTATTTTTTTTTTTAAAATAACTTGTTTCTTTCTCGTCGTCAAAACAACGAGATATAGAACTACTCCACAATTAAGTTTTCGATTAAGCGCTTGTTTACAAATCACTTACATTATGACACAAATCACGGTAAATAAATGGTTAAATTTGTATGAACTTTTACTGTTATTGCAAACATGACTATCCAATTCTTTTCAATAGGAAATAAAATAATTGTAAAAACCTAGAGGTTATACAAATTTTTCATTAATTAAAGTACCAGTTGTATAGTGTAGCCTGGCTTCTACCTGATGTGTAAGGGTCCGCTGCAATGGTCTAGAGCTGTGCTCACACTAGCACCGACTGAAACATGTTCAGACTAAACATATGTCGGTGATAGCCGTGAAAATATTGTAAATGTTCTTGACTTTCAATTCGTTGGGCTTCAATTGTGCACGCCACAATGAAGAGACTGCTTCAAACGTGCTGTTTTGGGAACCCCAACATGGTCACCCGAATCGTGGTAGACCTAGAACTACATACATTGACACAATCAAGGCTGACTTCGGACTGACGATACAAAAGAAATAAGAGATGCCATGCTCGATCAGGTCGTGTGGAAAGATTTTTATTAGGACGGCTCGGGATAATTCCCGGCCTAAGTAATGAAGCAAGTGCTTCAATTGAGACGGTTTTGAATTATTTGTAGTGAAACATGTTTTACTTGCAAGTGTGAACACAACATGAGACAAGATCGGTGTAGTTTACCTTATCTCGGCTAACCCCTAACTGAGCCTGGTTTCGAGATAATCGTCCGGGTTCGAATCGACCGTCCGAAATGTCTGAAAATTTATTCAGGTGATCGGACCGATCGCATAAAAACACTTGTAGTGCGACGCTGTATGATCCGGGCAGTGTTTGGGATTATCGCTTTCGCTTGGATATAGGCTGGTTTCCATATAAAGACCTGGGCCCAGTTGTTCGAAAGAAGGATAGCGTTATCCATTGGATAAATCTCTATCCGGTGGATGGCGCAATTGGTTTCCCTAATATTTAACCGCTGGACAGTGATTTATCTCTTGGATAGCGCTATCCAACGTTTGAACAACCAGGGCCTGGATGGTCTCGATCGTCCTAATGTCCAGCCTATGTACAGCCTTCAGTTCAAGGGTTTGCGATCGCCCCAGACGTCCAGATCGCCCTACATGGTCTCAAGACGGGAACAGAAGCGCTCAGACCTCCCACCTCCCTCCCCTCTTTTCTATGCTTCATACAAAAGGGCTGAAAGGACGGCCTCCCTTTAGAGTGATTTTACTCAACCCGTGAAATAGGTAGTAGAATGCTACGGGCTATTATATGCGCTTTTTCCATTGTCTTCTTTCGTTTACTTGTACCTATTTTGTACTAGAAGTTATTATCTGTTTCACGGGTCAAGTAAAATCACTCTAGCCCTTTTCTCGGTTGCGAAATATTAAGCACTGTTGCGTAATCTTCCCCATTTCTCTCGTTTCCCTCATTTTTAGAACTCCCCCCGTAATCCCACTCTTGATATTAAAACTGAAAACTTGCAGCAACTACGGTAGCTCAAGATTCTGGCTCGTGCCTTCCATGATATCAGAGGAAATGTTATTTTTCCGTCCCTGAACACTGAAAAAGATAGATCTGAAAATTGATCATTTCTTAATTTATTAGCTTTAGGGATGTTGATTTTAAAAAAACATGTATAGAAACGTAACGATAGCTCAATACAGGCAAATCAAATCGCTATTAGCAACTAAAATTCTAAAAATCATTCAAATTCTCACTACGTTGCCCTGGAGGAAAATTCAGGCTTATCCTTCTGATCGGATCTTCATTCTATATTGACATGAGTCACGTACACAATGTCTAAAATATCTTTTTTACCACAAATTGAATGATATTACTAAGTCAGAACGCTAATCGAGCCTTCTCCAGTTCTTTTGTTGGTGGCAAAAAAGTGACTGTTTTAGAAATGGTGTGGAATGAAACTTTGCTAAACCATTTTCAATTCTTCGATATTCGGCTATCATTTTCTTTAATTATTTCACGGATGCTTTTAACTGAGGTCAGAAAATCACACAACGATTTTATGTCAGTTACAGACTAAGAGAGACTGAATCTGTGCAGTCAAAAATATCGTGAAAAAGTCAGGTTCAACGGCAAGTTGTAATAAAACAATTGTATTAAAATGTAGTTGACTGTTTGTTCTACTGAAGTGAGAAATACTTCGCGAGGTCAGATCATAATTTATTCATGAACAAGAAACTAAAGATACCAGTGTTTTTATTATTCAAGGGTGAATATGGCTTGCGTGGTATAAGGCCACAATGGGGTCTAGTGTTTAAAGGTGTTAACACGATTCTGTAGGTAACAGCTTCAGTTTAACCCTTCGAAGAAGACGCCATCCTACTCAGTCGCCATAAGCCGTTTTCGGTGGGTGGTTTAACAGTTGTTGCTTTTGCGCTTTGTTAGGCCATTGGTGTAGAGATTTTTTCTACCATCCTTATAGCCTACATCATTTACATTCATACGTCATTTCTCCACCAGCTCGAAGGAATAAATAAATCCAATATGGCGGCCACCAAGCGCTCAGAGACAAGAATGCTAAGGAAGGACACAGAAAGCGGGCAGAATAGCCCGCGATTCATACAGGTAAAATAGCTTGTGATCGCCATTTCATCTCCTGCGTTGAATAATGAAAATATCTCGAAGAACACTAGAACAAATTTAAAAATCTACATTATATAACTCGTATCTTGACGATGAGAGTGCCATGCCTTTGTCGACTATATCTGGGGGGTTCATCTCACATGATTCCAGTTAGCTTGTCTTGAATATTAATAGAGAACTTTGACTACAGTCCGTTGAAGTATCTATCAGTAATACCCATCCCCGTCAAGGCCGCATGGTTTGAAAGATTCAACCGGTCACGGCCTAATTACACTTGCATGCATATTAGTGAATTTTAATTTACGGGTTAAGATCCATATGCTATTGTTTAACACGAGCTCTAAAGGAAGCTACGAATTTCCTTAAGAAGTTTTGATTCAACAGCATCAAACGAAAGTGTGATCAATTTCTTCTTTGGTGGTTATCATTATGTTCCATGGTAATCGGTGATCAAATCTTCTAAGCATATATCCCTTTCACTTAACTTACTTTTCGTCCATTTCCTCATTTACCGACACGTGCTTATTCGCCGTGGTGGCTTTCTGTCACGGTTAAACACCGATTAAGGCTTGGAAAGCTATTCGAAGAAAAGTAAATTATTAATGTTGTAAAAAAAACCGTCAATACCCTGCGAACTCTATCTTAATCGCATGTTAAATTTGCCAGGCGATTCTAGTGCGCCGGAAACTGCTCCGAAGGTTCTTGGCGTAGCATTCGGCAAAGCGCGTAAATTCATACTGTCCGGTCATAGCCTTGAGCTATCCGGCTCGCAAGCTCCTTTAAGCTTCTACGATCCTCTACGTGCATACCAACTCAAACATATACAATCAGCTCCCAACCAAATGAGAATAATCGTGACTGAGTCTCTAGCGAAGTAGCTAAATTCATAACGGATCAGGTGATTCAATAACGTTATCCTTCAAACGAAGTCCGTTGATGGATAAGTTTTGTGTTTTACAAACTTATTCAGGGCTTGTGCAAATGGTACTGGTTTTAATTCTTAGAAGTCGAGTTACTTTCCGTAAAATTATAACACTCCACCGCAATTTATTTTTGTGACATTTCGATGTCACAAATGACTATCTGTTCGTAGTAGTCCAAGACGCTATAAGACTGTCATGTCCTGTCTCATCGTTCAGTGGATATAGGAACCTGTATAACAGTCTGAATTTCAAAAGGACTCGTCCAGAAACGTAAAAAGGTGATTCTGGACCTGGTTTAAATAACTCAGCATTGGAAAATATGAAATGCCCTGTTAGCCCCTTGGTTTGAGCATCTCAATACCGAGTCGAACCTTTCTCAAGGTCACCCAACGATGGTTTCCTCCTAAATACGTTGAAACAGGAGCCTATTACCCTGGTTGAAAACGCTTCTTAGGCTATCAAGAGCACTTTTAGAACTCCACAAATACATTTTAAGAGGCGTCATAAAGTTTTTAGCTGTTCGGTCATCTTAGGGGAACTCGAGTCTTTTCGAAATTACAAGGGTTTCAGTATGATTTTCCCGAGAATTTTAACCAGTGCAATTTAACGTATGACGAAAGTGAGAATTTTTCTGATTCCTCTGTCCATCGCATTTTTGAATTCGAAAATTTTAGGTTTCCTTTTTTCTAAGAAAAACAGCCTAACCTGAGGAGTGAAGAATTGTAAATGAATGGAACGATCATCTACTATTTGGTCGTCCTCAAGTAATAGAAAATTGTAGGCAACATTTGCTTCTCCGAACAGATATTTTACAGAAGACGGTCGTTGGGTGCACCTGCTTAATTAAGCGTCCACTCACATGGCCCGCTCTGTTTAACAGCAAGCCTGATCGCTGCACACATAAATATTAAGCTGCCAACCTTCGTAAAGCGGCTATTTGTTTTTTCTCTGAGGTGACCGCTTATTAGAGAGACGGTATTTTCTCCGGTTTCTTTATCAATCTACCCTGCTGGCAGAGATTTCTTTCTGGCATGCCTTTTAGTGTGAACGGAGTCGTTCGTGTAGCGGCCAACCTACGCGAATGTCATCCACACGAACGTCTCCGTACATCCGTGCTAAAAACAGGCACACCAAACACCAAATTGACTCTCCAAGCAGCAGAGTCTCCGACTGGTGTACTAATATCTCAAACTGCGTTGCTTGTAGCCCTGAAGGTGGTTTGAAAGTGCATTTCCACTATCGCTAGCTACTTTCTCGGCCCTTTCGAAATATAAACTTGGTTCAACATTATGCCGTTGGAACAAATATATTTTAGACGGTGTTCACAGTAGACCGGCAGCTTTTCGTACCTGTCCTATTTGATATGTGACTCTACACTTTAGAGATCTGCGCCGCGCAGCTTCGCTCTGTTACAGAAATCGCGCCAAAATCACCGTTCTTACATGTTAACAGAGGCCCTATC